CCAAGCCCAGAACACTGCCCTTGTTACAGGCCCTGACTTCCATTCTTCCTCCTCCATTGTCGTTACAGAATTATACCCATCGTCTGTCGCCACTCTTTCATGGGGACCGGACCACTGTCAACTGGTCAGCTACACGCTAGGTTATTGAAGGAGCCCTTCGACTCTTGCGCTGCATCTTTGTGGTTAATCTTGGAGTCAAGAAGTACCTATGGCCTAGTTGTTTTTCTTTGCTGCTTACGCCCGGAAGGGAAGAGCTTACTTGGGCTTTTGTGCCGGAGATTACTATCATGGCGGAGAGTGTTGGTTTGAGATCGACGGCCCAAGTCATGCTCTTAAGGCTCCGGCAGAGACGATTTTTTCCATGCACCTTCAGAGTCGTGAAGATGGAAGACATTTCAGGCTACTAGAACGTCATATATTCTTTGTCGCGGACGTTGGTGTAGATAGGTAGCCACTCGCCCGTATGTAGATCCATGTAATAGAAAAAGATTAGAACAAGTCTCCATGGACGTACAATAATGAGTTGAAGTGCTTGCGCATTGTGATGCTTGAGACCAGTGGGGCATAAAATGCTGATGGTCCCGATGAACAGTGGCCCTGTGACATGCAGGACAGCACCGCTGATGTGCAAGCTCCCTGTGTAGTTGGCGGGTAGAATACCCAGAATACCAACCAATCGTTGTTGTAAACTGAGTGAAGTAACAAGACCGGCCACTGCGTAGCGGCCTCCAAGCGATTTGTGAATGGCTTGTCCTTATTCAACTCAAGCCACCGCGACGTATTGATTGACGGGGGACTCGTTGAGAAGCTGAGGTTTGTGTAATCTCCCGAAAGGGTCAAGTGCCTCTTGTACGTGGCGGTTTTGAGGCGTATGCGAGTAGCTGAAATGGATTTTAACCCAGCTGAGGCTATTCCCAATCTGTCACAGCCAACGGTTACCAGAGGCTTTTGTTCCTGTGTGAACCTTTGCTGATCCAACAGAGTAAAGAACCATACGACGTCCAACTCTTCGGTAGAATAGTCAGCGGCCGCTGGATGTCGTAGTACCGTAAATGGACAATCTTTTCGGTTTTGCTAGTGTTACACCGCCGATCCCGATCACGCGATGAACCACGCCAGCCACAGATGTAGATCTGAGACACTCGGGTATATCTCCCCAGCACGAATTTTGTAGGACGACCGGAAATTAGCTGAGGGGTCTGAGGGCAAGCTCACGCCATATCGCATTCCCGTTGCGTCGCTCCGGGGAAAAATGAATCCATATAGGACGTCGCTCGACCACGAACCTGGAACTCAAACACCGTTAGCTTCTGCAGAGACTTTCACTCTTGGAAATACCTCCATCTGAAAGGCACAATGTCAACCCTCCGACACCTATCCATCCCTCTCCATCCTATCTCCAAGCCCCTCCGAGCAACATTCCTCCGGCGGCGCTTTCTCTCGACTCAACAACCTCCCAAGCCCAAAGCACCCATCAAATCAGCCATCATCACCGGTGCCGCGCGTGGAATAGGCCGCGCAACTGCCCACCGTCTCGCCGCCGACGGCTACGTTCTTACACTCAACGATCTTTCCTCCTCCTCATCGTCCGATGACGCCCTAACAACCCTCTGTAACGACCTCCAATCCCTCGGCCACTCCGCCCATCCCTTCCACGCGGACATCACCACCCCCACCTCTGTCTCCGCCCTTCTCTCCTCGCACTTATCAGTATACGGCTCTTTGTCGTGTATGATCGCAAACGCAGGCATCGTCGCCGCCGCACCCCTTCTTTCCGTCAACCCCAACGACTTCCTCCACATTCTCGAAACGAACGTAATCGGCGTCTTCAACTGCTACCGCGCCGCAGCCGAGCAATTCATCAAGCAAGGCACATCGGGAAAACTAATCGGCGCGTCGAGCGTGGCTGGTCTGAGGGGGCAGCCGTTGTTGGGACCGTACGCCACAAGCAAGTTTGCTGTGAGAGGGTTGACGCAAAGTTTCGCGGCGGAGTTGGCGGGGGAAGGGATCACAGCGAATGCGTATGCGCCAGGCGTGGTGGAGACGGGGATGTGGGATACGATTGCGGAGGGGTTTGTGAGGGTTGAGGAGATGATGAGAAAGGCAGGAAAGGGGGAGAAGGAGATGGAGGATGTGGAAGCGGCGGAAGGGGAAGGAGCCAAGGCCCGGACAATCAAAAAGTTTACGGACGCGTTGGTACCGTTGAAGAGGCACTCTACGCCAGAGGATGTGGCGGGTTTGGTTGGATTTTTGGCGAGCGAGGGGGCGGATTATATTACTGGTCAGACTTATGCTGTTGATGGTGGGATTTACTTTACATGAGAGAATCCTAGATGACTTGGGAGAGAACAAAATGTACGTTCCATGGTCTCAATTGAACTAAGAGCCGTCTACCGTCCCCTTTCTTATGGACCGACCTGACTGTCCGAGCATGCGGCGTTTGGACTTGCACAGGCATTTTCCCTCGGTAATGCAGCTTTGTCGCATGCAACAGGCATTTCACCGTAGAGGTAGGCTGCGGCAAATGAGTCGAATCGAAAAAGAGAAGTTCTTGCTGATGTCCAAGCTTGCTCTGCATCAGAGAAATATGTTACCTGACCTCATGGAAACTATTTAAGAAGCCACACAACCGACACTTGTTATACGTCTTTTACTTCTTCTCCTTTTCAACAAATATCACGAATCCATTGGCAACCAAGCTCTTTCTATCTAGAATTATCCAAAATGGATTCCACAAACACTATCACGATATCCTTCCTTATTCTTTCCGACACTCATGGCAAAGATCACATTATGCCGAAGGTATCAGTCGACGTCGCCATCCACTGCGGGGGCATTACCGACGAGTCAAAACTGGAAGAATATTGCTCCTCCCTTGAGGTTCTCAAGTCTATCGACGCCCCCTTGAAGCTCATCATCGCAGGCAACCACGACTGGTCCCTCGACGAGTCCGCCTACCAGCGGCTAACCGCGGAAGCCATCACCAGACTGGATATTGGCCCCGAACTCGTGAGGAAAGAATATGGCGATGTTGGCCAGGCTCGCCAGCTGTTTTCAGAGGAGCAAGGTATCACCTTCCTGGATGAGGGCATCCACAACTTCCGCCTACAAAACGGAGCGGCCTTGACAGTGTACGCAAGCCCCTTCACGCCTTCTCCCGAAGCAAGCATGGGCTTCCAATTTAAACTCAACGACGACCATAACTTCTCTGTTTTGCCGCCGGACAACAAAAGGGTCGACGTCGCCATCACACACGAGCCACCAAAGAGCGTACTTGACCGAACGGCCTCCATGAAGCGGGGCGGCTGCGACCAGCTGTTTGCCGCCATCGCAAAGGCTCGCCCTCGCCTCCATTGTTTCGGCCACATCCATGAAGGATGGGGAGCCAAGCTCGTTACCTGGCGTGGAAAAGAAGGGACAACAACCACCATCACCGCACCCTCGCACCTGACAGAGATCGATAATGGCGCTTCAAAACTCATTGACAGCGTCGCCAACTACAAGCCCCGGAAATTCGAAGGGGAGGATGATGTTAAGGACAGACAGAACCGGAAGGAACAGCTTTTCAGGAACGGGTTCAAAAGAACAAGCCATTGCAAGGATGACAAGTAGCCGCTGGTACCGGGACAGCAAACCTTGTTTGTCAACGCGGCTCTAGAGATGGGCCCGGAGGATGAAGACCCGGACGCAAGGGAAATGGTTCCGTGGATCGTGGAACTGGAGCTACCGAGCGCCTAGAGGTAGGAAGGCGGATTTCATGATTTTCGGGCGGTGGTACGAACGACCGGCAGACACTCTGGAAACAACAGGGGCGGCGGGTGGCAGTTTCGGCGGCCATAGCACTCGGTGGCTTTCCGTCTTACCCCTGGCTCTGGAGATGCGAGCCGGCGTGATAGGACCACCGCTCGTGGTGTTGGACGGAAGGTCGAGGATATTGCAGAACTTGTCGTTTAGTTGCCAGCGCGTGTTAGATGCATAATACAGTTGTGTTGCCTCGTTCGCTCATGATAACATGATACCGTAAAGCCGGCAGCATTATGGTGCCCCAAACGCCCAGGAAATCCGAGGAGAGAGGTCTGGGTGTACACGGCGAGTCTGGCAGGACTGTTAGCAATCCATCTCATTCTCTTCCCTTTCTTCCCCTTACGGTCGCTCATGCATTTCACTGATTCACATCCCGTCCTACCTACTCAATAACAACACAACCCCAAACACCCACTCTTGCCTCCTTTTCAACGGCCTTGATACCTTCGCCAACATCCCCCTCTGCGGCCAGCCCGTAGCCTACACCACCAACCAATTCCGCCAGTATCTGTTCAATATCACTTCCATCCTCAACGAACCCCCATCATGCTTTCCCAATACCGCCCCCAACGCCAGCTCCCACTCTAACCCAGGGTCAAGACCAGAACCAGGCCCCGAGCTCCGCATCCACTTCCCCTCTGTCCCCGTAACGGCGGAATCCATCGCCTCCCGTCCCAGCCAATCCATCTGGCCAGCCCACGTCCAAATCCAATTCGAGTTTCCCAACCGCCACTTCGTTCGCAAGGAACAGAGTGATTTCGGCTGGGACTGGGGTCCGGCGTTTATGCCTACGGGGGTATGGCAGAAGGCTTGGGTTGTGCAACTTCAAAAAGCAGAAGAGATTCATGTCCGCAACTCGTTGTGAGATATTTATCTTGAAGGACAGCTGCCGAATCTACCTCCCGACCAGGAGAGGGATTGGATGTTTAAAGCCAATTTGGATGTAATTGGAAAAGTGCCGGCTGGGGCGGGGATGAGGTATCGAGTTGTTGAGACGGAGACGGAACCTGATGGGAAGAGGAGGATTGTAAGTGAGGGGGCCTTGGTGAATGTGAGTGTGTCTGATATTGGTGAAAAGATTGAGGGGAGTGTGGTGTTGGATGGTAGGGGGTATAAGTTGTGGTGGCCGAATAGATTGGGGGAACAAAATCTCTATGATGTGGAGATAACGGTTGTTGATGCTGCTGGGGAGATACTGGCGGAGGTGAGAAAGAGAACTGGGTTCAGAACTATTGTGATGAATATGAGTGCGGTTACGGAGGAGATGCGGAGTGGGGTTGCTAACAGAAGTCATTGTGAGCGAGCAAAATCCCTTTCACCCGCAGAGATTGAGAGAGAAGCTGACATGTGTCCGTATAGGGCACTTTGAGGTCAATGGCCACCCATTTTACGCCAAAGGGAGCAACTTCATCCCACCAGACGCTTTTTGGCCACGGGTTACTCCGGCTCGGTTCAAGCAACTCTTCGATGCCGTCGTGTCTGGGAACCAAAACATGCTCCGCCTGTGGTCGAGTGGTGCCTATGCCCCTGACTTCATGTACGACATAGCTGATGAGCTTGGGATATTTTTGTGGAGTGAGTTTGAGTTTGGCGACTCGTTGTATCCAGTGGACATTGAGTTCCTGGATGATGTTCGGGAGGAGGCCGAGTACCAGGTCCGAAGGTTCAACCATCATCCGTCTCTTGCCCTTTGGGCTGGAGGGAACGAGCTGGAAAATCTTGAGCTGTATCTCGTGAACTACTCAGCTCCAGAACAGTACGAAAGGTATAAGGCCGAGTACGAAACACTCTTCATCGACACTCTGCTGCCAGCTGTCTACGACAACAGCCACGGCATTACTTATATGCCAAGCAGCACCAATAATGGGTATCTCAGCATCAACTTCAGCGAGCCGATTCTCATCAAACAACGATATCAAAACAAAGGACCTGGCGAAGTCCATGGTAGCACTGATTATTATAATTACAAGACCAGCCAGGCATTCAACATTAGCGCGTATCCGGTAGGCCGGTTCTCGAACGAGTTTGGCTTCCACAGCATGCCAAGCCTGGCGTCGTGACAGAGAGTACTACCAGCGGACGAGCTGTGCTTCAACAGCACAACCATTACGCTGCGAAATCACCACTATCCTTCCGGGAGCCTGAACACGTCAGATTTTAACCATGGCTCGAACGGCATGCGGGAGATGACGATGGCGGTTGAGATGTACTATCCGATACCTAACAAGACTGATGCGATCGGTAATTTCTCAGCGTGGATATGGTCAACGCAAGTGTTCCAAGCAGACTTTTATAAGTCTCAGATCCAGTTCTACCGAGTCGGTGTTGGAAAACCAGAGTGTCAACTGGGCTGCTTGTACTGGCAGCTCGAGGATATCTGGCAAGCGCCGACTTGGGCTGGAGTCGAGTACGAAGGGAGATGGAAGGTGTTGCACAACGTGGCAACGGTCACAGCAAGGGGAACACCAGTGAATATGAATGCCACCAAGACATTCACGCATGTCAACTCTTGGACTCCAACGCCGCTTGGAAAGGCTGCCCTTGTCGACCCGGGGTTAAGAGACGGATATGAAGCTGTATCACAGCTTTATCGTGGAGGCGGGGGTGAGCGTGTGGACATGGCTGAGTGCTGGGCCAAAGGACAACGATGTGGTGGCGAACTTTGAGGATAATGGTTTCCTAATGTTGCGAGGCGAAGTGAAGAAGATCAAGTATCATGTCCTGGCTGGAGGCAGAGAGGGCTGGAGGTCCCGAGTGACGGTGGGCAGTATTTGGAATAATACTTTGGAGTCGTGATTTGGGCTTCGAAGGCGGGTTTTCCACGATCGATGGTTGAGGTGACCTCGGCTCACTGGCAAAGTCTGCCATTGGTCTTTACGTACTGTGCTGGATGTGGCCAAGCCAGGGCCCTGATCGGTCTTCGGGCCGGTCAGTATCGAGACGAGACTCAGAGCGGACGGGAGACCCAGCAAAGAGGGAATTCTTATCGATAAAGGTTCTTGATGTTGGACAGATAGGAGTCGATAGGCAACGGAATATTCCATCACTCTGTTGTCCTGTCTCATTCTTTCACCAGAAGATTGTCTCCCTTCCAGCAATCGGCACCATCGGAGCCGTATTTCCAGAAAATGACCTGCCATGCGTCTCCCACACTGTGGTATCTGCGGCCCAGCCACGTGGGACGGGAAATTGCTGCGTACCAGAGCATGGCGGTGTCCTTGCTTTGTGGGCGGGTGAATTGTACACCCCGATGGCCCGGCTGTCGTGCTCCGATATCCAACAACACGGCCCAGCTCCCAGCCCGTCATGCCATCATGGACCTCCCAAGTCAACCAAAGTGATGGTCTTCGGCACACCTCGTGGAGGGAACGTACGACGGGAGAGGCGTTGCCCACGAGGGGACTGGGATAGGGGTCTATCCCGAGCAGGCCATAATCAGAATGGACGTGGGATAGATAGCACTATTCTAGATGGCAAATAGTCCGCGAATTGGTAGTTTGCCGATTGGGTATAATCTCTGGGCTTTCGAGGGTCGGCAAGGCGGCAGTTGTGATGTGACTTTGGGGGAGGCTGGTGGTGGAAGTGAGAGGGTGATGAGTGATGACAACAACATGGAAGTGAAAAGGTGGAAGATTGCAACCGACCGGGGAAGGCCAAGGATAATTTACTGGAAGGTCTGTGTGTTAAACGGAGCGGGTCGGGTGTCCAAATTGTGAGTCCCCTGAGGCTCCCTCGGTTCGCTTCCGGGAACCACAAGGCAGGCACCGGGCCCCTAAACGAGCCCCGCTATGGCCCGCTCGCCCACTGGAGACGGGAACGGATTCAGCCAGAGTCGGCATTTTACCCCGCGGTCCCTCGAAACCCCGTGGAGCCCCAGCCTCCGAAGCCCCTTGGAAGGCGCCGGTCTCTTAGCAGAACGTGGCACTGTAGCCCCCGTAAACTGGAGTCTGGGAGATGAGGGGGTCCATGTCAGGGCAGACGCAATGGAGACATTGGAGACATTTTGTCTTTAACGGGCACTTCCATGCACACTGACCTGACCCAGATGGAGAGAGAGAGCAATTCAGTCCACTTTTCATCCGTTCCTCCTCCTCCTCGCGTCCACTTCCCGTCTTCCGCTGAGTGATCATTGTCATCCGAATTCAATGATTTTCCTGGTATTCAACAGCCTCAACTTTGCTCCAACGACGAGACTGACTTGTCACTCCGACTCTCTGTTCTAGAAGGCGCCACACACCAGAAAAGCAATACAAATTGCATACGACCATCGACCTCGATTCGATACACGTGTGTAGAGGCTGAATTACCGAACCGATCAAGTCAATAATGCATTGAGCTATCGCTGTTATTTTTGCTTCTGACATCAAACTGTGCCCATGGCGACGATGGCACACTCGATGGATAGCGCCATACACGAAATGACACACGCTTGACAACCCTGATGAGCCTCCCAAGAACCCCCTGGCGCCCCTCGATCTCGGCCAACCCTCCCTAGACGAAGACATCCCCGATCTCCAGTCCAGAGGCCAAGAGCTTATTCTACCTGATAAGAGTTACATCGCCTCGTACTTGGCGCCCCAGCCTGAATGATTTCCTTTCCTTTCTCGGTGCCTTCTTGCTAGTGGTCTCCATGTCGCTTTGCTCGCACTCGCTCAAACGACGACGGCTGAACACCTTGACAGACGGGCAGACACTGACAACAGCCGCCAGGGTGCATATAGCCGACTGTAAAATCTATCCTTGAGTATCAAGCGAGCTGACCGGCGCTCCTCACCGGCGCGGACATCTCCAATATCCCCTCTTCTCCGCAAGCGATGTCGAAGCGAGCGGCGTCCAGAACCCGTCCAAGGAATCATCCATCAGTATAATCGGCCAAGTGTGCGTCTAGCGCTCGTCTAGTCTACGCTTCTCGTCTGCTCTCGCCTGCTTCTGGTCTGCTTCTGGGTCGGTCCAATTCCAGAAGCTCGGCCTTGTTCTTCCTATCTGGAAAAGTATAAGGATTTAATCTATTTTGGAGATTGTTGCCATGTCATCCGGTCACATCGCCTCATCATGGCTGCAGTAGCTCGCAGGATATAATGCCAGGGCAAGGGCTTGGCGAATCAGGGACATCGACGTTCACAGCTAGAGCGTACCACATTGGCGACATTGCTACCGTCCAGTCGGCGACCACGAACCATTCCCATCTTGGATCTCGTCTTGCTCGCCTCCTCATATTAAAGCCCTCCCGCGCCGCCCACAATGAAGATCTTCACCTCGTCCCACTTCGTTTCCCTTGGTTCTGGTTCCGGATTCCGACATCAACGACCACAATGAGGGCCACTATCGCCAGTTTCGTCTCCAGCGCCCTGCTGCTCACCCAGCAAGCGGCTGCTGCACCTACCAACACTAGCACATGGAATGAGACCACCGGTGACATTGGTGAAGGGGCCTCCGCAAGGACTTTCGGTGTCGCGTCCATCTTCGACTGGACCTACAAGAGGTGGAATGGAGCCAACTATGCTTGCAAGTGCCATCCTGGTGATCTATGCTGGCCCAGCACTCTCCAGTGGAAGTTGCTGAACGCGACTGTTGGAGGCAACTTGCAAGTCAGCATTCCTCCGGCTGCGTCTTGCTACAACACCTTCCAGGGCCTTCTCGGCAACATCAGCACATACAATGCGGCTCAGTGCGCCGAAGTTCAGGCGAACTATGCCAGCGAGCAGTGGCAGTAAGTGTGTTCCTATCTGTGAGGCAAGGAGGATATCAACTGACAACGACACCAGGATCGATCTTCCCACTGCTGGCCTTTGGACATACTTCACCAACGACACCTGCAGGCCTACCACCAACCCTACTGATTCTTGCACTGGTGGCTACTTCCCTACCCTGTACATCAAGGCTAAGACCATCGCCCATATCCAGGCTGGTGTTCTCTTCGCCAAGAACAACAACCTCCGCTTGATCATTCGTAACACTGGCCATGACTTCCTTGGCAGATCCGTCGGCTGGGGTGCCCTCGTCATCAACACTCATGGCTTCAAGGACATCAGCCTTACCAACAGCTACAGGGGTGCCTGTGACTACACTGGCTCTGCCATTACCGTGGGTGCCGGTGTTCAGGCTTTTGAGGCTCTCAGCAAGCTTCACTCGCTGAGCCCTCCCAAGATCATGGTTACCGGCGAGTGCGCTGTAAGTTGAAGCCCATTATAAACGTTGTATACCAGTGCAAGTGCTAATTTCGATATTACAGACTGTCGGTGTTGCTGGTGGTCTCGTCCAGGGTGGTGGCCACGGTCCTCTGACCAACCTCTACGGCTTTCTCGCCGATACCGCTCTCGAGTTCAAGGTCATCACAGCTGATGGTGTTCTGCGAACCGCCAACGCCAAGATCAACCCCGATCTTTTCTGGGCCCTCAGGGGCGGTGGTCCTTCTGCCTTCGGCGTCATCGTCCAGGCCACTTACAAGACCTTTAACGATTACTCCAGCTCCGGCACCACCTTCGCCCTAGGCCCCGTCAACGTCAACAACAACGAGACCCTCTGGTGGGACGCCATCGCCAAGTTCCACGGCTACTCTAACCACTTCGTCGACAACGGCTTGTACGTTTATTACGAAATCTACCCGGGCATGACATTCCGCGTTCAGCCCGTCGTTGGCGTCAACAAGACCGCTGCCCAGCTCGAGGCCGTCCTCAGGCCCCTTTTCGACGACTGGAACGCCATGGGTCTCACCTTCGACAAGACCACCACGACCTACAGCACCTTCTACGAGCTGTACAACGCCCTGTTCGAGACCGAGGTGGCCGGTAACTCGGCCCTGACCGGCGGCTGGACCTTCGGCAAGACCGATGTGGCCAACAACAACGCCGGCATCATCGATGCCTTCAAGAACGTGCTCAACAACGGCGCCTTCCTCGTCGGCCACATGTGGAACGGCGGTCACGGTCTGCCCCAGAGCCAGTGGGCCGACAGCGCCGTCAATCCTCGCTTCCGCAACGTCAGTGACAAGCTCATCACCATCTTGCCCCTCTCGGGCAACGCCCCCATCGCCGAGAAGGAGGCCGCCCAGCGTGTCCTGACAGACATCGTCGATGGCGGTCTCCGCGCTGCTGGTCCCAACGGCGCCGCCTACATTAACGAGGCGGATCCCTTCCAGCCGAACTGGCAGACGGCCTTCTGGGGCACCAACTACGCTAAGCTCCTCAAGCTCAGGCAGAAGTGGGATCCCAGTGGTGTTTTCTACTCGGTCTCTACCCCCGGCACGGAGAAGTGGGAGCAGATTGAGTATGGTACCAGGCTTTGCAAGAAGCTTTAAGTACCTTACCCAAGGAAGTTGAAGTTGTTCATGTTAATGTTGTCGCTTTTTTAGTTAAGAGCTTGATAGATACCATTTTTTGTTTTGTTTTAGCGTTCCTCCATCATTTTGTTCTTTTGGTAGAAAGAAAGAGATCATTAGTTTTTCTTCCAATCTTGTTCGGGCGGCGGTGGGCCTTTGGCAACAAGGTAGATATGTAGAGAAAACGGCGCTCATTTGGGGGTTTTTGTGCATTTTACCATAACGATATTATTCGGAGATCTTGAAGGATCTCTCTTTGTCTATTAGCATGAGCCCTTACTTAGGCATAATTCAATTATTAATAACACACACTGCTCTTCGTTGAACCGCATCTGTTGGTTGGTGTTAACGTCCGTAGGTGGTAGCGGGAGCTCCGATACTCTGTCTGGTATTGCCTGAGCACATCATCTTGACATCGATTGCGCAATTCATTCCGTGGCCTTGATCCTTGATTTATGACCAACAAGACACCGTCAAACTTCGACGGCGTGAAATCATTAAACTGAACTTGGTTCGACATCTTCAAAGCCTCCGTCATTCGTTCGGCCATTCGTGAAGGATCTGCGCAGTGTGGGTAATATGCATCTATGCAGTTTATGTGCCAAGAGGGTCAATTCGCGCGATCGTTGAGGTCGCGACATCGGATCTGCAATGAAGATATTTTAAATGACTGTCAACCCCGACACTGGTAGTTCCTCTGATCTTCTTGCCATACTTAACCTAAATTGCATCTGAACACAATCGAACCAATCACCCTTTTTTTTCAGCCTCTGAAGATAACAATGACGTACCCAACCGTCCAGGACCGTCAGGTCGTCAAACCCGACCGCCATCTCACCAACACTACCGTTCCGCCCGGTGTAGTCGATGACCCTGAGCATGACGCCTTTGCCGTAGCCGACGAGAACCAACACCTTCTCACGCGCACCGCCAGCGCCAGCTCCAGCTCCTCCTCATCTCAAACCCCCGGCCACCACTCCTCCCTCGACGATGATGGCTGGACCCCTCCGCCTTACTTCATCTTCATCCAAATCGCCCTCATGTCCAACGTCTTCCTCTACGGCTTCGACGGCACCATCACCGCCGCCACCTACGCCATCATCTCTTCTGAGTTCGGCGCCGCCAACACCGCCTCGTGGCTGACCACCGCCTACCTGGTCACCAGCACCGCCTTCCAGCCGCTCTACGGGCGCGTGTCCGACATTTTCGGCCGCCGCGTCTGTTTCTTTATCAGCACCATCACCTTCGCCCTCGGCTGTCTCTGGTGCGGCCTCGTCAAGTCTTCCGCCGAAAATGGCATGATCTGGGTCATCGTCGCCCGCGGCCTCACGGGCTTTGGCGGCGGTGGGCTTATGACTATGGCTACCATCGTCAATTCGGACATGATTCCCTTCCGCAGGCGCGGGATGTACCAGGCGCTGCAAAACGGTATGTTCGGGTTCGGCGCCATTTGCGGAGCGAGTTTCGGCGGGAGTGTCGCGGATGGGATTGGATGGCGTTGGTGTTTCCTGTTGCAGGTGCCCGTGTCGGCGTTTGCCCTGGCTGTTGGGTGGGTGGTTATTAAGAATCCCGTCAATGGAGTCATGGGTGGAGAGGAGAGGACTTGGGGACTCATCTGGAGAAAGGTGGACTTTACCGGGGCCTTTTTGCTGGTGACGGCCATTTCAATCCAGCTGGTTGGGCTGAGCCTCGGAGGCAATGAATTGCCCTGGAGTAGCCCGTGGGTTGTGGCGTCGTTGGTGGGCAGCACGGCGATGCTGGTGTTGTTCTTGGTCGTCGAGGCGAAGACCAGGGCGATTCCGGTTATTCCGTTAAGGTTGTTGAAGGGAAGCCTGCCGCTGCTGACGCAGTTTGCGAATGTTTGTGCTGGGTTGAGCGCTTATGCTGTGAGTTGCTCCATCCTGTTCTGCCCCGAGTTCAGTTGCCCTTGCTTCAAGCTCTTCATGCTTCTAGTTGCTCCTGCTTGGAACTGCTCCTTCAAGTTCTTGGAGATGCTCCTGCTTCGAGTTCAGTTTTGCTGTTTCGGGTCGTTCCTGCTTTCCCTCCTTCTCATCATGACGATCAGCTGACTGACGAATGCGTGCCTCCAGTACCTCTTCAACCTTCCTCTGTTCTTCCAAGTCGTCCTTCTTGACTCGGCCACCACCGCCGGCGCCCGACTTGCCATTCCGTCGCTGGCCACTCCCATCGGTGGCCTCATTGCCGGAGTGGTCATGTCTCGCTGGGGGAAGCTCATCACTCTCGTTCGTATTGGAACCGCCCTGATGGTCTTTGGCAACGCCTTGGTTACTTCCCTAGCCTTTGAGGACTCCAGGTGGAAGTATCTCGTCTACATCTTCCCCGCCAACCTGGGCCAAGGTATCGTGTATCCAGGCATTCTCTTCACTTCGCTGGCCACGTTCGACCATTCCGGTACGTTTGACCTCCAGTATTGTGTTCAGTACATCCTTATGATCCTTCGTTGCCATCGACTAACTAGCCAATACACATGGCTAGACCACGCCGTCACCGCCTCAACCGTTTACCTTATCCGGTCTCTCGGCACTGTCTACGGCGTCGCCATCACCTCTGCCATTGTGCAAACCACGCTCAGCGTCCGGCTTCCCGGCGCTTTGGGCGAGATACCAGATAAATGGAGAGTAACATCCCTTTTCTTTTGTGGCTTTTTCTCTTGCTCTTATTTCCCCGAGTCCTGTTGTGGTCCCGGCCCTCCCCGCTCACAGGGCCAGGGCCGGACCCTAAGTATATGTCTTGGTCCATAACAGCTCAGGGGGTTTTCGGCTGCGTTTGTTATTTTCTGGTCGAAGCTCACACAAGTTTAGGTCATCGATGAAATCCGTCACTCGGTCTCGGCTATCAAAGACCTTCCTCCCGATATCCAGCTCAAGGCTCGCGAGGTCTATTACGAAGGACTACAGCTCTCGTTTGCCACGTCGACGGCTGTGGCTGCTGCTGCTGTGGGCGCGGCGCTGCTCGCTAGGGCACGCGGCCTTCGTAGCACCAAATAAGGCACTCCGGAGTCGTAGTCTCGGAAAAGAACATGCCTAGTCCTCTGATGGGCGAGGTGAGGGACTCTTTCCTTCCTTCATCTTGACCATACGGAGTGCTTGGGCTACAGTGGGTAGGTCTGGTGGTCTTGAGACGGTGGTGGGCAAGGAACCAAGGGCGAGAGACAGGGAGAAGCGAGGAGGTCTGGACGGGAGCGCGCGGAACTGGAAGCTGTTGCCGCCGTCGGGTTAAGCTTAGCAAGGGTAGGGATAGGGGCTCTTGGATGTCGCTGGGAAGTCCCGGCAATAACCGGCAGTAGTAAGGCCCACTGGGGTATCATTCATGACATTCGCCTGCAGTTGTCGTCGGCGCTTTCCAAAAGTGCGAGTTGAAGTCCGTGCCGGGAAGCCCGCAAGGGGCAAGGTGGTGATGATCTGGAAAAGAAGGTGAAGACCCGGAGATCCCGGGCCTTCCGTATGTGTAGCCGTCTCGTTATGATTTGACATTGTACAATGAAGTAATCTTGTGATTCAAACAACTGCATGGAAAGCGTTACTATATTATATGATTCTTCTTTTCTTTTTGGGCAGATCAAACTCCTTGGAACCCCTATAAGAGGCATGAGCTGAAGCAACGCCCTTGGCCAGCCACCACTTGGCAATGTCTTTCGGCATTTTTACAAGCCAATGCTGATGGAGTGTACTTTTGCATCTTCTCTGAGACCTTGCTCAAAGATCTCGCCCTGTTGTTCTGCATCTTGTCACACTCATGCGATCATCCTATCACTCTATGCACCGGAAAGGGGGATTGCAACGGCGGCCCTCCCAGGCTTGATCAAACCCGAGCTGCCACCGACTATTGCCCGGCTCGCTAACAAGCTCATTTCTCGGTTAAGTGCCGTTCAATGTCTCACTGAGATAAATTTTCTCCCCTTATCCACCCATATGGCACGTAGGATGGACGCTCCCCTTTCCCTCCCCAGCTTTTTGCGTCCAAGGTCAACCCCAAGTTGCCTCGGGGAGATTTACGATCGGGCAGTAAAAGCGCTTTCCGAGTCGTTGTCTCAGACAAAGGATTGTCGATAATGGGACGATGATGTGAATTTGGCAGTAAGGTCACACATGTCACCATCCAGAGCTCTCAGACAGCGCAGCACGTCTTGCCTCGGCTATTTCATCGTCAAAGATCGAATGAAGAGTTTTCCATCCAGCTTTTAAGTCTTGAAGTTCATGACTCATTTCTCCTAGGTAATACTTTGCAAAAGATAAGGTAGGTAACATTTTCAATTCGCTGGTCGGTTTCGGTTCAACAACGGGCGTCGACTGGTACAGACAGGGGCAGTTGGTATCTTGGGTGGACTCGTGGACCTTGAGGAGAGGACATTGTGGGTTTTCGGCTTTCGACCCCTTTGAGAAACTGATCACAGCTACTGTGTAGGGGGCGCGCGACCACTGGCCGAACGTTTCTTCTCGTCGTGTCTTTTCTCTCTCGCTCAGAGAAACCAGAAATTGCTGATCTGTCGTTTGTTGTTGTCTGTGTCTGGGCCTCTATGGAGTTTCATACCACGGACTATCATCTACAAAGATCATGAAGTTTCGGTTCATATAAAACGACACTTGTCAGTTAGTCCCTTTGAGTTGGCAATAGAGACTTGCATATCCCGCGCTATTGGATCGCGTGTGTGTGCCACCAGGCCCCAAGCCGAGACGCTGACACCAACAACCCAACTTCTGGAACTGCGTTGGCCGCCAGCAACCCGAAACTATCGGCGGACCTGCATGACCCATTGCCACCATTCAGAACCAGTTCTCCCCCAAGTCCCAACCTCCGGCTGCTGGCACCGCAGTCTGCTTCACAAGGTCCCAAGCAATCTCGTCACACCGTTTTTCTCGGCTGAGCGGGACACTAAGTACCGTCATGCTTGGTGAGCTGCGGGAATACGTACAGCACACACCGTATGAGTCCTTACTTCCTCATGAGTTGGTACCTCTGGCTACTGGATCAGTCTAGTGAGCAAGTACCGTTGTTGGGTTTCCTGATCGTGAAGCTAGTATAATATGGTCGTATAGCACACTACAGGCTGCCGACGCGGGATTGGTGACGAGTCAATGACGATTATGCAGACTGAGACTGGACTGGCAATAACGGAATCCGCTGACTGTGACTGCGACGCTCTGGCTCGCGGCGGGCGCGGAAAATCCGTCCGCCCTTTGTGGCACTGCGAGTTGTCGAGTTTGGACAGTCGGCGAGTCGGAAGCTACAGACGAACTGCCCATCAAGGCGCCGATGATTGCTGTTCCGGTTTGACGCTAAAACGAGCGTCAAAAGTTCATGACTGTTATGACTAATAAACCTCTCTCTCTGGGGTACTGTATCCTACCTTGCCTACTGCATGTCTTGAACCTTCCATCCTTGTCAACAACGGTAGGAGAAAGTAGATGAAGAGCCTGGATGGTTGTTGGGCCCTGGGTAGTGACAGGTCCTCCAGACCCCCAAGCAAGAGGGGCTTCTGGCGGTCACGAGAACGGGGATGAGGAGGGGTTTCCTTGACGGCGAGTCGGCGAGTCTGTTCATCAGTGCGGGGGGACGGAGATGTCCTATGGCCTTTCCAGGGTCGACAAACCTCAGCGCTGTTCTCCATTCACATCCGGGATCGCGACTTTGTGTGTTCATCAGGCGTGGACGAGTGGAAACCTCGGAGTTGACAATGTGTCACTCTCAGCGGAATTAATTGGTTTTTTTTTCTCGATATCATGGCGACGCAAGGTCTGAACGGCAGATGGCTTTTTTGTTCTTCGAACCCTCTTTAGGTATCTTGATTGGCGCGGGGAGAACGGGACGGTTGCACATTTGACGTGAAGATCAGGGACGGAAGGTGGATGAACGGGGCACTGCTGTCGGGTACGGGCACGCCCACAACGTTGTACCTACTCCAGCGCGGTGGCCAAGATCCGAGTACGGCCCGATGAATTGCCTCAGTCCCGTCTGTCTGCGGCAGAAGCGAAGGCTCTTTCTTTGCCCAGGACGGGACATGTAGGGTACCTCTCGCCGCCATCCGTACCTTCAGGCACTGTGGTCCATTGGGCAGGGGACACATGGATATTGAGCGTTTCCACCCGTTTCAACCGGCGTTTCCCCTGACAATAATTCCGACACCGAAGAGCTTGCTGAGGCCATTGCCAAAACCTAAGAAAATGTGGTGGTAATCTCGCAGCCGAGTGTCGTCGGGACGGCTCTTTCCAACCGAGATCAAATTTGACGTCTCGTTGCTCAGGGTGGGGTTTTTGGATGGCACTTAGTATCGGTCTTCGCCGTTTTTCAGCCAGCTGCCAGGATGCAATATGCACCACTGGTCCGTCTGTGTCAAGCGCCAAACAGCAAAAGTGGAACTTCTCTCGCTGCCACTGGCTCGAGTGCTCTGGCTGGTTGACGACCTTTTCCCCTCCCGTCTGTTCAGTTCAAGACGGTTCGATTCGGTGCGTTGTGTTCGACTGCCGGTTCGCAGATTTTGCCAAGCGCGCACAGGAGAAATCGTCCGTTAATTCAGACGGTTTGTCTGACCACCATCTTAAATCTCTTTCTTTGGCGCTCCATGCCCCCCATCACTTGACCCTATGGCCGCCTCTAGTGTTCCACCAGGTGCGACTCGTTCGAGACCCTGACAGTCGCGTCGTCAATATTCGATAGATTCGATATTCGGCAGAGTCCAGACGCCAGAAACGCCAGAAACCTTCTTCGACTCCTCACTCGATCCCGCAGCACCAAGGGCTAGAACGGTCTGTTCCACGCGCACGACTTGTCGACCTTTGCTACCTCGTTAATGATAGTTCTCGTCCATCACAATCACGACCAACTGTCCGTTTGGACACCAATTGGACATCAAAGAAACGACGACAGAAACCAACAAGAAACCAGACCCACGGCAGCGATTGTGGGCCATGTTAGCGATGGTGAATCAAACCCCCAGGGGGGCACCCTGGTGTCGGGTCCCAAGAGTGGGAACGCGATGCGACAGCAATGATCAGGAACTTTCCCATGTTTTTGCGCATCCTATCCATCAGCTCCATCCGCCCCATCCGCCCCATCGCTCCCCTCCCTGCGTCTCCATTCGTCCTCCTGCCGTCCCCGTTCCTACCACCAGCAACGCCCAATCACGGCCAGCCAACCGCCAACTTCTTTCTTGTTGTCTCCGCTGACCTTGGCCAGTTGACTGCAGCTCGACGAAAAGGCAGCCCTGGATTTGCGGATCGCTTGTTGTCGGCGAGCTTCGAAGCTGAAAAAATACATTGGAACACACCCTCGAAGGAAGAAAAGAAAAAAAAAAAAACCCGAATGTGAAAAAGAGTCCACTGAAGAATGCGTCCAACGTGCGCGATGCCGGACAAGGATCGGTCTGCCGGGTGTCCAACCCGTTTACACTCTGTCTCCCTACGGCTCCACCCCATTGGCGGCTTCAACCTACCCGAACTTTGAATCCAAGAACTGGACTAGATCAGTTCATGCCAACGGCTCGGTACCTTGTGGCGCGCCTTTCAACGCCCCTCATCCAGCCAAGTCCCGGTCCAATAAGCGACAATTCGCATTCAAAGTTCCGAGTGTTCTGAGAGTCAAGTCATGGCCTGCATGCTCCTCTGCATCGCAATATTGGCTGTCGCGGAGCCTGTGCTCCATTCCTGATCGTAACGGAATCGATCCGTTGAGGGGACAATATGTAATGGTCGCCGGCCAGGGGAAGCGTACGGGGCCGGCGAGAGGGACGTTAGTGTAGACGGCGAAACGGGTGCCACTTCAAGGAGGGGAGCCGTACGCGATACCTACTGTGCATGTGGGCACCGTCGTCGGATGGCACCGTCACCGTGGACATCCAGGGCATCTCGGCACCAACCCACCTGATGAAGGGGCAGATCCTGGCCTTGGGTCGAGCTGCCGAGCAGAGCGAGCTGGCAATTCTGCCAACGAGCCGCAGTTCGGACAGACACAACAGGGAGTCTGTATCGCAAAGCACCTGTACAGGTACCGCATACTTGTAGCGTCTCTGCGATGTACACAGTGTGCCATGTCCCCATGCCACACTCCGCCTTGGGGACAGAATCCTGTGGTGCCCGAGATTTCGAATGCTACCCCGGACAGCAGAGCCGATTATCACGCTTGCGATTTTGTTCAGCCAGATTGGACTTGGCACGGACATTCTGGCCAAAAGTGCGTTTACCGTAGTCTATTATACCCAGGTGGCCCGGCCGCGGCACACCTTGTTACATTTCGTCGAAGCGGCGGCCGCAAGCGAAAGTTGCAAAGCAGTAACTTCATCCTTCGTCATTCCTCTCGTGACCTTCCCCGTCCTTCAACAACCCAACATCCTCCGCCGCCACCGGGGAAAAGATTGAGCAAGGCCCCTTCCCCTCCCCCCAAAAAAGGCCTGCCGGACAACAAGCGCCAAGCGGCCGCCGACGTCAGCTATTTTACCCGTGTCCGTCGCCGATTTCACGACTGAGGCTTTTCCCCAGGCTTTTCGCAGTTCTCCGCCCCGAGCCAAACCCGCGAAACTCAAGCGTTGTTACGGGATTGACGGGGTGCCTCGTTCCCAGCAAACCGATCCTGGTTCCGAATCTGAACCGGCCGAACAACAAAAGCTTGAACCCTGATCCCTGGACGCCCGACCCGATCACTCAAATAAACAAAGCGGGACCCGCTGTGTTCCCATATTGCCGGGCCTACACTGTACATACAATCTCAAGAGTTCCGTCACCAACCACCTCGTCGGCGTCCCTCTCCGATATCCGAGACTCCGCGCCGCGTCCGCTCCCGTCCCGTCCCGCGGCTCCGGATTACATCACCAACAAAACTCCGTTCCGATGACTCCACCAACGCAGTACAAGCCCATTCAGCCGGCGCCGTTGAAGGTGACGAAATCAGGCACTTCATCTGGCTCCGGCCGAGTTAATGGAGAGAAGCATGCCAAGAGGGTCAAAGCTGTGACTCAGGCTTGTCATACGTGCCGTCGATACAAGGCCAAGGTATGTTTTACTCCCTCAACTAATTATCTATCTTGAGACGCTGATGTTTTGTAATGTTTGCGATGGGTAGTGCGATGGACTTCGCCCCAGATGCACTAGCTGCAAAACCAAGAATAAGCCATGCGGCTACGAAGGCGAGGAGGGCCAGTCCCGCCAGGAGGCGATGAAATCACGACTGGAGGCGTTAGAGAAGTTGGTGACCGCCCTTCAGCAAAAGTCACCCGAAGAGGCTGAAGCATTGCTTCAACGTATTCGAAATGCCGACGATATCGTTTCGCTTTCGTCGGCTGCTTCCAGCGAGAATGGCGACCGCATTGTCGCCGGACTTCATCGCAACGATTCGTCGTCGCCCAGCATGGGCGGGTCACTTTCCGAGTCGTTGTCATCACCTTCAGCTGTCCCGACTGTATCAACGGACATCATCAAGCGTGCTTTGCAATCTGGCTCTCCATCTTCGGACGAGTCGTCTGAAGGTAGCATGCAGCTTATCTCAGGTTCCGGGAACACCACCGCGCGCTTACGTGTCGATCATTCGGCCTATTTGATTCGTTTCGTCATTCCCAACGCGGACGCCACCCGTGCGGCTCTTAACAGTTTCTACAGCTCGAGCGGAAAACTTTTTCATGTCTTTTCCCAGCAGGAGATGGATCGGTACTTCACCACCGTTTTTGGCTACGATGGGCGACCCAACTATTCACAGAAGATGGCGATTTGCTGTCTTTGCTCAGTCGCTGCCATTGGAATTCAGTACAACCCCGACGACTTCGAGAAGGGCTCGGAACACATCTTTTATGAAGTCGCCCGGCGATATTTCGTGGATGTTCTCGAGGAGTCATCACTCGACGCCATCAAGGTTTGCACCATGTTGGCATTCTTTAACGTTATGAACAAGGCGACTATTTCGCTTGCTTGGGTGGAACTCGGCATGAGCATGTCTCGACAATTTGGCTTGAATACCACCATTTTGCTCCGCGACGAAAGGACCGACCAGATGATCGACTACAGGAAAACCTGGAGGACGTTGATGTTTTTCTCCAGCTGGCTTTCATCCACTTTGGGGTACATCTCCGGCAGCGCTGGATCAGACTTTTTGAAGTTTGTCCCCATTGCTGAAGTTGAGCCTCATTATCCCCTTCATGTGACGGAGACCGTTCAGAGGGAGATGACCAAGATATCGCTTCTCAAGGCCGAAATTCTCCGCATGCAATTCGAATTTCAGGATCTTCCCAGACTTACCGTTGTCGCCAACGAATATCTCGAGAAGTGGCACGAGAAGCTCCCGGTCGACGTGCAGTTGGCCAACCTTGCCAACCCTAGTCTTGATGACACAGTCCGAAGGTCTATCTATCATGTTCACTTGCTATATCTCGGTGCTATGCAGCTTCTGTATCGCTGGATTGCTGCCAGGCTCATCCAAACGACCACTGTCAATGGCAAGGAGGTTATTGTTGCTAGCGAGTCCGTCCCCGAGGAGGACCGCAAGCTGCTTAAGCACGTTTCCCAGGGCCTGATTGCCGCCAAGCATTCAGCCCGTCTGCTTGCTTTGCTGCACGGTGAACGTGGTATCTTCCAACGCTGCTGGTTGGTTATGTAAGTTCTGACGATATTCCCATCCAGTATGAATCGCTGAATGCGTCGACTGACATATTTCAAACCAGCTTCCAAGCACATACCTCGTGTGTTGTCATTATGCATTCGGTAGCGCAGAAACAACTTCATGGCTTCCCGGTCAGCTCCTGGGCTCCGGACCTCAAACTAGCGCAGCTGTGCCTGGACACGCTTGAATTCTGTGGAAGAATCGATCCGGTGGCTCTTCGCTTCCACGTGCGACTCTCCGCCATCTTTAAGAGCCTTGCAGCCGCTCTTCCGAGCAATGGCGACCAAACCACGAGACAGAGGACGGAAGATTGGGTCACCATGCCTCCTGATTTCCCGCCTATCCCTGGTGCTACCAGAGTCAACAACAGTGTGGACACGCCGATGGTGGAACCGGAACAACTTGAGGAGCCGGATCCGGAGTACCTTCTCACGATGCCGAAGGATGCCAAGGAACGCGTGGCCGCGCTGTCACACTCGCTGTTATCGGCACTTTGCCGACCTTGGGGCGGTGACGAAGTGGGACCGGCGGGCACGGCTTGTGCCCAGGGAAAGAGCAGCAATGCGATCGTAATCACGGAGAAGGTGGTGGATGAGGAAGACATTCCGGTAGCGTCGGGAACGTTCCGTTGGGATCACACGGGCCACCTAGGGTCGCGTGGCATGACCAAGTTGGCGAAGGAGCTGGGATTGACAAAGTCGGTCGACGAGTCGGGTCCGGACTCTTGCTCTAGTGAGCTCAGCCTGGGGAGCGACTGCAGGTTTTTGGATAGCGAGGACCCGCACGGTTGGCAGACAGCGCCAGAGTACATCGACATGTCATATTGATCATAATGGGGCGGCGATGGTGGTAGAGTGAGGACTGGATAGGGACATGGTTTGATGTCAGTGGGCTGGAGTTGTTTACCGTCTGGTCAATCGGGGCGTACCGGTTTGGGAATGCTGCATCGTGTTGGTGTCTCCTTTTTTTGTTTAAAGTGCCGTGGGGTTGGGGCATCAGTGTGCGATTTGGGCTTCTTTTGTTGGATTGTCCTTTTTTTATCGTTTTGGCTGACCGAGACGTCTATTACGTTTAGAGATTGTAGATAGCGTTTGCGCATATTGAATAGCTTCTTTGTTACTTGAATCGGAATGGAAAACCTGAGGGTGAGAAGACATTGTTGGCTTTTTCTCTTTTTCCCCTCCTCTTCATTTTCATGCTGAAAAGGGGTTCGCGTAGTGTAGCCCCATAAGCTTACACGGTGTCCACCAATGCGCTACAACTTGCAGCGGCGCCTCCCGTCATACGGTGCCAGGGGCATTGAGACTCCATTCAGACATACTACCTCTTAACAATTTCGACTTCTCTGTCCTCGGAACAGGCAACCAAAGCGGCCGACAAGGCAGGAACATTCGGTTGAACGAGGCAGAATTGCTCATCTTCCGAGCACCCGTTCTCGCTGGCAGTTCGGCTGCAGCTTCAAACTTTCCCCTCACAATAGAGCCATATACTTTCAATCGATCAAAATACCTATTGGTAGTCTGGCCATCAACCACCACCCCCCCCCCTGCTGAAAACGAACTTTCAACAATCCATGCTTTTCTTCACGGCGCTTCTTTGGATGACGCGAATGGCCACTTTTGTGCGACCAGGGACTGCATGTCGTCGTGGCGCCAGAGACTTGTCCCTTTTCGTCCTGGGCTCTTGCTCGGCTCTCTGGTGGGCCCCTACAGGGGAACAGGCCCGCTCAGCTTTCAGCGCTTAACATCGTCCTGGGGCTCTTGGTTTTCCAGCATCGGTGACCAACCATTGCCGACCATGATCCCTCCCCGCGACAAAATCATGTCAACACGACCAGTCAAGCATCACCAAGCAATTCGTCCCCCCGGCAAGCATGGTAAGGCGTAAGGCACTGACCGGGGGATCGGCCATTGCCAAACGGTCGGGTCGCCCATATCATCCGGATTGGCTGCGGCGGCGCGCTTGCGCTTGTTCGTCCGGTATTCAAGCCTGTCGGTCGTTTCAAGACGCGCCTGCATTTGCACTGCATCGCGCTGCATTTCGATGGACGGCCATCGATGGCATCCTGTGGGTTGAAAGGCATGCCACCGCATGCCACCGCATATCACCACATGTCACCACATGTCTCTAGCATGGCGGGCAGGGCAAGCAGGGCGTCTGTGATATGGGTCCTCATGGGTCCCGGGGAACGTCTCCGACCACTCTCGTTGACCGTTCTGGAAAGGGAAATGGGCTTCATCGCGAAAAGGTTGGGTTCAAGGTGTGCCCAGCTACCCACCGGGACCCAAAAGCTTTCAAGGCTGTGACTGTTTCGGTGTTTCGTTCATGGTGGGTGGTGTGGATGCTGGATCGTCGTTGGGTGACAGACGTGCTTCTGTTTGTTGATTTCTCATGGGTAACACCATCCAGGTACTCCCGTCACCTTTCATATTTGTGCAAGTTTCCTTTCCTCTCTCCAAGTTGGATTGGTACGTCGAACACGACATCTGCACACATTGGTGTTTGGTTACTTTTCCTTGCTGCTTCCTTATTCCTTTCTTTTTTCCGTTATCGTCCGTCTATTTTCTGTTCATCTTGATTTCGTCTTTTCCATATTTACATGCTGCTTTGATCGTGCCGCCCGGAGCGACCTCGGTCAGCTTACTCGAAATATTTAATGGGATTCTCGTGGAAATCGCAAGAACAACAGCAACTCTCCCCTAACCAACGGGCCATCATGGCCGACCACGAGACCGAAGAGGCCAAGCGCCTGATCCTCGCACGACGAGCCTCTGTCCAGAGCAAGAGCAGCGAACAATCCTTCGGTCGTCTCCGTACCCGATCACGGACATTCTCCAACTCACAGAAACCCTTCACCTACCAAGAAATCAACCAAGTTCTCGACGAGGTGGTGGATGCAAATGGGCCCGTCGGTGTGATCAAGGCCCTCCTGGCACTCGGAGCCGACGTCAACTTTTCCAAGAGGAGGAGCGTGGACACCTGGAGCAAGCTGACGGGCAGGAAAAATGAAGGCTGGCGCAGCGATATCCTCATCCGAGCAACCGTCCGATGTCCCTCCGAGACTGTCTATGCCATCGCCCACCAGGCCGACCAGGAGAATCTCGATGGAGCTTTGCACCATGCCATGCTGAGGGGTAACCTTGCCGTCCTGCAGGCTTTACTGGATCACGGCGCGAATCCCGTTCAGCTTCATGATGACTTCCTCGAGCTCATATCCCGCAACCAAGTCGATCTTGTACAGGCCATCCTCGCTGGCCATCGACTTCCCTGCCTTACATGCCGATCTAGCGGGCTGAGGATAGCCGCAAAGAACGGGTCGTTGGAAATAGTCAGTCTGCTACTGAAGTGTTGGGCAGATGTCAACCATGATGGAGGAGCCGCGTTGGTGGCAGCTGTGGAAGCCCGCCGTCCCGATTTAGTCGCAGTTCTCATCTCTGGCCCGGTTCAACCCTCACCTCGTTCTTTGGATGCTGCTCTTGGCAGAGCCCACAAGGCAATGGTGGCTCGCTCGACCGAAGAAGACCGGGAAATCATCGAAATGTGTCTGTCTGCAGGTGCTGCAGGAGAGGAGACGACTCGGCTGGTGACGGAAGGCGTCGTGGCTGCTGTGCGGACAAGACACATCCAGTTGCTAGACACGGTCCTCAGGGTCAAGAGGCCACCACCTCAGTATGAAGCAATGGCCATGGTGGATGCAGTCAAGGCGGAGCATATTGATGTTCTGAGCAAGCTGCTTGTACTGAAACCGCAGCCCAGGAGTCTCATGCTTGCGGTTTCACAAGCCGTGGAAATTCATAACCGACAGACGCGTCACGATATCGCCCAGATCCTCATCGATTCGGGTGCTCAGGGGCCATGTACGGCGGAGGCGTTGGTCAAGGTCGTCAAGATAATTATTACCGAGCCCGGAATGCCCAACAAGACTTCTTCGGATCGAGCGATGGACAAAAAGCTGTTCCGTCTTTTACTTCAGCAAGGAAAGGCGGATGTGAACTATGGAAATGGCGAAGCTTTGCAGATTGCTGTTCAGAAGCCGTGCCCAGAGATTGCTGAAGAGATTGTTGGTCGGGAACCATCGCCCGAAGCCTTGGGTGCTGCCTTGCCGTGGGCAATGGACCTGGTCAACCCGCGTGCCAGGGAGTCGATGATTGGACTTTTGCTTCGAAAGCAGATCAACGAGGATGCTGTAGGAAAGGCCTTGGTTCAGGCCTTCAAGGAAGGGCCTGATAATGGGCAAGTCACTTCAAGATGGCGAGCAGAAGAGAGAACGTGACTAACTAAAGCATGGAACAGGCCCCTTATCAAGTTGCTACTCACTCGCGCGTCTGTGAACCATAACAATGGCGAAGTGTTTATTTTCGCCATCCGCCAATACCGACCCGAGACGTTCCGCATGCTCCTCGACCAAGGGATAAGCTACAAGGCGCTTTTCACCGCGATCAACGAAGCGCTCAAGACTTCCAGGACAAGCAGGCGAGCGGTTTTTGCTGATCTTATTGGGCGTCTGCAGTTTGACCATCTAAACACGGCTTTGAAGCACGTCATCCTCGAGGCCGACACGGACCTTCCTCTGGCCAAATCACTACTCGAAGCAGGAGCTGAGGCTACGCACGAGAACGGTGTCTGCATTAAGAATGCTGCCTCCAATCTCGACCGCGATACCCTCGGTCTCCTAACAGAGTACTCTGGCACTCATGACAGCATCTTCACGCAATCCATGGCCGGTGTCGTCAACCGTGGCAAGCAGTGGATTGCCTTTGAGCACGTCGAGGTCATGGAGCTCCTCGTTCGGGGAGGGGCCTCTACCCAGGTGATCAACAAGGCCGTGGTGGAAGTCATTGACACTCTCGCTTGTAAGCAGTCACAGATCGATCTGGCCAACAGATTCCTCGACATCTTCTTCGCTGCCGGCGCCGATGTCAACTGCGAAAACGGAAAGCCGGTTGGGATCGCCGCCAGCCGTGGTGATCCGGTGCTTCTTGCGCGGCTGCTGAGCAACGGTGCGTCCTCGATGACTTCTACGCACGCTCTTTCTACCGCTATCATGGCGCATCATGAAGAAAACCTCTTGCTACGCTTGATCGACGTCTTTGCGGATAGACGGACTGCGGCGCCGGATGTTAACCAGTCAATTCCGGGGATGCCGTCGCCGATCTTCCTGTGCCTCAAATCCTATCCCAAGTCTCTGGACTTGTTGGATAGTCTGGTTGGTGCCGGGTGTGATCTTGAGTCTACTGTGTTGTCGGATGTTTGCCCTGAGGAGGAGTCGACTGAGAAGAAGGTTCGGGCTGGAAGTTTCGATGAGCCAGTTACCGTCTTGTTGTGGACTCTTTTGCTCAGAAATAGCCAGATTGATCCAGCTGTGGTTAATGGGCTTGTTCGTCACGGTGGTAAGTGCCTACCTTCTCTGGAGCAGATGTCCTGTACTAACAGAATCAACCAGCCAACATCGCGTATGCGACGCCGAGAACTCACACTACGGCTTTAATGTTGGCGGTCAAGTCAGGGAGGTTTGAAGCTGTGCAGACACTCCTCGATGCTGGTGCCAAAGTCCATGCCAAAGACAGCCAGGGACGTTCCGCCTTGTACATCGCTGCCAGGCTGGGCAATGCGGACATTGTGGCTGCATTACTGAGGATCAATCCTTCCATGAACGATGGCAGTCTTCATGAGGCATCACGCAATCTTCATGTCGATGCAATGCGCCTCTTGGTTGAATGCGGACACGATCCCAACTACAGATCAAGCAAGCACGACGGACGTACCGCCTTCGGCGAGATGGCCCTCAAGGCTACGGTGCCTCGTGATATCACCATTGCTGAGGAGGCCGTCGAAATCCTCTGTACTGGTGGTGCTAGCCCTTTGCTCAAGACCAATGACAAGACCATCCTCTTCCTGGCCTTGGACAACATGGACAACGAAGCGATGACTCGTCTACTCCTAGACAAGCATTTGTATCGGATCTTGAACACTCCGGAGAACATGTATGTGGAGGATATCTACCACTACTCGCCCACGATGTATGTAAAGAAGGGCATGCTTCAGGGACCAAGGACCGCCGGTCTTATCGAGATCCTGGAGGGTCATGGCGGTGAGGACCGTTACTACGCTACCATGGAACAGAAACAGCCACACGATGCCGTCGGTATGCCCGAGGAAATCCAGCAGTTTGAGCGGGAGCGCCGCGCCCGGGAGCGACGTATCCGGGAACAAGAGGAAGAGCATGCCGCCGCCCTGCGCCGCGAATTTGAAAAGGCCAAGACGGTCGACGTGATCGAAGACCTGCACCACGACCGCTCATACCGACACTATGAAAACATCTCCGACCAGCACCGGCGAAACAAGTACCTCGATCACCAGACCGAAATCACCATCAAGACTGAAGCCGCCCTCGTCGACAACTCCCTCAAGCTGCAGGGCGCCAATGTCGACGGCACGATCCAATGGCAGCACCACAACAACCACATGGTCATGGGCGTCAACGCCGCCCATGTCCAGCGCGACATCCGTATTCAGCGGCACGCAGTCGACATGAACATCGGCCGCGAAGCCGCTCATCTCAACCGGTCCATCGCCATACAGCACCACAACGACGGGATGGTCATGGCCTCTCAACAGCGCGGCACCGCCCTTGCGCACATGCGCCACGAACACCGGCAGGTGATGCAGCAACGGAAGGACCACGGGATGCTGAACCGCGTCCATGCCGAAAACCGGCACGCATTTGAGATGCACGCCGGTGCCCAGCGCCATCGACAGGCGCTAAACCACCAGCGGTCGGCTCATCAGCTGGGCGTGAGGAATCGCGCGGAGCATTATAACCAAGGGTTGGAGTTCCAGGGGAGAGCTCAACAAATGCATGAGAGACATATTGAGGCCATTCATCAGAAGCATATGATGCTGGCGGGGGCGAAGCATACGATGAATATGACGGAGTTGGGGGCGCAGAGGGGAAATATTATTGGGCAGACTAATTTGAATGAGTTGAGGCAGTGGTCGGCGGCTGGTGGACGTGGTGGTGGTGGCAGTGTTGGATATGGAGGGGGGGAGAGTGCAGCTGTTGAATTGAGATGATTTGAGAAAGGGGAGGAAAGGAATGATTCAGGGGTTGAGAGCGTTAAGCATGAAGGCGATGGAATAAGACTCGGGGGATTGTTGCATGGAAAGGGAAGATTGAGCTGAGATAAGGATGGCGTGTTTTTGCTTATTTGATACCATTAGTATAGCATATAGCTTACTTCAACAGATTCAGAATTTGTTATTATTTTCTTTCAGCGTTGACTTCAACATGTATTGGAAGTTAACCATGTTCAAGACGTTCCTACACAGTAGAGGATGGTCTGGTGTTCAACACAGATGGACAGGGTAAGGGTTAGAGGTGGTGGTGTAGTCGGCCAAACTGGACATGATCACTCATATTTCGTCACAATAACGCATTGAGAAAGCGTCTCGAGGGAAAACTAATGGAAACTTTTGGTCATTCGTTTTCAGAATGGATCGATATCTCCTTCCCGGCATAGTTATCCCCATAATTATCAACGACGATGATCGCTTGAGATTGGTATAAGTGGAAAGCCACACCCAGCTTCCACCACACCAGCCACAACTCCTTCTCCAATTTTGTGCGGAGATCAAAGTGGATTGCCCCCGATCCTTATCTCCGGTGGGATCACCCGTGCCGGGTGCGGGGAGGCCGTCATCAGGGCGGCTCTCTCCGTCCGTTGCAGTGGTTGGGTGGGAACCGACACGGGGCGGACATCTCAGTGCGTCCGTCCTTCTGAACCGAACTTTATCAAAGCAATTGCATGAACTGCTTCCCTCTTTAACCACGAACAACGTTTCATCACAGTAGCCAGCGGTCGATCCCTTCTGTTGGAATTCAGCCTCAGCCGACCGACCGAACGACGTAACACTGCATCACCTCACTCAGCCCTCAGTGCTCACCGATTGACCTGACCGATAAGCTGATCGACCAAACCGACTGTAACCTCTCTCCATTTGATTTTACCGACCGACATTCTCACCAGTCAACTCACCATCTTGAATGAAGACGTGAATCTCACCACCACTATTCGGCCGCCGTGACCACAACCAAACACACAAACACATCTACCGCCCCGCCGACCTCAACACCACACCTGACTCGAAAGTCACCCCGCAATGGCCGACTACGACCAGCCCAACACGGGCGCTTCAACAGCAGCAGCAGCAGCAGCGGCAGCAACCGCCACGGCCGCCGCCCAAGCCGCCGCCCAAGCGCAGCTCAAAAAGGTAAAGAAGCAAAAAGTCTTGCTCATGGGTAAATCCGGCTCCGGCAAGTCATCCATGCGCAGCATTATCTTCAGCAACTACCTAGCGCGCGACACGCGGCGTCTGGGCGCCACCATTGACATCGACCTCTCGCACGTGAAATTCCTCGGCAACCTAACGCTCAACCTCTGGGACTGCGGCGGGCAAGAAGCCTTCATGGAGAACTACCTGTCTCAGCAGCGGGCGCACGTGTTCAGCAACGTGGGCGTGCTGATCTACGTCTTCGACATTGAGTCGCGCGACGTGGACCGCGATCTGGCGACGTACGTCAACATTATTTCCGCGCTGGTGCAGTACTCGCGCGAGGCCAAGGTGTTTGTGCTCATCCACAAGATGGATCTGATCCAGCCGATGACGAGGGAGGACGTGTTTGATCGGCGCGTGGCGCTTGTGCGCAGGAAGACGGCCGAGGCGGTGGCTATCGTCCGTAAACAGAAACCCGAACTCACCGGCCCCTCACCACCACCACCACCTGGCCCAGGCGGTGCCATGGCAGGCTCCCTCCCGTCCCCAGACTCACCGATCCCCGACCTCGAAGTCTCGATGCAGCTCTTCGCCACCTCCATCTGGGACCAATCGCTCTACAAAGCGTGGGCGTCCATAATCCATGACCTGGTCCCGAACCTGTCGGTAATCGAGACCCAGCTAGCTTCCTTGGGCGTAGCAATCGATGCGGACGAGATCCTGCTCTTCGAACGCACCTCCTTCCTTGTCGTGAGCAAATGGACTTCCCCGGAAGGCGAATCGAACCCCTACGGCGACCGTTTCGAGCGCATGTCCAACATTCTGAAAGCGTGGAAACATACCTGCAGCAAGTTCACCGGCACGCCCCGCAACGCGGAGCAGTTTAGCGATTTCGAGTACAAGATGGGCGCCAACTTCAGCATGTTCGTCACCAAGTTCACGACGAACACGTATATCCTGGTGTGCATGCCTCCCGGAGAGGCGAGTTCAATAGCGCCAAGCTGAATGTGGCGGCGGCGAGGCCGTGGTTTAGGTTTCTGGATGGCCCGATGATTGCGCCGACGCAGGGGATTGGGAGTTCCCAGATGTTGAGCGGGTTGGCTGCGGGAGGAGGGGGTGGTGAAGCGTAGTTGTAGGTGAAGGGGGTGGCGGACGAGGGGAGAAAACTTTGGTGATGATGAGGGTTAAGGTCAGAGGAAAGATGCATTCAGGCTTGCATAATGGGCGACAGAGCATTTGTTAGTTTGGGTTTTTGGAGTGATTCGGGTTCGGCTCACGATATTCTTGGATGTACAGAAGCCAGACTGGGGCATACAGCACGCCCACGAGACACGACGGCCCCTTGATATTGTGTCTTGGGCATTTTTTTGGTTGGCATGCTTTCCTTTTCTTTTGGGTTTTCGGTCTTACTCAGCAAGTCATTTGCGATAGGGGTTGATGATACCCATGGCGGCCAAGGCGACGGCGACGCAGGCGTTCAAAAGTAATGAGGGAAGAAGACAGTTCAACAGATTTAGTGTTAGGCGATATGGTTAAACAAGGAAGCTCTCAACTAGAGCTTCTGTATTTTAGTTTTAAAGATCAAGACTGATTATGTCTAGCCTAGAATTGCTTGCTTTGTTGGCCCATATTATGAATCTGACCATGAGCGAAATCCCTTTACCGATTAACCCTCTTGGTCCTCTCATTAGTCGTACCAATACTTTTTCTTTCTCCCTTAAGCCCACTTAACGACAGCAGCAGCGCCCCTCTTGAACTCGGGAGTCTCACCCAGAACCAGAGACTTGTCGGTGTGATCCTTGTTGGGGAAGGTCGTAGAAAGGACCCAAGGTCGGGCCGAAAGAGCCGTCGAAGAGCGCTGGATAAACTCATAGACATCGCCGATCGTCTGGGTGGTGTTGAAACGAGCCGGGAGACGGCTACCGTCAGGCAACTGGATACGCAACATCACTGTCGGCTGCGACTCATCCACGCCAGTTGAGGGGGCCTGGATAGATCCACTAGCAGCAGACACAGAAGCAGTAGTGATTCTTGCGGGTGCAGCAGCAGGAGCAGCAGGGGCGGATCCGTCTCCCGGCACAGGACTTCCCAGGCGACGGCCCTCACCACTAAAGGGGACGTACTTCTTGGGCAACTGCCTCCACTCTTCCTGATGTTGCTCCAACTTAACGTTCACGCGCTGATCAGGCCTGACGTTCATGAGCCGAAGCGGGGCGCGGCCAGCACGGATCATGGCCAGATCGGCCGCGTTCGCCGGGTCATCAAACCGATAGAGTGGACCCTCCTCGACGCTGAATCCGTTGCTCCAAATATGCAAGGTTCTTTCCTGAGTTGGGCCGTCCGGCTGGCGGGGGGCCGGGCTAGAGGTATCGGAGTCGAGATCGGGGATTTGTCGAGACTCGACGCCGTCACCGCCAAGGGTCATACCAGCGCCGCGGAAGCGGGTAGGTCTCGCGGGTCCGGTACTGGTTCCTTCGTCATCGGAGCTATTGCCAGCACTGGCACGGGAGTTCCTGCATGGAGGACATGGTAATTAGTAAGGAGATGGACTGGACATAGACTTCGACTGTGGGAACATACTCTCTAGCCTTGGCAAGGATATCTTGAAGTAGCCTTCTGGTGTCGCTGTTGGGTTCACGTTGACTAGGGTCCTGGACAGCCAAGCCTGACTTCTCACCACCAGCAAACAAATCCCTAGGTCCGCGGCTCTCGTCTTCCTCGTCATCCTCGTCGTCATCGTCATCCTCGTCGCGGCGACCACCTATGGAGCTAAGGGTCGCCAGGCCGGTGCGTTTTTGGGTCTTCTTGGGGGCGGCAGAGGATGATTGCGCATACTGGGGAGCGGGGCGGCCGTCGAGAGTCCTGGGGCCGGTATACTCGGCAGGCGCCGGGGCGCTGGCAGCAGCAGAAGCAGAGGCAGCTCCGGTGTTGGAAGCACTGGTGTCTTGATCCGTGTAGTATGCGGCGACGGCAGCATCCATGTCCCAGTCGTAATTGTTCAGGTACTCTGTAGCCTGTGTCATATCAGTCAGTAAGCATACTATAGTGAAACGATTGAAATAATTCTACCATACCGCATCAGTGGAGATTCCCGTCAGCTCACAGAAGCTGCTGATCTTGTCGTCGTGGTCCGCCATTGTTGTGTTTCGAGATGATGATGGCTTGATTGGTTCGAGTTGAGTTGCAAGGTGAAATATTCCGGTGTGTTCAAGTTTGTAGAGGCGAAGGGGAAAAAAATACAATGCGATTATCGACGGGAGCCGTTGGTATGTACCGCTAAGACTGGAAGAAGGTTTGGGATGAGATGGATCGAGTGAAAGCAAAGTCCAAAGAAAGAAGTGAATCGATGTCTATCACAGGCAGCATTAGAGGACGTGACGTGACAGCTGCACCGGTAGGGAAGCACTAACAGTTGCCCCGCAGAATCACTGCTTGAACAGCTGCCCAGCTGTTAAGGTGGAAGCTACTTGGACCTATGAAGTGGCTCCGCCCCGCCAAATAGAAGCTGCGACCTGCTGCTGGCCTCCCTGCCTGTTACGTAAGCTTTTACAGGCCCCGCTGTTCCCCAAATGCTCGCGCTAAAGTGAATCCAAGCTGTCAGGTCCATCCCTGCGATGTGAGCCTGTGACGCCAGCCGGCGGGGATTTTCTGTGGTGTTCGGCTCTGCCTGCCCCGTGCCTAGCTCGCGACCTGTCACAGTTGCTTCTCCCATCAATCCATTCCGTCTTCCATTTCTCCTTTGCGACGCCATTCAGCTTCCTTCCATTATCGCATCCAACAACCTTGCGCCCCAACCATTCGCCTTACAACCTCCCACCGTCGCAAGCAAATACAACCGTAACCATGTCCGCCGATGAACTATCGAACCCGTTGACCGAGTCCGGCGTCACGATCCCGTCAGACAGCGAGCAGTATTCGGCGCCCGATTCTACGTCACCACAATCTCCATCATCGTCGTCCTCCCCCGCCGTAATCCTTTACCAGCCACCAACCGTCTGGTCGCTATTCCGCAGCGCCGTCATCAACCTGTTCCTCCCCTTTGTGAACGGAATGATGTTGGGATTCGGAGAGCTCTTTGCCCATGAAGCTGCGTTTAGGTTGGGATGGAGCAATACTAAAGTACGCGACACAGACTTATTCCAACTCGGTCTATCCACGCCGTCAAAAGCGCTAACCGCATTTTAGGTCTTCCCCGTCAGCAGACGAGAGGCGCATTCGATCGGCCCCGGTATCGAAGTCGTCGAGAGGTCGAGGCGGAGGGTGGACTTGGATGACCTGACCAGCTTGGAGTGATGGGCGCGTCGCCTTCCGCAGGCCACCTAGCGCAACGGCAAAAAGCAGCGACACAATTGTCCAACTACCAGAGCCGAAATCCGAATCAAGTTTTTGATAAAACTTAAAATGGCGAGATAGACGCTTATACAGCGCTACTACCCAACGCAGCACATGGGACCTGTCCTGGTCCTCTGCGCAATCACACTTCCATCATCACGGCGGCGACCGTGCCGGACTTTTGAAGGCATCTGTTTAACTGAAACGAGCATTGGTTACGATATCATGTGCGACAATTGGAGCAGTGAGAGGAGGATGAAGGAATCGAGCATCCAAGTTACATATAGCTCTGGGCTGCATATAGCAAACACAGCAGACTGCTAGCAGGCGTCAGAGATACATGCTTTCTGGCAGTGACTGCAGGTACTACGTACGAGAAATAAGAATGATGGCAAATTGGATAAGATCCAACGCTACAACGACAAGACAATTCTTCGCTCCTGGTCTGGCCCGCAAGGTACTCCGTATATAAATAGGTACAGATAACAAGTGAGGACCGTGATGGCCGCACTGAAGCCTGCTCGGGCTTCCATGTGCCTTTCCCGGGTCAACTGCCGGCTGTCCCGCGGCTCTTGGCGGCTGTCTAGGCTGTTGAGACAGCTGCCAGATGAGCGTTCATTGGGCTCTGCGGGCCGTTCCTGGCTGAAACCCAAGCAGTGGTGCGGGGCCTGGCTAGAGACCCATGGACCCTTGCCGAGTTCCTTTTCTGGGGAAAAAAAAGTCGCGTCTGTCGGCGGCGGCAGAGTCCCACTTCCATGCTTGTCGGTTGACCCATTGAATTTGGAGGGGATCCGGTCTTTTGTTATTTGAGGTTATCTTGAACATTGAAGTCTCCCCAAACTCTCCAGTCAAGATGCTTCCCAGCCGAGGCCTCCTAAGGTCGACCCCAGCTTTGGGGCTCGCCAGAGCTGTGAGTTTATTTCAACATATCCCATCCTATCTTCTGTCACTCTACCGGCGGCACATTTCCCAATGCGCTGCGACTAACACCATTCTTGTGCGCATAGTCTCTCAAGGCCCCTTCGTCGCGACAGTTCGGCACTGCTCTGCGTTCTTCTTTCCCCCAGGGCGCTCGCAGGATAGGAGGTCCTCTCGGCGTCACTGCGACCGCCGCCGCTTCCCACCCCCTCCTCTCTTCCCTTCGCCAGGTCCGCTACGCCTCGACCGGCCCTGATGCCGCTGCCCCCGTCGCCGATGCCGCCGCCGCCGCTCCCGCTTCCGCGCCCGTCGATGCTGTCGCCACTACTCCCGTCGAGCTTACCGGAAGCGATCTTCTCAACCTTCCCGAACAGATCGGTTTCCTCAAGACCCTCGGCCTCGACTATGGCTGGGGTGTTACCTCGATGATGCAATGGCTTACCGAGCACGTCTACGTCTACTCTGGTCTTCCGTGGTGGGCCACGCTCGCTGCCGTCGCCGCCATTGTCAGAATCTCCATCTTCAAGCCCTCTCTCAACTCTTCGCAGGAGTCCCAGAAGATGCAGGATCTGAACAAGGACCCCAGATATGCCGCCATCATGGCCAAGGTGAAGGAGGCCAGCTGGGACACTAGCAAGCAGAACGATCTTATGAAGTATAGGGCAGAGATGGCCAACATGACCAAGGCCGCCGGCATCAACTACTTCAAGGTCTTCATTCCCTTCGTCCAGGTTCCTATCGGTTTCGGCATGTTCCGTCTTATTCGCGGAATGGCCGCGCTTCCTGTCGAAAGCATGGAGACTGGTGGCACCCTGTGGTTCCCCGACCTTACTGTTGCCGACCCTTACTTCGCCCTTCCCATTGCCAGTGCCTGCCTGTTTGTTGCCTCTATGAGGGTAAGCTATCCCTGGTACTGCCCCATGCAACAAGATCCATTGCTAACATAACATGCTTTTGCCATAGAAACCCATCCCTTACATGGCCCCCCAGCAGGGTCGGATGATGAAGTCGATGGCTGTCGTCCTTGTCCCCATTTCCATCTTCGCTACCGCGTGGCTTCCTGCCGCCCTGCAGTGGTACTTCCTCGTCTCCGCGATCGGCCAGTACTTCCAGGCCAGCATTTTCCACCTTCCCGCCTTCCGCCGCTGGGTTGGTCTCCCCGAGCTTGTGAAGGGTGGAATGCGTGGGCCTTCCCCCTTCGCCAAGGCGGCTGCTCCTAGCGGCGCTATTCAGTATGTTGCGCCCAGGACGATCGATACCACCGCCACCCCTGCCGACACGGGCTCGTTCCTCGGCGACATCAAGGACTCGAGCAGCTTTGTGAAGGAGAAGCTTGAGAACTGGAAGAAGAAGAACGAGAAGACCAACTTCTCCTCGCGTGCCAAGGAGTATGAGGAGAGGAGAGCGTTGGAGGAGCACGAGGCTCTCATGGCTCGTCTCGAGATGAAGAAGCAGAAGCAGAAGGGGCGCAGGAGCAACTAAGTGGGATATGATTTGCAAATGAATCCCACCTACCATCGACGGCTCGTCTAATGGAGCAACACTGATGATTCTTGGATTGGAAGCCGAGCTCGGAAGCCGGGGTCGAGCCCAAGTTCACTAATCACCTTGTACAACAAAGGAATCTTGTTTGTTGTCAGGACTCAGCCCTACCGATATTCTTGCTCTTCAGCATACCCTGCCTGCAATGGCTGAATGAGAGCTACGCAAGCTTATGACTTCGAAACAAGAAACTGTACACTACCCTACCCCTTCTGTACTATACAATCTAGAGACATCTTTGGTTGACCAGACTGGCGTTTTTGAACAGAGCGGTAACGTATATCACTTTTTTGCATCTTTTTTTTTCACCGCTTCATGACCACGCTTCAATATTGATTTGACAGGAACAACCGGCGTGAGGGTAGATTACTAGATTATGTAAGTACACGCGCTCCTGTCAACCACAGGAATTGTGAAATGCAAGCATCTCTGTGATGCAATTCGCCAACCACACAGTATATGCAGAGCTTTGTAGATATTCGCAAATGCAAGATTGCTCTTTGATTGGTTGACACCAACGCCGTCGAAGAGAGGGGCAACAAAGCTGAGTCGGAGGGGGAATCCATTCGGTCCCGCTCGGTGTGAGCACGCCATCCCTCCCGCGCGAGCCCGCCATGAAGGGCTTGGCTGAGGGTTTCATGAGGCTGTGGGAATGACATATATCAGGATTTAGATCAGCAATCACCGGTCGCCAACTACATCTATATAAAGTCTCATCACCAAGACGGTAGCACCAAGCTCTAAACTTGAAAGTTGTATCCACTCACTTGTAACGACATTTATACCTTACCTCGTTTCACCACTCAGTCTTGGCTATAACCGCTCATCTCAAAAAGTCCTCACCACTTCGAAGCTCTCTTCACCAACTCGATCAGTCAAGAACTCACACAAAAATTTCTCTCTCTACCAACACCAACACCGAAAATGCCCGTCACCAACGAAGACATCGTCACCCGCATCGAGGCCGCCTCGGCTTCTTACTCCTCCACCTTCGACAAAGGCCATCTCGCCCTCCCGCCCGCAAAGAAGTATCTCCTGCTCACTTGCATGGATGCTCGTATTGATCCCGCGAGAGCGTTCGGGATCGAATTGGGTGATGCGCATGTTATTCGGAATGTACGTTCGAGTCCCCGTCCCAGCTCACACTATTATTCACTTCACTTTGGCCTTGTGGTGATTAGACCTAGGTGGTTGACATTTTTATACAAACAAAATCTAGGCCGGCGCATCAACCAAAGACGCCCTCCGCAGCATCATCATCAGCCAGCAGCTTCTAGCCACGGAAGCCATCGCCATCGTCAAGCATACCGGCTGCGGCATGTTGACGTTCAAGAATGAGGATGCTTATGGTGTGGCTGAGGAGAATCTTGGGTATGTTTTCCCTTTTTTTCCTTATTTTTTTTTTTGTCCTTTCATTTACCTCCTTTTTGTCATTTTTGGGGGCTGTGGCTAACTGAAATGGATACCAAACAGTGTCGAAGCACGAAAGGAGCTTGAGGAAAGAAAGCTGGATTTCCTTCCTTTCCCTGAGCTGACGCAGGCTGTTCGGGACGATATCGAGTTTTTGAGGGGGACCAAGTTGGTCAAGGATGAGGTTCCTATTAGTGGGTGGGTGTATGAGGTTGAGACGGGCAAGACGGTGAGGGTTGTTTGAGTCGTGGGTTGACTGTGAATCTGTTTGCTTCTGGTTTCGGGAGAGGGAGGGTGGGTGAGTTATTACAAGCGTGGAGCATGGGACTAAACGGACGATGAAGAATATTGGACACACGTTGTAGTTATAGAGGCTTGGAGATGTTAACTATGAATATGGAATGAAAATCGTGTCTATGACTATGTTGCCCCGGCCTAGCCTGAACGCCTTGCTCCCTCCATCCGGTCTATCTAACAAAACAAGAGTTATAGAACTTTTATCTAACACCAAATTCTAGACTCTATGTGATAATCTGAAATGCCCCGCTGTCTATCTCAGTCCTCGTGGTGTCATCAAGGAAACAAAAACAAAACGTTTGTGCATGTGTAAAACCAAGGTGTATCGTAACTGCCAGGTTGGGTATCTTTTGTCATGATCAATAACAGGGATGGTTATTCCCTTTCGGTCGGTCGTGTGCTTTCTTCTCGCGGTCCAGGCGTCAATCAGAAATCTTCGCGTCTCGGTCTCTTGTTCTGACCGGGAGGCGCAGAGTCGTCACGAGGCTTCTTGAAGCCACTGTTCCTGTCACCACCGGCACCACCGGCAGGGCCACCGCGTCCTCTGCCGCCAAAGCCACCACGGCCACGGCCACCACCACCACCACCACGACGAGGAGCACCTCCGTTGGAACCATTGCCGAAGAAGGAAGCATCCACATCGCGAGCAGCGTCGCGACCAGCATCATGACCAGCATCACGGCCAGAATCACGGCCGGCATCACGACCACCGCCGCGGGGGGCAGATTGGTTCTGCCTGTTACCGCCGCGCTGAGACTTGAAAGATGGGCCCTTATTCTTGATCAAGCCAGGAACACCCTTGAGTCCCATCTTGCTAATGGTAGACGCTTCAATGGCAGGGGGCTCCTCGCAGCCAAGGGAGAAGGCATAACGGTTGGCGATCTGAACCATCTGGGCGGGGGTGATCTTCATCTTGGAGCGCATGGTGTTGGTGAAGCCGAGGAAGGCAACGTAGGCCTGGGCCTTGACCTGATCGGGAACCTTGGCCAGTGACTGGCTGATGATGCCGGCCGAGTCGATGGCGGCCGCCTTGGCGTGCTCGAGCTTGGACTGGACCATGGGGAACTGGCGGTTGCGCTCGGACAAACCAAAAGTCCTCGGGGTGACAATCATGACGGCGCGGCCACCCTTGCCAGCGCGACCGGTTCTTCCAACACGGTGAACGTATTGCTCGCTGTTAAGGGGAATTCCAACCTGGATGACAAGGTGGATGTCGGGGAAGTCCAAGCCACGTCCAACCACGTCCGAGGCAAAGAGGATACCGCTCTCGGTGCTCTTGAACTCCTCAGTTGTCCTGGTGCGCTGCGCCTGGTTCATGCGTGACTGCATCTGCCAAACAGGCAGCTTCGCGGGGGCAGCGCCGCCGGTGTGACCGAAGAGAGTGTACAAAAGAGCGGCTTGTCTGGCGGTCGAACAGAAGACAACAGCCTTGAGCTTGGGGTTGTCAAAACGTTCGGCTGACAGGAGCTTGTGGAGGGTAGGAATGACATCATCAACCGAGTCGACCTTCATGTACGACTGAGGGACGCTGTTGATGGTAGGGGCCTCATTCTCGTCGACAGTGGTGATGTGGGCGTGCTTAGGAGCAAGAACATGATGCAGCACCTTGTGGATTGTGGGAGGGAGCGTGGCACTGAAGCACATACCCTGCCAGCCAGCCTGTTGCTTTTTGGGCAGGCTTGTGAGGATCTTGGTCAGGGCGGGCAAGAAGCCTTGATCAAGCATGCAGTCGGCCTCGTCCAGGACCAAGCAGCGGAGGTTGTTGAACTTTTGCCTAACACGCTCGTCGGAAAGGTAGTCATCCAGACGGCCGGGAGTGGCCACGAGGATGGTGGGCTTGCCGCGGAGGAACTTGCTGAGACTGGAGGCCTTGGCGCTACCACCAACGGCAAGATGGCACTCGAACCTGGGGTTGCACTGGCTGACCAGCTTCTCGCACTCGTCCACGATCTGCTGGGCGAGCTCACGGGTGGGAGCGAGGATCAACAAGGCGACCTGGGAGGGGTCGAGGTCCTTGGCGTTCAAGAGCGTGTGCAGGGCGGGGAGAAGGAAGGCGATGGTCTTGCCGGTGCCGGTCTTGGCCTGGACGAGGCAGTCCTGGGTGAAGGAGCCCATGTTGAGGACCTTTTCCTGGACGGGGGTCATGTTGGCATAGCCCATGGTGTTGAGGGCCTTGAGCAGGCGGGCATCGAGGCGGCCAGCCATATCGGCGTAAACACCCGGCATGTCGGCGACGGGGGCGGGAGAGACTTGGGGAGCGGGAGCAACAGCAGCAACAGCAGCAGCCTCCTGGTGAGAGGGGCTAGAGGTCGAGAAAGAGGCTGAGTGAGAATTCAGGCCGTGGCGGTAAGGGAGCTGAAGAGTCTGTCCAGTCGTGAGTTTGGCTGGAGTGGCGGAAGAGTGAAGCAAAAGTGAGGTGAGAGGGTATGAGGCGGGTTGGGACAAGGAGACACCAAGGACGCGATTGCTTGATCGGGTAAGAAGGCGCGAAATTTTGGGAGTAGCCTTCATCATAGACTGGAGAAGGGGACAATGAATGAAGAAAGATGGGAGATGTAGTGTTGAAAGGGAAGAAGTGAAAAAACTAGAAGCGGAAGGGAAGTAGGTAAGAACCAAAAAGGGAAGGGAAGGAGGTTTGCTGCCAAGCCACGTCGTCCCCAAGTGAAAGTTTCGACTTTGTTGTCTCAGTTGCCATTTTCATTGGCTTGAGCAGGCAATAACAGTGGGCTTTACTGTGGTCACTGGCAGGAATTGGGGCGTTCAGGGCGGCGTTACAGTGGGGTGCGGCTGACACATTGAGAACCCTTCCAGTTTGCGGAGTCCCGTCCAGAAAAACTTCGTCACTGTGGAGAAGCCCGTTATGGATGCCAAGCTCCCGTTCCTGAAAAGCGGGTCCACTCGTCGTCCACTTCAGTCAGGACTCCCGGTCCCTTCCAGCCTTCCAGCCCATTTTTGTGTGGCGTTTTTATTCACGGGCGCTCTTTCCCAAAAATAGCAAAATGAAAACAAAGATTCCGTTCTGCGACGCCAAAAGGAAGGACCGCTACAGATGGCGTCTTTGTCGAGATTGATCTTGCCTCAGTTGTGTTCTTTCAGTCACAGCTCAAACGCCTTCTGGTCCATTCATCCCACTTTTTCTTCCATCTCTTTCCTTTTTTTGTTAGCTCAACGTCCTCCGTCTCAAGCTTTTTGATTGATGCTCATCCACCAGCTCAGGGTTAGGGGTCCCTGCCGCAGCTTTCATGACGGAGCTCTTCATTGCTCACTCTTCTCCTTCTCACCTTTACGAATTTCCGGACGTGAAAAAGCGGAATAGAGCTAACAGAAAGTGTCATGCCTTTCCAACCCCTTACCATTACAAGGCCTCCCGGCTCCGAAACCTCATGACCCATTGCCATCAACCTTCGGGTACGATACAGATCCTTCATCGTTCTAGCACCAACTCTTCTAAGGCGGCTCTGCTTAGCTGCTCTTGTGAACAATGGACTCGAGAACGCCAAAGGCTGAAGCCACGATGGATTTTTTGGTCCATCGACAACGGGTTCAATGCCCTGCTCCATTGTCCTTGGACTTGACTCGGCAGTGGCTTCATTGTTCTCGTCACCTTCGATAATGGCCTCTTTAATCGTCTCGCCCGGCCGTGCTTTATTCTCAAGTTTGTCCTTGTTTATCTACTACGGTTGTGGTCGGCACGAACAAGCTCACGACACAATCTTCTTTGGCCGTTATAAGCTCCCAACCCCCGGTAACCAAGTTATAGCATCGAGCTGTTCACAGAACACTCGAAGACAACCGAACAACAAGCCGCTCAAGAACTACCACACCATCAACACACAATGGCGGCTTCTAATGCCGCTGGCGGTCACGGATTCAAAGTTGATGCAACCATCCTACCCAATATTAAACCTATCAAAGAAGAGTTCGATTTGCGACAATCCTTCGGCTTCAGCCTAAGAGATGAAGATCTTCACCCTTCATGGACCTCTCCGTACAACAAGCCCAAAAAGGATGACACTCCGCAAAGCGATGGAAATATCTTAGCCACTGCTTGGGAACGGGTTCAAATCCCGTACCTCGACAATCATCACTTGGGGCATCAGTCGGAGGACAAGGAAAAGGCTGCTTTGAAAGCCTACGAACAGCAACACAATGCTCTCTGCGAATTACGTCACAACTTCCAGAATCACAAGGAGCTATCCAGGTTCGCCGACCATAAGGACTCCAAGGATGTCATTCCATCCAAAGAAGCAATTCATCACCTTGCCTACCGCTTAATCTCGCAGGCTCAACAGCAAGAGACGGCGGTACTTGGAAAATTTGAAGAAGGACAATGGTGGATTGCAACCCCGGAGGAGAGCATTAACCTGCCTCTGGTTGAGACACCAAACCCAACATCGGGCACGACGCAAAATGGTGGGGAAACGGACGCTCCCACTACTCCCAGGGAAGCTCCAAAAGCCGCTTATACCGTTTACTGGGTATGCTTTACGGACATCAAACATCTAGCAGTCATCATTAGGGAGAAACTTACCGGCAACACATGGTACTTTGATTCTTTCAAATCTAATCAAGATCAAGCCGAACAAAGGCACGCATCCGTTCTTTCTGGGCTGCGCAATTGGTGTCGCGAAAACAGGATTGATGTTTCCAAAAAGACGAAGCACCGTCTCGTTGACGTCGTTCCCCAAGAGTTCGCCTGGGAATGTGGCCTGCACGCCGTTGCTCACATCTTAGCCTTCCTTCGCTTTGGCGTCTTGGGCTGGCACGAAATCCCTGCGTATGGGAGGGGAGGGGACGACTGGGCGAAGTCACAGAAGTTGCGACTTGATATGATGAAGGCGATGGAGCTATCAATGGGACTCAAGCCAACACCGCACGTCGATGCACTCCCGACTGAAGCAATGGCGGTTGATGAGGGCTCAAACGAGAGTGGAGATAAGTCTGCTTCTTCAGCTCATTTAGATGGTTCAGAAAAGCCGTGCGAAACAATGACAAGCTCTTTACACGGCCTTGTGGGAGTCGCTTTGCCACCACCCACTCCCAAAGACGATGGGGCCAGTACTGTCAAGGCTGTTTCAGCCTCAAAGGAGAAGACGGACTCCAATTCTGCTGATAAGACCAAAGCGGCCTCTTCTGGGAAGTCCAACTCAGTCTCCTCCGGGACACCTAACCAAGAAAGTTCTGGATCTAAGCCTTCGGACACCATGGGAAATTCCAGCCAGCCACCGGGTAAGAATCCCGCCAAGCTTGATAACATCCCACGAAAGGATGGGAAGGAACATGCTGTACCCCATCCTACGTTTTTCAACGCTGTCAGATACCAGCAACAACACCTAACATTTCGGTTTCCTACATACCCATCCCTACCATTGCCGCCACATGAAGTCCTTTCCGTCATTATCCCCCCATACGATGCTTATTTCGGCAAGGATCTTGAGGGACTTCATCCCGCTTACGAACGGGTTGATTTTAGATGTTGCGATAGGCTCAAACTTGCAGATCGTTCCATATATGCCGAGGCGGCCTATGAGCAGATCCATAATGCCCTAGTGGATATGCGCAAAAGTAACTACCTCTCGATTGATGCAGTGTATCATTTGGCTTGCCGTTTTATCTCGTACGTTCAGGATCAACCCGGCGCCAGAGCACTACTGGGAGCTTGGGGGCTGGGAAACTGGTGGCTCGCCCCCGTGGCCTTTTTTATCGATGTTTCCCATCCAACGACGGGCGTGGAGCAACGAGCACAAACATTCTCAGAGGTAGCCGCAAATCAGGAAGCTGTTGGCCCAATTTGGGGAGACATTTCTACTTTCGAGGACAATTTCGATCAAGCCCGCTACACTGTTCACTTTGTCCACCATTATGAGCCAGATCATTGGACAGTAATTGTCCGAGAGAGAGACACTGGCCACTTGTGGCATTTTGATTCCGACCCAAATAAGCGTGAGCAAAAGTTCAACGCAGCCGTCGATCTTCTGACAGATTGGCTTCGTCGCTGCAACAAGCAAATTCCCGAAACGAGCGAGGCATTCAACGTTTCTACCACAGCACAAACCCGTGGTTGGGAGTGTAGTTTGCATTCCATCGCCAATGCCATGGCGTTTCTCCGCTTCGGCATCCTTGGGTGGAATCAGTTGAGCTGCATCGCCCTGGAGACCGACAAAGACCCGGCTAATCCGGCTCGTACCGTGAACCCGGACAGGCTCAGAATAGCAATGAACCGATCCTTGCATGGCCTTTGGGGCCTCATGATGAAGGGCGAATTCAATCGTTTCGAAAAGGATGTGGCCCGTGCCGAGGAGGAAGCCAACCAAGCCGGGCAAGCCGGGCAATGGGATGACACGGAGGTACAAAAGGCGATGAAGGATCAGTCACTACACGTCAAGGAGAGCAAGGCGGAACACCAATTGAAGCAAATGGTAAATAAGCCTGAAAATCAGCAGGAACTCAATGCGGCTGAGGCAGAGGAAAGAAGGGGTTGGGAGAAGAAGAGGATGGAGCAGAAGGAGAAGGAGCAGAAGGAGAGGGAGGCGAAGGCGCGAGCAGAGCAAGAGCTCAATGACAAGCTCAATGGTGAGTTTGAGGACGCTTCTACTTATGTTTCCACTCCGGACGGGAAGAAGCAGCCTGAGAAGGAGAAGACATCGGAGAAGGAGAACGGGGAGGAAGAGAACAATGAGAACGGGGATGAGAACGAGGATGAGAACGAGGATGAGAACGAGGATGAGAACGAGGATGAGAACGAGGATGAGCTCAATGACGAGCTCAATGATGAATATGAGGATGCTTCTACTTATGATTCCACTCCGGGAACAGAGACGCATCCTGAGAAAGATAATAACGAGGCAGCGAACGATTCGTTCGATAACATTTTCGATGACTCGGCTATAACTCGCGGTCTGGTGCAGGACTATCAAAATATGCAGGCAGTGGCGCCCGTACAGAGGCAGGCGTGGAAGACGGCGAGTATGCTCGAAACAGTCTTGCGGAAGACACACGTGCAACAGAAGCGGAAGGGGGATGATACGATGGAGAAGGAGAAAGGGCCGGAGCCGCAAGAGCAGCAGGGGACACAAGAGGAGGCTTCCAACTCTCGTAAGCGTGGAGCGACAGACGACGCCGACGCCGACGATGATGAGTCGTCTAGCCGACCAAACAAGAGGGCCAAGCAAACCCCTGAACCTGAACAAAATCCCGCTGAGAATCCCTCCAAGAGCCCCAAGAACAAGAGGAGAGCAGAAGATGATGCTGACTACGACAACGAAAACGACGACTCCGAGTCATCCGGCCGACCAAGCAAGAGGGCCAAGCAAACCCCTGAACCTGAAAACCCTCCCGCTGAGAAACCACCCCAGAGCCCCCAGAACAAGAGGAAGACGCCGCCGCCACCCGACGCCGCCGAGCCGAAGACCCCCGCTAAAAAAGGCAAGGTCAGCACCAGACGGAGTGAGAGGCTTAGATCTGTTTCTCAGGAACCAGCAGCTTCTCAGGGGGACTCTGCTGCCCCGAAAGCAAATGCTACTCCGAAGAAGGCGAACGCTACTCCTGCAAAGGCAAAGGCTACTCCTGCAAAGGCAAAGGCTACTTCAAAGACAAAGGGTGTTAAGGACTCAGAACCTGGCGATTCAGACCCCGAAGATTCAGATGATGAGCGTGAAGAATCCGATTGGCAGCTAGCCAACAGGGGCAGATTTACAATGATGACCTATTCCGAGCTGAGAAGCGAGTGCGACAGGAGACTACTGGCCGGACCTTCCGAGTTCGGCGAGCACCGAACCCTCTCGTGGAAGGCCAGGGTGAGCGAAGGCCCGGGCGCCAGACCCCGTATTATCGACGAGCTGGTGTGGTACGATACACCCGAGGGATTCGCGGAAGACCTCGATGGCAAGACGCCCGAAGAGTTGAAGGAGATGTGCCAGACAACGTATAAGTTGTATTATTCGGCCAAAAAGGGATACCCGGATGCTATGAGACAGAGGCTGGAGTGGTTCTATAATGCGCAACAAGAGAGTATGCGCAGGCTCATTAGAGATGGGGAGATGCCTCCCCCTCCTGATTGGGATGAAGATGATCAGGGCGGTGATGTTGAACAGCAGCAAGAGGAGGAGGAGGAGGTAGAAGAAGAGGAGGAGGATAGCACGCAGGAGAAGGGTTTTGTTCCGGATCTGAAGCACCGTCCCTGAGGTGGATGAGCCCCCTTCCATGCTGCCTGAGAATGAGGATCCCTCTGAGGAGGAGGAGGGGGAGAAGGAGTCTTCCATGATTTCTGAGGAGTAATTCAGGGTCACTGGGTCTGAATGAGGTGTTGGCTGCGACCATTGGATTTTGGTTAGGATCTCGGGGGAATCTTTTTTTTTTTTTTTTTTTATTGGATTTTGGTTAGGTATTCTTCGGGGTAATTCTTTTTTTTTTTTTTTTTTTTGTTATACATCGGATCGGTTTTTTTTCTCGGATCGGTTTTTTTCTGGTATTCAACGTTGTGCTTACCTAGTATCTTGTTTTCTGCATTAGATCTGTATTTGAATTTATCACCTGGATCAACGACGTTTCCTAGTATTTACTCGATATTTCGCTCATGATGATTTTCCCATTCAACGGCCGTGAAAGTTGGGGGACGGAGCAATGAGATATGTCCCAGCGGTCTGGTAAGTTTTCTGATTGGAAAGTGGGTATGGAGCGGTGGTGATCTTGGCAGCATGACTGTACGACTGCTTGTGACATCAAACAACAGCAGTGACGATGGGCACATGCTAGGAATAGTGGCTCCAGTCTACCATACCTCGTAGGGCTCTCTCTTTCCTCCAAACCGCCCGATTTTGTCCTGTGGATTCCTTTTGTAAACGGTATGTAACATGGGCACAAGTGTCGTCTGCCAGCTGTCTCGCCTGTTATCCAAACATGTTCCATTGACAGGCTGACGACGATAGTTCCACGCGGTCGACCGGCTTACTGCAGGGTCTGCACCGCATTGGGTTCTGTTTCACACCTGGTCTAGATCAATCTCCAGAACGTAAGGCTGTCTGAAGTCTCTGCCTAATCTTTCAACGTTGCTATGGTGTTAATGAATATGCTGTGTACTCTTGATTCACCACCGGCAGTTGGTGGGTTGCTCTGCCTCTGGTTCTTCCGCTGGCAGTCCAGTCAGAAGCTACCTTTATGAGGCCTTTTTGAAGCGAGCTGGTAATGCAACCTCTGAGGGGTTGACGGCGAACGGTTCAAATTCTGATGTATAACCCCCAGTCACCTGTGTCACTCTGCAGGAAATGCCATATAAAAGTCCTAGACTCTTCCTTTGGCACTGTTTATTCTTCCGTGTCTATTCCTCCACTTGGCTAGCAGAGCGGAATGGCTCAAGTCAAGAGTACTTCCACACGTTCTTGCTACACCAAGTTGACCTCCACAAATCAGCACGAGAGGGCGACATTTCATCCAGTCACCTTTAATAAATCCGGATCAAAAGTCAGGCTTAATACTACCTGCTATTGTTCCAAGCATGAACAAGAACAGGCTTATAAGGAAGACCCAGCAAGGATGGCATCCGGCCTTGGATCATTCCTCTCCCCGAACCCCATCTTCACTCCTGAATTGCCATGGCACCTGGCCGTCATCGCTTGAATCTGAGGCATCGAAAGCTCTACGTTTCCTATCCTGCAGGGCTACGACATTGAGACACCTCTCATAACAAGCCAAAGCCATCATTCGTCTCCACATGATCAAGGAGTTGGGTATGGCGGTAACCCAATCTTACCGCAGCTGGGGGATTGGCAAGGTCCCCAGGACCGGAATCACTCGATGCCAGCTCAAGGTATCGGCGCAGTACGCGTGAATAAAATGCCCACCCCAATAGTAGGAGGCATTCAACCTATTCCTTACAAACCCAAGGACAATACATGTGTTGAGGATGGGGATGATTATTTGAAGTGGACTATACCCAGAGAAGTCACTCAAGGCACGCAGAACCTGTCCGAGGAGGAGGAGGAGACAGTGACTCGCTACCTAGCTTGTCCGTTTTACAAGCACGACCCCAAGCACTTCAGCATACCGAAATGGAAGAGTTGTGCCCATCCCGGATATGAGAACATGCGTCGGTTGAAGTCAGTATCTGTTTGTTTTGTCAGTATCCCTTCGGAGCGTCGTTGTTAGAAAGCCATACTGGGAAAAGGAAGACGCATACTAATACTATCGGTAACAGGGACCACCTCAAACGGCGTCACAAGGCCACAGCCGGTAAACCTTTTGTGCCGGAAGAGACAATCTCGAAGATCCAATTCGCACAAATGAAGAGCTGGGGGCGTACGCTGGGAAGAGGAAAACCGGCGATTGAGCAGTGGCAACATACATATCGCACCGTGTTTCGTTTCGACGCGATGATTCCTAGCCCTTGTGAGTGGTGCCTTTCTCTTCCTTGAAAACTACCAACAAGTCATCTACCATGCCCTTGAGTAAAAGGCTGATAAGAAACGGAAACGACCAGGATGATATTGCGGAACCAGCCCCCGGACCAGCCCGACAGTCGTCCCTGAAAAGAAAATCCAGTGACGACCAGACCCTGGAATTTCTCCCATCGCAACTTCAGTCAGTCATTGAAGAAGACGAGGACTTGTGGGTCTTACCTGCGTCCACGCAACAACGCATCGTTTTGAAAATCAAAACGTCCGTAGAATAGCTTCTCAACAGCGACACTGAAGAAAACAACAACCGTAATCATTTGGGTAGTAAGGCTGCAGAGCTTCCACGCCTAACAGAGGAGGAACCTCAAACCCGAGACAGAGAGCGACCTTTCCAACCTCAGGGCCCAGGGAAGTTGGATCTCGAAATTGATGGCTGGAATTGCCTTAATTCTTGGGTCCCCGACGACAACCACCAGAGCGATCCTCAAGATCTGAGTTCAATATTCTTTGGGGAATTCCCGCAGGAACTACCGCACATACCACAACATCAGCTGGGTTGGTACGGGACAGCAGTCGACCCGTCAGACACTCCAGAATTCGACGCGTACATGTACGAACCAAGGCGTCCACATCGGTTGAAGATACAACAGGAAGACCGCGGACATGCGGATTCCCTTTGAGTGCGGCGGTGCAAAAAAAAAGGATCGACGGAAAAGGTGCAACGGACAAAGGAGGAAGATGGAGGTTTAGGAAAGAAGAACGGTGCAGAGCAAAAGAAATGAGAGCAAAGGAAGGTAAAGGGTTGACGATAGAAAGGAGAAATAATACCAACGAAGGAAAAAAGAACAAAAGAAAGAGAAGGAAAAAGAAGGGCGCGTTTGGAAACGTTCGCCGGGAATTGAGCCCGACGTGGGGGTCGGAAACCCACAACCTTAGATTAAGAGTCTCACGCTCTACCGATTGAGCTAGCCGGGCGGTTAATGGTGTTAACCGCCAATTGTTGAAAGTCGGGTCTGGAAAAGGTGGTTAAGAAAGGAAGTGCGGTGCACGAGTCATTTTTCATCTTTTTTCATGTGTGCGTGTGGGTGTGAAGAACTAAGAAGAGAATTTTGGGATGAACGTTCATAGTGGGTGGGTCCGTATGTGTCCCTGTGGGGCATCACATGGGCAGATGCAGGGTCCTGAGATCCCCTGTTGGTAGGGCAGGGATATGGTGCAGATAGTGCTGGAACCCGCGGAAGGCAGTGAAACAGCGCTGAAAGCTTAGCTGCTGGAGGGTAACCTTAACAGATCTTTCACAGCACCTCACATCCATCCGGGCACCCCGTCTTCAACGTTTCAGATGAACACAGCGAATGGCCCCTCCTTCGAATTCAGGAAAGCCCAATATTCAGTGCCGGGCTGACACTAATGCCGAAGGTCTACTTTAGATCTAGAACATCTTAATGCGGCTAACGACTGCAAAGAAAGGCTAGATCCAATAGTGCACGAGGCCTCTCCGCGGGACCGATCCCCTTCTGCACTTCAGCTTCGTGCTAGTAATTCAGCTCATGCATAGTCTATCAGCTGAGAAAGTGATACCTCCTCAGTCAGACACCTCAGAAGTGATATGCTGGTATCGACGCCTCAACGTCTAGAGATAGCCTCCTCCACAACCGTTACACAAACCCTGCGAGATTGGGGCCTGATGACAAGATCAGCTAGCCACAAGTGCTCTTCGGTCCACACACTATCGATCATGGCCTCCAAGAAGTTGAGATAGGCAGTAACAACAGAAAAAGTCAAGGACAAGGGGAGAAGGAAGGGCAGTTAAGGAATTACTACAAAAGTCTGTTTATCCCCCAAAGCCTTGTTTGTGTTTCGCGCAACTAAGGACTGACAAGATCATCTACACAAAGCGTGACAACCCTTATTCACCTTTTTACCATTTCTTTCTCAGACATATCTATAGCCCTCGGCCACTATGGCCCATCTCCAAACCGACATCCCCCGAGACATCGACGGCCTCCTCCCACCCGGCGGCGGCGGCAGCCTTCGCATCGCCTACGCCAAGCATCTCCTGCGGGAATACCTGGAAGAAGAGCACGCCAAAAAGCACGGCTGGTCCAAGGAAGAAGACCGCGGTCTCAAGCCCATCTTCCGCCATGTCCCATCATCTCTAGATGATATCGAGGAGAGCGATGGTCTTCTTTCTGGCGACGGAGAACCACCCGTCAAGGGCAAGATTTGCATCGTGGGTGCTGGTGTGGCTGGCTTGTTCACTGCGCTGATGCTCAAGATGAGTGGCATCTATAACTTCGATGTTGTCGAGGCCTCGGAGAGAGTCGGTGGAAGATTGTACACGCATTGGTTCTCGGATAGGAAGAACCCGGATTCGGAGCATGATTATTATGATATTGGGGCGATGAGGATCCCGGATATCCAGACCATGAGGTCGTAAGTTACCAGTTTTTGTTGCTGAGATAGCGTCCAGGAACAATTTGCTTTGAGCAGTGGGATACTGACATACTCGACAGTGCTCTCGACCTCATCAGCTTTCTCCAGCTTGATCACAAAAAGGCGGAATACAACTATACGGAAAAAAACAGCGGCACACCCAACGAGATTCCAGTCCCCAATATGTGGTGGTATAAGAACCAGACACCCGAGTGAGTACCAGATATCTATATGATGTTAGGTTTGATGGGTTAACAATTCGCAACCAAAAGTGGAAGCAAATTCGACGCTGCGGTCAAACGTGTCATTGAAAGCTTTACCCACGCTCAAAGCTTTGACATCGCTTTCAAGAAGTTCATGGACGGATCCAATGATTACTACTCTACCCGCGCATGGCTTATGCTTCAAGCTGATCCCAAGTAAGCTTTCAAGGGGGAAAGGAAGAACTTACCTGAATGGCCACTAACTACCTGGCTACCAGACTGACTTACGAGGAGACGACGATGGGCGAGGCATCCGACACGTCTACCGGACTCTTCGACCAAGCTTTCACCGAGACCATCTGCGACTATTGTGACTTTGCGGCGGCCAAACACGCCAAATGGTGGCGTCTCGATGGCGGCATGCATCAGATCACCGAGCGCATGAAGGAACTAATCGAGATGCCCAACTGGCCCGAGGGATCTGGAGCCCCCGGAATCAAGATCATCACCTCCCGCCCCGTAACCGCCATGTCCGAAACCGCCGACAAGTCCGCCATCAGCGTGACTACCACCGGCCCCAAGGGAGAGTCCCCATCCACAACCGACTACAGCACCGTCTTTTCCACCACTGCCATGGCTCCCCTCCGGCGCATCGACATCGAAGGCCTACAACTTTCAGACAAGGTTCTAACCGGCATCCGCTCGCTCAGCTACGACCGCGCCACCAAGGTAGCCATCAAGTTTGCCTCGCCATGGTGGACTCTCGTAGGCGGCGTCTCGTCCACGGACCTTCCTATATCCAACGTCGTCTACCCTTCCTGGAACGACGGACCCGACAAGCCGGCCGTGCTGATGGTCTCGTACTCCTGGGCGCAAGACGCCACGCGCATGGGCGCTCTGGTACCCGATTACACCAAGACCGACCCTTCAATCGACGACGAGGTCGTCTCCGTCTGTCTTCACGCCCTAGTCAAGCTCTTCTCCAAAGCCGACCCCAAGACCATTGCCGCCAACGTCCCTGTGCCCATCACGCTCGACTTTCTTAAGCAGCAGTACGTCACGCACCACGCCTTCGCCTGGTCTCACGACCCCTTGCAGGGCGGCGCCTTTGCGCTCTTTGGCCCAGGGCAGTTCAAGGACTTTTATCCTGAGTTCCAGAAGGTGCACTGCAACGGCAAGTTTTTCATGAGCGGCGAGGCGTTGAGCACGCACCATGCTTGGATCAGCGGGGCGGTGGATAGTGCGTACATGAGCTTTTTGACGTTTTCGACCGTGTATAACCTGGAGAGGCAGATGGTCAAGGTAAAGGCGAGTAATTTGGTCGGCGAAAGGGGGGAGAATCCGGAGGAGGTGGACGAGTTCTTGTTGAAGTGGGCGGCGAAGCTGAGTAAGGGCGTTAAAGTCCGGGGGGATAATGATTGGGCTGGTCGTTCACATTGGAAGAATGCCCCTGGGGATGAAAATGCGAAGGAGGGGTTGGATGAGGATTGGTGTGACTGCTGCTAGATTTAGGTATGAACGTTAACTCAACCCACCAGGTGTTTTCGCTCAAAAGAATGCTGCAAGGTGAATGAAGCCGGAGTTGATGGTGCCTTTTCTTTGCAGCGTCAGAATGGTGGGGCAGATGTCATGACTGTCGTTTGTTTGTTAGCTCGATACCTCTCGTCAATCTTCTTAGGCGTTCCCATATCTAATTCATCCCTTCCGTTCTATAACAAAAGCGTTATCGTGCCTCGCATATGCCATATCGAAATCTGCTAATATCTTTTCATTCTGTATCCAGTCATGTCGTTTTGTCTTCATAAGGTTTGAGACAGTTTAGGATGTATCTTGTCAAGCATGTTAGAAGTACCGAGCTAACTAACAAGCCAGTATTAGATTATACTTGTTGCTATGCTAGAGTCTAAAGTCAGTTAATATCGTCGTCAAGACTACCAAGCGATATGGCTGTCTCAGACATTCATAAATGAATAATCCCTACATACCAAATTATCTCTCTGATTGGCTTTTCGTTGTTGAAGATAGCGGCAAAGTGGTTCATCCAGAGCGTCGAAAAGAGTTCCCGTTCAGGAAAGTGGTGATGTCATCAATGACCCCACTTTACCACGGTGCCTGGAGCTAACGTCACGATAATCGATGATGTTCAGACGAAAGTGCGACCGGTGTAGGACAGCAGTGACGTTGATCAATTCTCGGTGGGAAGGGGTGGGAAGACCTCAGAAGTTGATATTGTTGTATTCCTCACTCTTACTTGTACTTCTTATCTTTTCTCCATATCATCAATCTGTCAAAACCATCTCTCGACAACCTTGCCCGAGGCCAACACACTAACAGCCACTACCACTTACACCTCCAACAATACCCCCGAAACCAAAACAACAACAGAACAACACAACCACCAAAATGCAGTCCATCCTCCAAAAAGCCACTGGCATCGGCCCCAAGCCCGTCCAGCCCGAGGGCCTCAATGGCCGCGTAGCCGTCGTAACCGGCGGCGCCTTTGGCATCGGCTTCGAAGTCTCGCGCGCCCTGGCCAACGCCGGATGCCGGGTAATCATGGTGAACCGCAAAGAGGAGCAAGGCGAGGACGCCAAAGCGACCATCACCGCCGAATCCCCCGGAGCCGTCGTCGAATGGCGCGAATGCGACATGGGCAACCTCTCGCAGGTCCGCTCCGTCTTCTCGACACTCCGCGAAGAGCTCGACCGGCTCGATTTCCTGGTCCTGTCAGCGGGCATCAACACGAACCAGTACGGCCTGGACGCGGACGGGATCGATCGCCATTTCGGCGTGAACTATCTTGGACAGTATTATGTTGTCAACCAGCTGTACCCTGTCCTGAAGAAGACGAGCAAGTTGCCCAACACGCCTGCGCCAAGGGTGGTCTTTGAGGCCAGCGAGATGCATCGGACGGCGCCGAGCGCAGTGCACTTTGCTAGCTTGGACGAGATCAACAACCCGGAGCTGGGCCCGACGGAGTTGTATGGCCGCACCAAGCTGGCGCTGATTCTGTTCAACAAGTACGGGCTGGCGGAGAAGGTGATCAAGAAAAACGGGGACAAAATTTACGCGATTGCAGTGCATCCTGGAGCTGTAAGTTTTCCCTTTCCCCCCAGCTTCCCTTCGATCATCAATCGCAATGTCGATTTCGTCTCGCTGACATGAGATACCACACATCAGGTCAACACCGCCATGCAGCAACAATGGAAGGACGCCTACCCCGGCATCACCGGCAAGCTTCTCACATGGTCCATGCTGGCCTTCGGCCGTGACGTGAAGCAGGGTTCTTACAGTGCCTTGTGGGCGCTTACCGACCCCAAGATCGAGGAGCAGAACCTTAACGGCCACTATTTCTCGGACGTAGATCAGCCCGGAAAGGAAACTTCCCAGGCTTCCGACCCCGTTCTTGGCCAGGCTCTCTGGGATCTGAGCGAGCGTATCGTCAAGGATAAGCTTGGCGAGGATGCTTTGGTTGACTGGTACTCTGCCTAGAGCACAAGTCGAAGGACGAGGGGAGGATGAATAATGATCTCTTTCTTTTTGTAACGACGACATGACCTATAAATACCTGCCTGCCTTGACTTGATAGCAAGCAAAAAATAGCATTTGGTTTACTACATCCGATTTCATGCCTTTCTGTTGACCAACCATGCCTTGTCTGACCCTGCGTTCAATGATGAATGATATTCGCATTGCGTTTTCTCGCACACCGAGATCAATTACAGGTATCAGTGTTAAGAAACAATCTCGCTCCCAAGTGTCAGCTTCAAATTGCCGGTGGAAGAGAAAACAAAAGAATATACCCCACACGCACCAATCCAACTCAATTATTCTAGTACTGAGCAAAACGAACGCCTAGTTCTGAATATAAGACTTGTTATATCTTTAGTTTCAGGCCTAAGAAATACTTGGTATATGCGTTATTCCGTATTCGATATTGAGAGTGGGGAAGTTATAGAGGCTACCGTCCCCAACGTCGCCGTGCTTACTTCTATCAAACTGTTTCTCAACACCATAAGTTCGGTGCGAGTGGGGATGTTAACTCAGACAAAAAACTTGGGACAATCAAAATTCACTCCTGGGACCAATCCATCCGTGCAATGTCGAACATATTTTTTTTCTAATCGTTGGTGCTGGGTTATGACAAGCTAATGTGCGTTTGCAGACATCTGATGTAAAGTCTTGAGTGATCCCAATCAATCAACGTTTTCCCAGCTGAGACTGTTCCGTCTGTGTATTCATATGTCATGCTCTTTGTATAATCTCTCCCAAAAACCTCAATCTCCATAACTCCATGCCTGAATGCGCCAAACCCTATTTTCGTAATCATCATAGCAATCCTCCTCTGAATGAACTGCGATCCACCAGAGCCTAGGCATCAGCCTTGTTAGTCTCGGACATGAGTTTCTCGTTCTTGTCCGCAATCGACTGGATCGTAGCGGCAGTTGATCCCTTCGGCGGGCGGTGACCAAGAAGACGTGCCTGTACACATATGAATCAAGATTTGTCAGAATCAAACCGCAACGGTGATGATGAATTTGACAGTGGTCGATCAAAGAAATAATTGTAAATAACCATACCTCGGCGCTCTCAACAGCAGCGGCATCCTCCTTGGTGATCTCCTCGACAGGCTTGTGAGACACCTCGCTGGCCACCTCAAGAAAGTGCTCCTGCTTGGCCTTCAAGCTCTGAGCCGTCGCGGCAACTCCGCCCGCGATTGGTCCACGACCGTCCGTCAGCTCTGTCTCCGTCTTGGCGATCTTGGAGACCTCTTCGGTGGTGATGGGGTGGCCCTCAATGGCGCGCTCCTTGAGCTCCTCGCGGGAGGGAAGCTGCTGCTGCTCGGCGGTGCTCATGGCTGTGTGTGGTGATTCTTCGTGGGTGTAGCTGTAGCTGTAGCTGGTGGTGTGGGTGAAGCTGTTGTATTGCTGACTGGCGTTGGAGACTCTTTGATTGGCGCGGTCTCTGAAGGCTCTGCGTCGGGGTCGGGTGTGTAGGTCTGTGGTGTGGCATTGGGGTTGTGTGTGAGTGGTGGTGAAGGACTGGAAGTTGTGGGAGTTGAAATAGTGTCGTCTGAGGACCAGTGATGGATAAAGTCGACGTGATGCATTGTTTAAGGGTGGGGACGATCGTCTTAATTAATCTGGTGGTTCCCGTCTGGCCTGGGAGAGTGGCACGGGGTGGCCCTTTCCATCTCACAAAGTGGACAAGCGGGTGGGTTGACCTGTTGGAGCCGTCGAGGTTCCCAAAAAGGTGTGCTAACAAGTTTGGCGGACGGTTTGCGGTTCGGTCGTTAGTGGATATCAGTGACCAAAGATCCACAGACAAACTGTTTGGAGGCTTCCTTCCCTTTTTAAGATGAAGTCAGTTGCGTCAATGGCTGTGATGACGTTGGGAATCGGCGATGATTGCCCTTGGCTGCGGGGGTTTCCTGAATTCCTGAAAGCCTTGAGCCACTGATTGATTGCAGTTGTTTGTTGATCACTTTCCCTGCCGGTCTCGAATCCGGATGGCGGATGGCGATTCCCAAACCCAACACAGCACGCAATCATCCACTCACCACACATTCTTATCAAACGCAGCAGGAACAATCCGGAGCTTAAAGCCCAGATACTTCAACAATGGACAGATAATTGGAAGGCACCATAGAGGTAGCCATGAAACCGCGGCTTCAGATCTTCTGCTCCGTTCACCGTGTAAGCCGGGAAAAAGGGGAGTGGGACGAGGTCTTGGCATTCCGGTTCACATCATTCCCGCGGTGTTGGATACAAGACCGATCACTTCCATCGAAGGGCACCTGCATGGTTTTATTTTGCGTTCACACAAAGGATGAATGATGGTGATCAAGATAATCCGATTGCATTCATCCATTCCTGAACCTCAGTACCATGTAAGTACACAGGTGAGTGTGACGATCATGAAGTTGTACCCTTTTAGTGCCGTTAACTTTCCTAATTCCTTCAAGATCTTTGACTTGCACGACTCTTCCAGAACCCTCCATGTCCAGGGGCAGTATGACCAATGCCCAATTTGGCAAGAACACCTCAGTCGATGGGTTCTCCAAGATCGTGCAGCTTCTTGCGGTCCTTCTCCTTGGCCTTCTCCGACACGTTGGGGTTATTGATTGCTGCCTTCAGTCCGCGGATACTTTGCGAGAATACACTTGTCAGCCACCACTCAAAGGTCTTTCTCTCGCTTTGAATAGTATTTAATGGGTTCAGGTTCATGATGGCGGCCGAAAAGGGTCGGCGATTAGGTACTTACACATTGCCCCTGTCCTTTCCCTCAAGATTCATGGAAGTGGATGACTCGGTTTTGGAGCTGGTGGCAGCTTCATGAGATCCAGCCGACTTGCTGCGACCCTTCTTGGCTGTAGAAGCGGAGGATGAGCCAAGCTTGCTGGAGGGGATGTCGGTGAGAACTTCCTCCTCTGCCATATCTGTGGTACTCTCCTGGGGCATGCGAGTTCCAAACTCGCTTTCAAGGATCTCGCGATCGCGCTGCTTGGCCTGCTCGGACACGCGCGGGTTGTTGATGGCCGCCTTGAGGCCGCGCTCACGATTTCCGGGATCCATCTTCGTTGAATGGTAGGCGGTAGTAGCTATGGATCTTTTGACGTACAAGAGTGGAAAGGGCTTCAGATCGATGAGGAAGCGGCTACGAAGCATTGGATGGCAGCGATAGACCGGGCTTCCTGTCTTTGTAATCAAGAGATTCTTTGAGGGGAGATGCAGGAGCAAACTAGATTATGCGCGCACTCTGGCGTTTCTTGCTTCTTTCAAGCACTTTCATGCAGGGCTCGCTCTCCCTACCTGTCATCTGCAGTCTTCCTAGCAGTGACGGGCATTTGACGTTATGCTCCGCTCGCTCTCTGGAGAAGACTCCGTGCTTTCGCGGGGACGACGCAAAACCTTGACATCACATGCCTGTCAAATGTCTAGAAAACATCAGATGACAATTTGGAGACACTTCTCTCCTACTCCGTTGCAATGTGAGTTTCCGTCAAAAAAACGTTGAGACTTTTGGATGCCCGTTTCCAGAGCCTTCTCTTTCTCACAACCCGAAAGGCCATGTCTCATCAAACTCGAGTGGCCCATGAGGCTGATGAACCTCCAAAGCACCAACCTCTTCAGTCTCATCAAAGTAAACAATGCCATCAAACTGCTCAGGCAGCACGGCAAACGAGTAATGTGACTGTCTCTCCGTCGCGGGCGAATAAATGACTCCGATGAATCTCTCCAGTTTCTTCTCCATCAAAGACTCTCTCAAAGCATTATCGCAGTGCTTTGTCCTCATATCCAACACAAAGTTCTTGATGCCAGTATCGTGCATCAGCTTTTCGTAGCTGTTGGGCAAGGCTGGCTTGACATGCATAACACTCATGTCCCCGTCCCAACGTTTGGCGGCGGCAACCCTACCCGTGTATCCCAAGCAGCCGATGCTGAAAGCCTTCTTACCATAAGCCTCTTTGCACAACTGCCCAATGTTGATTTCATCCTCAGACCAGCCCATGCTGGTGGCGCGGGCATCTCCAATGTGACTGTTGTGCGCCCACACAATTGCCTTTGAGTGGGAGCCACGATGGTCGAGGATGCGCTGGAGAGTCTCGAACATGTGGGTGTCACGAAGATTCCAGGACTCGTCGCGCGCGTAGTACATGGCTTTGTAGTAGTGTTCCGCGTCTGAAATACCAAAGTTAGTAATGGCTCTCCAGCTATCTGTGGCTCTTGCCTTTGGAAACCCGACCTTTTACCAATCTCGCATTCTGCTCTCCTCCGTGGAACTCCTCTCCATCCCACATTATCCGTTCGTACTCGAGCCTTTTACTCAGCAATTTCTTCAGCATCTGTACCACGTCATCCTCGTATCCTTTGAACCCCTTGCCCGCGGACACCAGCGTCTCCAATCCGTATTCGTGGGGATCTTCAGACCATTCATGCAATTTCCGATAGCTCTTTCTCGCAACCTCTGCCATATCTTTATCGACCTGTTCCAAATAATCAATGACCGCGCGCATCGATGAACCCATGCTGTACAGATCCAGCCCGTAAAACCCAGTAGCCTCCTTCTTTACATCCTTCCCTTCGTTCCAACGTCTCATCCACTCAACGAAATCATGTGTCTCCTTGTTCCTCCACATCCACCGTGGGAACCGCATGAAGGTGAGTTCTCTCCCGGCCCGCTTCGCTTCGGCTTCAGACTCGATGGTCGCTGGTGGTCCTGGCCCTGGACGCCGACGGACGTATCGATCGATGGACTCGGCGTCGGGCCAGTCAGCTTCGCAGGCGACTATGTTGTAGCCATGGTGTTCGATCATGTATCGCGTTAGCGCGGCGCGAAAGGCGTAGAACTCCGAGGTGCCGTGAGACGAGTCGCCGATCAGCAGGACTTTGGCGGAACCAAACGAGTCAAAGTATCGGAAGATGTCCTTGTTGGTGTCTGCCAGGGCTTCGGACAGGGAGGGGAAGGGATGAACGTGGCTTCGAAGGAGGTCGACTGGTGATGCAGGAGGCTGAGGTGCAGCCTGTCTGGAGAAATGTCGCGGAGTATGGCTTCGACTGAGGCTTTCGATCCCGTCTAGGTGTAGGTGTGCGGCAGCGCTGTCGGTAAAAGAAGACATCCTGTCCCTGATTTTGTTGCATTACTTCTGCTGGATGGTTGTTACGAAGTATGGGTGAAGAAGAGATGTGACGATAGGTTAGTTGTAGGTATAGGGACAACTTTGTTCGGGAACACTTTGAGGCCCATATAGCCGGTGAATGGGAACCCCCCAGGGAATGCATATCAATGCACTTCTAGTAACGGCACAATTGTTCACCTCTCCATATACAAGTAATTTAGTATCGCCTAGTGTTGGAATATCCAGTGCTTGTCTTAACTTAATACCGAGTGACTTGGCCAACGTGTTGCGCGCCTCCCATCGCGGACCCCGGCGGGGAAAGTTGCTATGACTTGGGACGAGGAGAAGCAATGAACTTAATGACGACAAAATGGCGTTGCTTTAACACATACTATGGTAGGCAAGTGAGAAAGCACATCAGTTGTCTGCCGCTGGAGGCGTCGATGATCGATTCAAAAACCCCAGTGTATTCGAAGCGTGGAACATTGTGGGGCGGGATGGGACTAAGAATCAGAGAATTCAAAGAGCAGGTCGGAGTACCTTCGTGAAATGACCAGATGGAAGGCGGTCCCGGACGGGAAGCCGGAGGAAGCATTTCCTTGGGACCCCCCTCCATAGTCTCGGGTACGGTACCTGTTTACCTTAACGGCTTAACCAGCAAGGTTCTCACACCTGGATCACCTACTTGTACTGATCCGAACAAGCAACGTACTTGCCCAACATAATATCTCAGTCAGAGGAAGTAAAAAGGGCAGTTGCAATGAGTCCCACAACGTAAACAGCAAGAGCGAGAATTTAAAGGCATCAGGTGTACTTTCCGTTGTTTCGTGCAGGTACTGCTGTCTGTTATGGATGACATCATGGATCCTTATCGGTCGCTGCTGATAAGACCTCCCTCAGTTCCGCCCGACAGTTTTGGAGGAACATGACGACAGCAACATATGCCTTCACTGACCTACCCCTACCTATCTTTCGTCATCCATATTTTTTCCTGAGCCACGAGTCCGGCCATTTTAAATTTTATAGGCGCAGTCATGAAGCCTACGTTCGGTCTTATTGCCTTTGGCCTGCTTGCCAGTTTGGGCAATGCTGTGAGCTTGGTCGGGCTCCCGGACCAACATGTCTTAGCTGCTAAGCTCGCTGTTGGACCCCAGCCAGAACCAACGGCGACGACTGAGGGGGTGAGAAAGGCGTGAGTGATTCCTATCTTCAATACGTCCACTCTGTAAAAGAGACACTGACTTCGTCCTGACCTCTTGGGAACGCATCCTGTAGATTAAAGAATGCAGAGATCATTCCAACAGGTTCGTCCATCGTTGTCAAGAAACCCGGAGTGATTTCGTGAACTAACGGTCACTTTAAGTCATTGACGACTTTGTTCCCATATTGAACTTGGAAGCGAAATGGTCCGATGATCACCAAGCAGCACTGGGAAACACCCTTAAGCCGGACGACCTTCAAGATACACCGTCTGTTCTCCTCAAGGATCCGGTGTCGCCTACAACTTGCCTTCTTCGCTCTAGCACAATTCTCGTGGTTGTCATTACTGATCCCGATGCCCCATCACGAGACGACCCCAAATGGTCAGAGTTCTGCCACTGGATTGCCGTCGGACATCCGGACACAGAGGATGACGCCGTCACCGACGAACCAACTGAACCCCAGGGGTGCCCTTTGTCGCTTTCTCCCCACAGTTTGGAAGACGTAGTGTCTTACACACCCCCGGCTCCGCCCGAAAAGACCGGAAAGCACAGATATGTCATCTTGGTCCTCGCACCGGTCAATGGAACAAGCGAGAAGCTGCACTTGTCGAAGCCCAGCGAAAGAAAACGCTGGGGATATGATGAAGTAGTGAATGGTAAGACGCATGGTGTGAGGGATTGGGCGGCTGAGAATGGATTAGCACCCCTTGGTAAGTCTCGACATGTTCCGAACGATTCATAGAGATTCTCTAGCTAACGTGAAGCATTATAGCGGCGAACTTCATCTATGCGCAAAACGAGAAGCAGTGATACCGATGAGCAAAAACGCCTTTATGTGAGTGTTTTTGTGTTTTGTTGATATGCAAATCACGTTGCTGGGCGTGAAACAAGACAAAGGAACAGATGAAGCAGCACAAGGAAGCTGTTAGACCTACAATCAACACTATGAGACCTATACATACCTGAACAACAATTTCAATTCATTGGAAAGTCCAGTCCGGCCCAGAGATACCTATTATTATCCCGGCAGTGTGACAGACGCATACTTGCACGATGAAGAGAGCTAAACGACTACAGCGAGTCGAGGCACCCAAGCTAGTGTAAGAGGGAATATGACCGCTTGTCACTAGGATGAGTTCCTTTCCTCCCTATCTCCAGCTTTCTACATGGCATATTTTCACGCACTTCTGATGCGAAATGTGATCCCTCGTTTCCAACCCATTTTACACCATCTAAACCACACAAGTCAATTCCTCCCACGGTCGTTATGATGACGATTAGGCCAGAGACATGATCTTGTATGTGTCACTTCAAATATGGGAGTATCAATGCTTCGGAACACACTACAAGCTTCTCTGGCCCCATGATCTCCCATCTCCGCAGTCCGATTGACCCTCTTCGCCACGGGATATATGAATACTGGGACGGGGTCCCTCAAAGCAGAGAGTATTCTCATCATCCTTCTAATTCAGAACACGGCCAAAGTGTTCGTCACGACTGATGCGTCTCACTGAACAACACCATCAGCTTGCCCCGAAGCCCGGCTACGTATACCTCTTTGACTCCACCATCCCCCATCAACGATATTACTTCGTTAGCGAACTAGGCTACGGAGTTCAAAGTCATGCTCAGCTCGTCCTGGACAGAGAGACAGGCCTGAAGGTGGTTCAGAAAGTGGATAGGAAACTTCGTCCTTCCACTCTCGAACATGAGGAGCCAGCCGATATCACCATTCTACGCCGACTCATCAGTTCCCACCGTCTGGCGGACTACCGGCCGAGATGGATTACACTTCTCAACTATGACCAAGTTCCCGCTTACCAGGAGACCGAGAGAGCAGGTACTCATCTGAACTATCAAGTGAGTTACTGGAAGTTCTGCAACGGCAGAACACTCTATAACATGGTAGACCCTTACATCCTGGAACAAACGTTGTGGCTAGCAGGCAATCAAAACGGTACGGCGCCTGGAGTTCCATTGCCCAAGATTCCAATCTCATTAGTCGCCCGTGCTATCCGCAACATATGCGAGACCTTGGAGGTCATGTACCAAGGAGGCACTGAGGCCGTCTACCACTGCGACCTGCACGCTAGCAACATATTTCTTCACTGGACAAAGGAAGACCCGCTGCCAGAGTTCTACATCGGGGACTTTGGCATGGCTCGAACCGCAAGCCAGTCACTCCTGGACTCCAAGAAATTTTGTCCTAAAAACGGGATACCCTTTGACAAGCAGCCGCAAGGAACTAAGCCTCCAGACGTTGCCCCAGAAGGCTTCCAGCGTCGATGGGATTTCGTCATTAACCACGAGTGTAGCTTGGCCAGATTCTTCGGTGTCATGTCCAGGGTCGCAGCCACCAAAACGGCAGAGGAGAACGTGATGTGCATTGGCATTGTTCGATTGCCGATTCCGCGACCTCAAGCACCGCAACGGAGAGGCTTGGTGAAGCAGATCGCGCAGCAGAAGAACCAACCGACGCGGCAGGCGCATATAAGTACCAGAGACAAAGAAGCAAACGCCAACAACGCCAACAGCCCCGGAATATTCAATGGTTCTTCCAAGACTTCAAACGGCCCCCGGATATTTTTGCGCCAACACTGTACGTGACATTTATGCTGCATACAGCACGAAAGTCAACCACGTCCACCGCTTGGTCGGGATCATCAAGCAGCTAGAAACTTTGGACGAGCTGGACCAACTTAACGCTGTTCTCCATCCGCACCTGCGTCCACCCTCCTTAGCTGGTACCATTGAAGCTGCGGGGCATTTGGAGAAGGAGGCTTTGCAATGGGAGCAACATACCCACAACTTCCAGGAGTTTGTCAGGGAAAGAAAAAAGAAGGCGCTGCTTCAAGAGTTCGAGACTTCCCCGTTTGTGTTTAGACGTGATGGGCCGGAGGCAAAGAAGATCCTGCGGACAGCGTTGAGGTTGCCGGAAAGAAATCCTTACAGGGTTTATCATGGGCGCAGGGTGAATGCGACGGAGAGTCTTGAGGAGATTTGGGGAAGGGAAAATGTAGCTGGGTCTTGGCGGGTTGTCGAGGTTAGGGTGTAAGAGAAGGAAGGTAAGCTACGGACTGGCTGGGAGGATGGGGAAAATTTCGTGATCAGGACGGCTGTTGAAAGAATCTGGTGTATTTCTTGTTCTCTATTCTAATGCTCTCTTGGGCAATTTGCACGATATAGGTTGATCTGTAAACGAATACAACCTTCAAATGATCCAGTAAGAATATTGTGATACAACATGTTTGGCATACTGGATGCCTGGTTGAGAATGTCCCTTACTGCTAAAGAAAACCGGCCCAGAGCCTGCCGGGGACAGTATGCTCGCTCTTGGGTGCCTCCACGCTGACATATATCGATATATATCCTTCGCTCTTTAATAATGTAATGGTAAGACTCGTGTATTCGTGCTGGCCTTTTGTCTTCGTGTGTGCTTTCTCGTGGCTTTTCTCGTATGCCTGCTTCTCCTCTCCGCCTCACCTAACTAAGGCTTCAAAGCGTACATCCGCACCGGAAGAAGTTTCATAGTCTTCGTCTGGGGGAATCCCTTTTGGAACTCGGCCTTGACAACCCTCAACCCAGCCTTTTGGAAGATATTCTGGAATGTCGTCTCGCCTCTGTGTCATTATGAAATCGTTAGTCACGTCAAAGTCAACAAACCACACCCACACCCCGTCGTTTCCACATCTCGTCTCATCCCACCCACCCGGAAACCAGACGGTTCAAGAACTTACCTCGTAACACTACTATCCTCCTCATCAAACTCATCGTGCCCCATCACCGTCGTGTTCTCCTTGATCACAATCAGCCCATCCTCCGCCAGCACGCTCTTGCACCTCTTGAGGTATTCCACCAGCTGCTCGTCCGTCAAGTGCCCGACGCACCACTGCGTCCACACCAAATCGTACTGAAACTCAGGCGCCCACTCCTCCAGCCCCATCACGTACACCTTCCCCACGCCCTTTTTGCCCTGCAGCTTGGCCGTGAACTTGGCAATCGGCTCGATCACATCCACTTTTCCGTCCTCATCCAGTAGTAGTTCAGTCAACAATCCCTCCGTGATCCGTCCCACGCCCGCCCCGCCCTCGATGATGCGCTTGCACTGCCGCAGCCCCGGTGTGGACTTGGACTTGGACCTGGACCCGATGCCGAACTTGGCGAGGAAATTACGAGAGCCCTGCAGGTCAATCTTGGACGTGTTGGCGAAGCCGGCGACGCTGGGGATCCCGCCCAGCATGCCGTTCTCGTCGGCAGAGATGGATTCCCAGTAGGCGAGGCCGTGGTCTTTGGAGATGAAGGCGTCTTGGCCGGTGCCGGAGTGGTCATTTTCGCTTGTGTATGACATTCTGGATGGATGGATGGACCGATTCTGTGAGACCGGACGTGTGTCTTGGGTGTTTTTTTTGGGGTGTTTTTTTGTTTCTTTTCGTGGGTCTGGGTTTTGTTTTCTAGTTGGTTGAATGGTTGGTGAGATTGTTTTTATGTATATCTTGGTCAAAGCTGTTGTCTGAAAATATCAGGTAAACCAATGCGCGCGGCTGGAAATATCGGTTTATTTAGTCGTTGAGTGTGATTGACGTGCTTGTTTGTGTTGATGTTTCAGGCCGTGATTAAATATGCTAGGAATTTTGTGCAATCAGCGTCACGTGGGGCCCTGACGAAGGTTCTGGCTGTGCTGTTTGGCAGTGATTAAACGGCACAGTGTCCCGCGATTCCATCTTGCCATTGATATCACCGCATCATAATCATTTTTCATTGTCAAGAAAGTTTACCGGCTGATGGAAAAAAATGACAAAAAGATCGAGACATGCAGGTTCATGTTCGGCGTTGGGTCAACCCTAACCCTCACTCCTACCGTGGACACAAGTCTGAAGGTTGTGTGATAGACCTGGGGGAAGGTGTAATCCAAGCATCTCGACTTTTCTTTTTCTTTCTCTCAGGTATTTGGAACGAAGGGGTTCATCCTGTCTGGATGATTGAAAGAAGCGATGGATGTTAGCGTTGTGGTCATGAATCATGACGTCTGTTGTTTGCGTGTAGGGGAATTTGAAGTCTTGTGTTTGGGCTCTTCTCCAGATACCTGCCCCTGGACTCGCAAAGACATAATATGGGCGATTCAGATCGAAATGAGGCTAAGTTTCTTTATCCATTTACGCGACTCCATTTCAAGATGTGAATTCCAGTTACCAGAATATTGTTCAGGATGCTCTCTGTTATAGCTCAAATCAAGAACCCAACCATGCAAGTGGTGCTAACAGTCTATAATCATTTTTCCGATCCCGTCAGACAACCCAAAAACCTGGACGCCATGCAATGCTTGTATAGGTATATCCATGCCTCATTGACACATAAACCCTTGTTATTCCTTCTACCTGTTGCGGTTGACAGAGAACCGCCTAACCATAACCTCACGGATCGTGAACTTCTTGAGGGCAGCCGCAATACCGCCCTTTTTCATTTCCTCGTCGAACACCGGCGGAGGCGGCACGTCAACATAGACGAGAACCAAGCTCTTGAGCACATGGGCCAACACACGGTTGACACCCATCAGCCAAGACCAGCTCTTCTTGGACTCCTCGTGCTCGTACTCGCTCCACCGAGGGTCGGAGAACGAGGGCACCACCATGATACCGAACTCGGAATGGTCAAAAACCGGGCCGCGCTGGTAAATGATCCAGTCGACGCCAAACTTGATACCGTGACGGGGCACCCAGCCAAAGGAGCGGAAGTGGTGATAAGCGGCGTATTGTACGAGGAAGGGATCCTCGGGACTGAGGTTATCGACGGACCGCGGGGGAAAATAAGAGTTGGCACGAAGGTTGGCGAGAAGCTGCTCGTTTGAGATGGGAGCCTTGGTGACTGGGTCAACAACGCGAAGAGCACCGAGGCCAAAGGCCAAGAAGAAGGCCTCCTCGGGGGCCAACTGGAAGTGTTCCTTGTCAACCAACTCCTCGGAATAAACGGCAGGTACGACATCGGAGATGACGGGCTTTTCGACGGCAGGAAGAGCGGAAGAGATGGCTTCAGTGTCAGACGAGCCGTTGTTGTTCTTGACTTCAGAGGCTGCATCGGTGTGCTGGAAGATGGTAGACTCGACGGTGGGGGAGAAGCGGCGCTCTTTCTCCTCTCAAGAGTGGCGGGGTTGCCTTCCTGTGCGGGCTGGCTGTCTGGGAGTCCGTCCGTAGAGGGAGAAGAAACGGAAGAGGCTGTATCGTTGACTTCGGTTGCGCTGGTCTCGGGTTCGTCGTTGGTCAAGGCACTTGCCTCCACCTGATCCTCTGAAGACCCATCCTCATCAATACCGATTTCCTCGCTCAAGACGGATACGACTGATAGTGCGACAAGATCGGCCAGAGAATTGGGGAGAGCCAACAACTCAATGGGACCAACAGGCGGCTTGAATTCCTTGCGCACGTTCTCTTCAGTGATTGTCGACTCAGGCTGCGAAAGGACCGGCTCCTCGCCCCGGACACGAGCATACGAGTTGGGAAGGGCGAGAAGCTCCAGGGGGCCGACTGGAGCTTTGTGCTCGACGATAGATCCATGTGCTACTGTCTTGGGAACATACTCGTCCGTAGTTGCAGGCTGGGATGATGAAGCGGTTGAAGTGACAGAGAGAACAGGATCAGGAAGAGAGGCGGGTAGAACAGCAGGCTTGGGCTCAACCTCGGCGGCAAGAGACTCTGGGACAGCAGCATTCACAGGTTCACTGTCAAGCTGGGCTTCCTCGAGCTTTTGTTTCTCGATGGCCTCCAGCTCTGCCTTTGCTCTTTCCCATTTGACCTGCTTGCGTTCTTCACGGCGTGACACGGTGCGTTCTTCGCTGACCGTTGTCGCGTCAAGACCGCGGCGGCTCAGCTCTCTCTTAAACCAGTTGGGTTCACTACGACTCAAGCTTCCTTTTCCATAGAAGCCCTGTTCCCAGAAGGCGCGGATGGACTTAGGGTCCTTAACGTGTACGGAGCGAGTATCGGGATCCCAGATTCCCTCATGTATCACTGATGGTTCGGCGGGCGGAGGCAACAACACTTGTCTCAACCACGCGAAGGCAAGGTGAAAGAGAGAAAGGGGGTTGCTGGGGTAGAAGGTAGGCAGCGGAAAGGTACGAATTGGCGCAGGGAGCTTGTAGATCTGGTGGTAGGGAACTCTGGGGGGTCGAGGCGGCGTAGATGTTGCCGCGGGGTTGATGCTCGTAGGAGCTACTTCCCCGGATTTACTCGGTGATACGCCAGGTTGCGACATTGTAGTAGTGATCATGTTTTCAGCCATTGTGTCTGTTCATATCGACCTGATGAGGAATGATGTCAGCAATGTCAATCGAACACAAGTTTTCAAAGCGCATCCAGAAGAGGTCCCCATTGTAATGTTGCTCAGATACCGTTGTAGTCTAATACAGAGGCTAACACAGAACGATCCACTGAAGGATATATTGTCTAAGCACAAAAGGAGTCATCACCGCAACTTGGGGGTGTCTATGGGCAAAGCCGATGGGACACTGGTGACACTCTCTGGACATGCGCGCCGAAGGAATGATGATGATGTTGTAACTTACACTTTGGAGTGATATTGCACCCAGTTTGTGGGCGAAGATGAGGGGGTATTGAAGGCGCCTGGCCATTCAGCAGCGACAATAACGGTCACGACTTGACAAGATCCAATTGGGCATTCAAATAACGAATGCTTGTACCCGGAGTTCAGTTCATGATCCTGTCATGCTGTTTCTCCAATTGGGCTTGGGTGATGTCGTTGTGCTGAGAAACAGAAACTCGGGAAGATGTCAGAGTCAGGAACAGAAGAAGATTTGGTTCTTGAATTTTATTGAGCGCCGCTGCAAATTCCGCCGAGCCCCACGTCGACCAGGGCTTCATAAAGTGGAGCCCCCGATTGGCGTTCAGTTGCGATAAGAGCTTCAAGCTTGGCTGACATAAGCTTCCCCTGACGCTTGCCGTGTTTGTGTGCCTGACCGGGGCAGGCAATTTAGCGACCTCCCCTTGAATTCCGTAGGTCATGATGCCTGCCAGTCACAGAGCCGATTGTCGCGTAGATAGCGGCCGTTCGACCCGTCGTTGGGCGGGAGCTTGTCTCGTTGGCGTGGAACAGCCGCCGTTGCCGGACGAGCCGACAAGCGTCACTTTTGTTTTCTTTTGAGATTTCAGATTTCAGATCCATGACAACATCCATCCAAAACCGACAATTCGGCTGGGGGAACCCAGGCTCACAAGTTCAAGCTGGGGCTTCCGCTCCCGCTGTCATCCATCGCGAGTTCCAGCTCGAGAGTTCCAATCGCGCGCAGACATGTCGTTCAATTTTCAGGTCAATATCCGATGATTCCGGCCATCGTGAAAAAGATCTTCTTGCGAGTCGCGAGACCTCCTTTCTCTCAGCGACGATCTTACACGTGTAGTATCTCCACTTCCAGTAGTCGTTCCTTGGGGAAAATCCCGAATAAATACCGTACTTATAGCTTCCTATCCAGGCTTTCATGTTTCTTGGCTGTGTACATGTCTACTTCCTCTGGCAACTGTACCCTGTCCTACCAAGCTCAAATCACCTAACTGGAAGCTGACCTAAGCTCTAACCTCATCGATCTCTAACCACCCGATATCCCAAAACAATTTCTCTCCTTTCAAACTTCCCTGCCATCACATTCCTAAAACCTTGCTTATTTCTTGCGCCGCAGCGCGACGTCGTTCCTTTTCTTCCTTCGGATCTCCATCTTGTCCTAGCTTTCATCCGGTTCACTAAGACAGAGTGCTATGTTCCAATGTCTATAAACATTGTCCAAGGCGCGGCCTTGGTTTGTCTTGGCTGGAGCTGTATTGTCTTTCTCGTCCAAGTTGTTGGCATCACCAAGCTGTAAGCGAACTATAACAACACCATATGCCGCGCGCAAAACATTGCAGCTGTCGCAAACCTACATACTGGTCACTAACCACGGGATATGCTCCTCATACAGATGCCGCAACCACACCACACCTCTTCCGCCTCCCACTTCGCCTTCATTGCCCGAAACTGAGGTCCCCCACGTTACCGTCATCCGGCCCGTCAAGGGCGTAGACGTAGGCCTATACGAATGCCTCGCCTCGACCTTCCGGCTCGCCTACCCCAAGTCCAAGCTCTCGATCCGGCTCTGCGTCGATTCCAAGAACGACCCGGCCTACGCCGTCCTCTGCCAGCTCGTGGCCGACTTCCCCACCTTCGACGCGCAGGTTCTCGTCGAGGAAGAAGACCCGATCCTCCACGGTAGTGCCGGGCACGTCAACAGCCTAGGCCCGAACCCCAAGATCCGCAACATCAGCCGCGCATACCGCGAAGCCAAGGGCGACGTCATCTGGATCGTGGACTGCAACGTCTGGGTAGCCAAGAACGCGGCAGGCAGGATGGTCGACAAGCTCTTCGGCTTCGAAGCCAACGGCGGCAGGGCAACCCCCTACAAATTCGTCCACCAGCTCCCCCTCGTGGTAGACCTAGACAACATCCCCTCCTCTGGTGCTGGTACCAGCGCCGTCAAGACCTCAAGAACCGAAGGACAATCCCTCCTGCCCTCTAGCATCACATCCAGAACTACCTCGGAACCGCAAGGCCTGCTCACCCACGGCGGCCGCCTCGAGGAAATGTTCATGTCCACCACCCACGCCAAGTTCTACAGCGCCATCAACACCGTCAGCCTAGCCCCTTGCATCGTCGGCAAGTCCAACATGTTCCGCAAGTCGCACCTGGACAGTTTCACCACCGTCTCCTCCAACCCCCTCTTACGCTCTTCGGACTCAACCCGCGGCACCGGCATCGATTTCTTCTCGTCGTATATCTGCGAAGACCACCTAATCGGCGACTTAATATGGCGCTCTTCCTCTCCCGGCTACAAAAACCACGGTTTGGTGTCTGGCGAAGTAGCCGTCCAGCCCATGGCGGGCATGTCCGTCGCCGCGTACATTGCCCGGCGCGTGCGCTGGTTGCGGGTGAGGAAGTGGACGGTTCTTGCGGCTACGTTGGTGGAGCCCGGCGTGGAGAGCTTGGTGTGTTGTGCGTATTTCGCCTTTGCGGTGACTACGCTGCCGTGGTTCAACAGGACTTTCGGTGTGCCGCAGACGTGGGGAGCTATGGCGGCGTTGTGGTTGGGCGCGGTAGCGATTTGGATATCGATTGATCGGTGGGTGACCAGCAAGCTGTTCAGGCTGCAGAGCTTGGATGTGGATGAGGACACGCCCTTTTTCGCCAGGGGCACGGCGAGACAAGGGGGCACGGTGCAGAGGCCGTTTAAAGAGTGGATTGCTGCGTGGTTGGGGAGGGAACTCCTGGCGCTGCCGATCTGGACGACAGCCGTTTTGTTGGGCACAACCGTCAGATGGAGGGGCAGGCAGTTCAGGGTGAGGATAGATATGAGTGTGGTGGAGGTGGAGGATAGGAAGAGCCGCGCTGCTGATGTTGGTGGGAGCAAGCCTAGACTGAGGGTGGCGGGTTCGCCGGATAGCAAAGATCGCGTGGATTGAACAGATGTTGAGTGAGAAGGACCCGCGGGGGAGGGGGGAAATAATGAGAATGAGACTTTGATGCCATGATACTTGCATAGATAGAAAGATAGACTACATACCTGTACTTGGACGCTTCGCATGCCTCATCGATGCGGTAATAACAACACAATCATACCCCCTGTATACAAGAAATAGACACGAAACTTGGCCTGTATTTGATGGGATGTTAAGTTCCAAGCTACCGTTTCCCGTAAACTAGCTGGATAACAGAATTCTCATCCAAGTCTAACCACGAACTGCAGCCAAGGGCTAATAGATAATCACAGAAGACATCACTAGAACATCGGCTTTGATGGAGTAGCTTGGAATCAACTTCGCTTCGCAATATTATACTAATCGCTTTAATAGACTAGTGCTTAGACTACCGCTATGTTAGTCAGCGAAAACCTGTGAGAAGGTATGTTATGAATAATGAATTCAATGATTGCACCGGTAGCGGCCAGAGGATTTTTGATAGCCTGGAAACCCGGCAGACGAGCCAGGTCTTCTTGCGTAATGTCATAAAGGGCACGCGCAAAGGGCCGCTTCTCCCGCAACTCAACGACGACACTGTACTTCAAAAAGATGAGTAGAATTGACATCCACGCCAACGAGCAGAAAATAGATAACTGGAGAATGCTCCATACGATTTCGAACCATCCCCATCCTTTCCAGCACGAGATCTCGACAGACTTGTCGAAGAGAGTCAAACTGCCCCATCCATTCCTGCCATTCTTCCTCGTAATCAGGCTGTCCCTGAGCCGTTTTGGTTTTGTTAAGGAATATGATAGTATCCTGCCCTTCTTCATTAATCTCTTGCTCTGCCTCTTGACTCATGTTCCCGGCTTCGTTTGTCGTTCCTCTGTCTAAGCGAAGCATCTTTGGGATAGTCCACAACCTGCCAGTCACCTTTGTCAACCAACCCGGTAATGTCGACTAACCGTTCCACGGCTTGGGCTCGACTCCCTCGGGGGGAACTGTCGGAACGACCTTATCCTTCACCTCTTCCCAGTTGGTGCTCAGTGTCGTGCCATTGCTTTCGAGGAAGCTCTTCATCATGGCACGCTGCTGTTCAGGCGTGCTACCCTTGTACAAAGATTTGAAGAAGCCATTAATATCCTGGCCCTCATCCTTTTCTTCGTCGTCAACGGGAAGACTGTCCCAGTTCTTGGGGCCAGATTTGCTGCTCGTGGGGTAGGCGGGGATCTTGGCGGGAGTAGGAGCGGAAGGAGCAGCTGGCTTGGCAGTCGAGGCAACAGAAGATGATGTTGTTGTATCAGGCTGTTGGTCGTCGAATTCGGCTGAACCAATCTTTTCTTCACCCCAAAGCCCCCATTTAACACCAGGTGTGGCCTTCTGCAGAACGAGCTCGATCTTACGTGGCGAAGCAGACCATTTGGAGGCCGAGGGATCAATCTCGCCAGCGAGAATGAGTGTCGAGGTAGCTTCTCTGTCACCGGGCTTGACGTAAGGTGCGGCTTCGCGAGGGATCGGAGAGATGCGAACCTATCCACTGTTAGTAACTGTAGTCTATGGTGCTCCAAAGGAGTGTAGACTTACTTGGCGTTTGCCAAAGTCGACCTTCAAATCATCCTTCTTGAGATCCTTCACAAATAAACTGACAGTGAGAGTCTGGTTGGTCTGGTAGAAATCAACACGCAGCTTGAGCTTCTCGTCGGGGACGGACCCAGGGGCTGGAGCCTCCTTCTTGGGTGGCTTTTGCTCTTGCACCTCATCTTCACTCGTAGAATTGGCAGGCTCGGGCTGCCTAGCTTTCTTCTGCTCAGGCTTAGGCGGAATCTTGGTGACGTTGACCTTCCAGCCAGGGTGATCTTTTGGCAGGTTTTTAAGCCTCCCAAGAGCCTGGCTTCTCCACGAGAATGCCATGTTCCAGGCTGTCGCATTAGGTCCCTTCTCGGCAGCGGCGAAAGCGTTGCCCTCAGAGGTCTTGGGTTTCGGTTGGTTGTCCTTGTCGGCAAGATACTCCTCGTATGTGACCATGTAATTTCCTTCGGAGTCGACCCTCTTTTCCACACCATCGTCCTCGCGGGCTGGTCGGCCTTCGGCAAGCAGCATGCTCCACTTCGCACAGCAGTCTGCATCGGCAAAGCGTCCGAGTTGGTAGTAGATAACGGCACGGCGATACTGGGCTTGGATCATGTGGCTGCGTGATGTTCCAGAGCCACGTTCGGCTGCGACATGGTAGGCAAGCTCGGCGTCGTGTAGCGCTGCCTCGAGGTCTTTGGCCTTTTGATGTGCTTTGGAGCGAGCTAGGAGCCAAGCCGGCGAGTTGGAAGACTCGAGTGCCTTGTCGAGATGAGAAATGGCCGCGGCATAGTCACCCTTTTCGAGAGCGTCGATGCCCTTCTGGGCGAATGTGGTAGCCGACATTCTGGTCGAGTCAATAAAGGATTCGTGTCGAGATTCTGATGATGGTCCCGGTGTAAGAAGTATGAACTCTGTTGGATGGTGGCTTCTGCGAGGTGATACACGCCTCGGAAATGGTGTCGTAGAAGAGCGGAACGGGTTGGGTTTGGTTTGAAAAGGTTCAGTTGATGGAAACGGAGAGAAACAGCTCCCACTTTATATCAAGGGGGTACGTAACTGTTAGCTCCATTGGGTCATGCATGGTGGGGGAATATCCTAATTCTGCCTTGCTGGAGAGGGAGGGCACATGCGGGTGCTCGTCTCACCGCCTTCCCATTTCAGAACTGATACGACCGTTTGCACTGTAGCGGATGCGCACCTTGATGGCCAAGTCAACATCAGGAACCAAGTCGACGACCGGGCCTACACCCCGGAAACCACACACGACAGCTTATATGCCCGCCGACTTATGTATGCAAACAGTGAACTTCCGTCCATACGGACTTCCGCGAGATTTACTGGTACAGAAAGGTCATAAATTACGGACTTCCGCGAGATAGGGGCATGAACATGTATAGCTTTTCGAATCCCAAATGGGTGACAAGAACCGGTGCCTTGACATCGAATTATATGTATTAACATTATGTAGCCCATTAAATATCATACCTCCGTTCGAAGTTTTGCAACGTCATCTAGAAATATCCCCTTCGGCCGAGCATTCAAACGACCTTCTCATCCGGATACCGTTTGGCAAACAGGCCCATGGCCTTCAGCGGAAAGACGAACTTGTAGTTCGGGTACGAGATCATGCAACTCTTGTTGAAGACACCCTCAATGGCCTCTTGCAGCCACTCTCCGTTGGGTTGTTGACGATCCATAATCAACTTGATGCCCATCTTGATAGGTTCAATATTGGGATATTTGGCCTTGATCAACCCAATGAGCGCCCAGGCGGTCATGACTACTTGAGATCCAGTTGGATGCTCGACGTACTCGCCCGTTTCACATGCCTAAGCTCGGGTTAGCATCAAGCTGAAGTGACATAACACCAGACCGTGCCATGCACAGAGAAGCTTACCTTGTAACTCTCAGACCACCCTCCGTCCTCTCTCTGCTTGGAAATGAGGAAGTCACATCCCTTCTTGGCATATTTGCTGGTCTCATACGTTTCACCGACACTAGCCAAGCTCTCCAAAGCAAACATGGTGGCATACGTAAAGCAGATGCCCCAGTTGCCATACCAGCCACCATGAGGTTTCTGATCGCTCTTGATCCACTTGACAGCACGGGTAATAAAGCTGTCGATCTCGTCTGTGCGATGGTTGGGCCAGTGTTTCTTGAAAAGCGAGAGCGTTGTGAGGACGGCCGTCGTGCATTCGGGATACTCATATTCAACCATAATGTTGCCAAACACTTCTGCGGCATTCAAAACCTCCATCCACTGTCCGGCCCGAGGCGTCTCGTAGGATGAGCAGGCACCAGATGGGTTCTGATAGGTAAGCATAGTGTCGACAGCGTCAAAAATGCGCTGGTCGTCGATCAGGGTTGGAAAACCCGGCGTCTTTTGCAGGATGATGACCGACTTCAAAGCCTCGGAGACGCAATCGCTGACTGCGTACCCTTGGTCCTTGTTGCTAAACGCCCAAGCACCCTTGCGGGGATGGCGATAGCACTTGTCCTGATCCTTGACGTTCTCCCGGATCTGCTGGTCCTCGAGGAACTCCAACGATTTGATGAGCATCGGCCTCCAGCGTGGGTCTTCGGTCAAACCAGCGTCCATGATGGCCTGGATTGCAAAGGCAGTGTCCCAACATTGCACGCCGTTTGTGCCATTGCAAAGCATACCCTCAGCGTTGACCCATAGGACCTCATCCAGCCTTTCGACGTGCCTTCGTACCGAATACGCGCCAGGTCCGTCCCGTACGTAACAGCAAACGGTGTTCATCGCGGCGTTGACAGGGGCTAGATCAGAATAATCAGTGTTTTCGTCCTCCATGTCGATGAGCTCCGACGCCCAAGCCTCTGCCTTGTCTACCAAGTACTTGACCCGGAAGACGGGGTTCCAGATGTTCACGAGAAGCCAGTTCACGGTGTTGAGGAAGGCGGTTTTCGGGTGGTAGTTGTCGTTGGGATGAATGGTGTTGCGGTTCCCAGCCCAGTCGATCTTATCCCAGTCCTCCACGAACAACTCCTTGCGCAACTCCCGAATCAAATCCGTCTCCTCTGCCTGCCACTTCTTGGACCATAGGTAACTCATGGGCAGGAAGACCTGGCGCATGTGAATCCACCATCTCCAGGGTGCAATGGGCACCCAGTCGGGGAGAAGCCACAGTTCGGGCGGGACAGGGTTGACGATGTCCCATTTCATGATGCCCAATACCGTGAGCCAGAATTTGGCCCAGTGTGGCGCACAAATAGCACCTCCCATCTTATGCATTGTTGCCCGCGCTTTCACCATGACCGGATGGTCTGCCTCCACGCCCACGAGGCGCAACGTCGTGTAGTTCAGCGTCGTTCCCAGCATGGTGCTCTCGCCTTCGATGTGTAGCCCCCATCCACCGTCGACGGGATTCGCTCGTGCAAATAGGTAGTTCTTGATCTCGGTGGCGTAGTACCATGGGACGGGGTTCTTGGTGACGTAGCGGGCGATGACGACACCGGGGAGGAGGAACATGGGACCGCCGTACTCACAACCCCAGTGGCCCTCGGGAAGCTGGAGCTTTTCGAAGAAAGTAAGACCATTTCGCACCGCATCGAGGGGGTTCGTCGCCTTGGGCAGTTCAGGGAGCTCCTGTGAGGTTGGCAGCAAGATTAGCAGGTGACAGCGACATTGTGGGAGCTTTCGGCTGGATGGTTTACCAAAGGCATTCCCAAGTAGTACTTGTCAGCATATGATTGCGGCCATTCCTTTGCGGCTTCGTCATCCTCGAGGTAATGCCATGTGTGCCGGCCGCCTTCGCTCCTCAAACGCCAACGGGCCTTGTCGGTGCTCTCCTGTAGCCGGGGTCGCTTAGCATCGTGATCATCGCTGTCGACGCTGGACCGTTTCTTGGTTGCTCCGTTCGAGGCCCCCGGGGCTTCAGTGACCTGCTTCCTCGCCATGACGGATGAGTTGGTTTGGTCTTGGAAAAATGACACAAGAACGACCTAGGGTTAGACAAGAGTGTATGAAGGTTCAGGAGAAAAGTACGAACAATTGACAGCGCAACAGACGACAACACGACATTACCCCTGAACTGGCCAAACATGCGCCAGTCCAATCGGGACGGGTCGCGTCGTGTTCCCGTAAAGTGGGAGCTTTGACTCAATTCCTTGACAGGGCCAACGGCGCCAAGAACTTGGGGGCCATGGGGGTGTGGGGAGCAGAGGGGGTCTGGAAATATGGAGATCGGATGGTGTACCGGTTTACACTGTGCCGTGTAAGTCGAGTGGGTCCAGCAACGACATTCCGTCAGACATCAAGAGCCTCTAGCATGGAAAGAGCACACGAAGGAGAAGCTCCTTCCCCATGATATCTCTTTTGAACATTTCTTTATGGTTCACCACCAAGATGACAGTTTTACTTCAAAATCAGGCTCTTATTCCAGCTTCTGCTTGTCCACCAAATTGGACCCGGGTGAGGACGAAGAGCTTTCGGTGCCGTTCAACTTACACTCCTCGCTCAGGCTAGCGTCCCTCCATCGGTGACGAACTACAAGTACTTTATCCGACAACATTGTCTCTCATTCTCCTACCGCTTGTTACAAGCATGTATTTCTGTCCGATACGCAACCAGTTCCTCCAGCCCCGTTCTCAGCCTCCTTCCCAACCTCCTTCCCAACCTCCTTCTCAACTTCCATCTCAACCCAATTCTCAACCCGGGACTCGCACCGGTCATGGACAGCCCAATCCTCCTCTTATGCAAGGTAATTCGGTGGGAGTTGGCAGGGGCAGAGTGTCTCGCAATATTGTGACCATACCACAGAGCCATTTCAACGATGATGCCCTCGCAAAGATCGAAACCTTGTTCGAGACCATCTTGGATGCTGTCAGTGTCGGGGGCCCCGTTGTGATACCCTATCGGCGGTCGACTAATGCCCAGACATTCAACGCAACCGCTTTTACCTCAAATCCAAGTGATGGGCGGCACATAGATTCCGTAAGATTTCCTGGACGTAATCCGCAGGAGCTTCGAAGATTTGGTCAGTCAAACCACCAAGTTGTCGTCGGCTAAGCTCTGTAGCACTGACCACATTATTTACAGAAGCCTTGTTTCGCATCATTGAGCTTTCTCACGAAGCCCTCTTATCTGGGACTCTGATTACCAAGAGGTGCGTTACCGTCAGTGTTCAAATCGGTACATGCACGCTTGATTCTGACTTGGACAGGAACATTACTCCAAAACATGGAACTGTTCAGGTCACAGAGCATGGTCGACGAGATGGTGGACAATCTTGCATTCACACTCGGAGTAGGGCGTGGTGATCTGAACATTGTACGTATTTGACACTTTTCCGGTTCATCTCCTCAACTCGTAATGCTCATGGTGCTTTAGGTAGCCACCGCAAAGGGCCTCATTGCTGGTCAGGTGCAACTTATGATGCGGGGAGGTACCAGCATCAATTGTGCCGAGTCTTCTGACAGTGTAAGTATCTCTGTCCGCCCAGGAGCTTCATTGACTGACTGTTCCAGGGTGTTCTGCTACCATCAATCAGTGCAGTCGAGAAAATCGACTTTCAATCCGTCAAATGGCTTCTCGTCATTGAGAAGGAGGTATGACTTCTTCCGCCTGTGTATATCCTTACCAGGACTCTTCCACTGACGTATACGGGCAGGCCACCTTTCGAACCCTGTCAGCTTCGCGCTACCACGCAGTCTCTCGGGCAGGAAGTGGAATTCTGGTGACTGTAAGGCTATGTCAATCTCTGCAATGGCAACAGTGCTAACAAGTACATTCTCAGGGAAAAGGATATCCCGACCTTGCTACACGAAAGTTCCTCGCAACCCTCCACTTTGTTCAACCACGTCTACCTATGTTTGCCTTGGTCGACTTTGATACCCACGGGATCTCTATCCTTCGGACGTACCAATACGGCAGCCAGCGGCTTGACCATGAGGAGCGCACTAAAGTGCCCAGGTTAAGATGGCTTGGTATTCGCAGTAGCGATGTCCTCTCGCAGACAATGGTGACGCAAGATCCCTCAGCCAACAACCAGGACAGCCAATCGAGCCAAGACCTCTCGAGTCAGGAATCAATCGCTTATTCTGTGGATGGTGAGTGCATCGTTGGGCAGGTACACGACTTGTGCTAACTTGTCAAATTCCACAGCGCTCCAAGACGAACGTCCGACGAAAAGACCGAGAACTCGAAGAACGAAAAGCCACCCAAGCGACTCCACAGCGCCACTCAACGAAGGGGACAGGGAGAAGGCCGTCAGCGTTTTGCGAGACATTTGCACCACGGCAAGACTTGACTCATCAGGGCGGGAACACAAGCTAGAACTGCAGAGAATGTTGATGCTCAATGTCAAGGCTGAGATACAGGCGGTTGATGATTTCGGCGATATTACGAACTGGTTGGATGAGCGACTGTTATCCCAAAGCAGGTAGTATGTGAACTCGCATTAACGGAGACAAGGACAACTAATGTTTGGGTAACGTGGTCGTTCTGACATGTTGCAACGAGAAGAAAACAAATCAAGAGATAGAAACCGAAGATTGAAACCTAAAACTATAACGAAAAAAAGAAAGAAAAAAACAATCAAAAAGGTTCCCACGGGTCAATTCCACACTGGCCAGAGTGGAACGTCTGTGGATTCGTTCGATGAGAGGATCTAACTCCCGACCTTTGCACTTTAAGTGTGCAACGCTCTAATAACTGAACTAATCGAACTTTATTAATATTATGACTCCAAATTGTACTTCAAGTGCCTCTATTTGGGGTTAAGGGCTGTTTGAGCGGGTAGGAGAGGGTTGGGGGAGATTGGGGGGAGGGGGCGGTGCATGCGCGTGCATGCGGTATGAGTTCTACATCTGTAACATTCATTCATCAAGCAATGGAAGAAGGAAAGAGAGGAAGCATGTTCAGGACCTCAAGAACATCTTCGCAAAAATATGAAGCTGGCATATCAGAACCATACTCAACGCCAGGGCTGAGATACAAGCGGTTGTTGTCATGTTTCCAAGAGTTTTGGGTCCAACACAAACTGTTTTTCCTCTAGTGCAACTTTCACTCCGCCTCCTCTGAGACAGACAAACAGTCAGGACTCTTCAGAGCAATCAAAACCCGAAATTTTCTCTGAGACGGTCTCCTGCTCTTAGACCCTGATGGACATATCTCTGAGCTTGTGGGTTGTCTAGGTCATTCTAACATGCTGTACTCCTTCCATGACGGAGGTCATCGTCAAAAGTATTCCCCCCTTCCTGCGTAAAAACCCTCCATTCCCTTTCAATTTGTGCTGAACAACACGGTGCAGACTTGTAGTATCTAGAAGAAGTTCAGGATGTTAGATCCCAGTTTTTAACAGACGGAGAAAATGAATTGCTCACCGATTTCTTGGTTCCGGGCTGGCTTTGAAGCAGACACGAGATTCAACACCGTATTTTCAGGATCGTAAGTGAGGTTTGTTGCTTATTCCATGTCTTCCACGCTGATTGGATTTGGGATCGTTAAAGGGCCTTCCGTTAGTGACAAGGTATGGATAATATCGCCCCATTTACTCCCCGGTATCCACAAAAATCCTCCTAAGGCGACGAACCCGCCCATCACCGCGATATTTTCCACCATCAAGCCATCAATCACTCTTTGGTCTCCTTGATGTGTTCCAACTTCATAACGTCAAACTGTGTTCTTGCGAGGTACATGCAGCTCCTTAGCTCTCGATGCCAAGGTACTCATCATGAAATGCGGTGGAGCACTCTGAGGATTTCCGTCGGAGTGTCTTGAACAATGACGATGTGTTGTTGTTGTTGTTGTCGGCTTGTGTTTCTGTGGGTTTTCTTGTCGATTTGAACTGATGGATGCTCTTCTCTGGGACGCCTCGGTTGGCAGTCGGTACGATGGGAACGGTGTCTGGTAATGCTGTCTTGCTTGTAGAGTGGGGGCCGAAAATAACTGGCTGAAGGTGCTCTGGGTGGGAGGCACGCTCCTGGTGTAGAAATGCTCGTGGTGCTGCACCAGGTTTGAATGGGATGGTTGACTTTCGGCTCTTGGTCGAGCATCTCTGTCCTTCGCAGAGGGTCTGCTCTTGTCGTCCGCCGGAGACTGAACGAAGTCGGTCATTTCGAGGATGGGTTGTTGTAAAGTAATATGTGGTGCTTGCGTGATGAACAAAAATCGAAATATAACGGATACACTGAGAGAGTCCGCGCCATTAGAAATTTGTAGCGGCGATGTCAAGAGGGCGATACAGCTCAGTTGCTGGAGAGTGTCGGAGACGTACTTGCTAGATGTATATAGCTCCTTCCTGATCCAGGTTTGCGCTGTTCGGGTTCTGCTCTCTATCAGTAAAGGCAGGAGCCGTAAGCATTCGAACTAGGGACGGAATCTTCAACTTGTCGCTTTCTTAGGTCTACAAGTAAGTTTGCGCAGGATTCAAGATGTGAAAGCTTGACAAAATGAAGTCGACATCTGCCAACAAAAAGAAGAAGTGAGGCAAGCACGCATGGCTTTTCGAGAATTCAGGATCGGAATGACGCCGACGAGAGGTATTTACTGCCCAGAGGAAGTTTCAATGTCTGGAAAACCCCTCTCGGAAGATCTTCCGTATATCTCTATGATGGCCAACAGATGAAGAGACCTTGGAAATGAGAGTGTCCAAGAACTAAATATGCAGTTGCATCTGATGTTGTCGTTAGGCAGTGGATGGGTAAAAGAGACAAATACGGAAGGTGGAGCACAGTGTGGACTCGTTCATGTGAAAGCGCGCACAGTTTGGGCGAAAAATTTACCCCTCCAAAAATTTTGCAGAGGCAACGACAGCAGGGTCAGTCTCTCTGATGTCAGTTGTCGATTTCAGTCTGCCAGTTGCCAGTACACTCCCTACAATATCATTCCGTTAGGCCTCTCATTCATCATTGGCAATATCCAGCATACCCAGACGTCCTTCACCTCAACTTACCTTAGATAACTCAACCAAATATTTCTCCAACCCCACCTCCCCACAACCATCAACATGGCCCCTCAGTTGAACGAGGAGGAGATTGACGATCTCATCTATTTCGCCCGCGCGGGTGAGAAGGATGACTTGACCACCACGCTCACTGAGCTTGCCGAGAGAGAGAAGGTTTCGGTTGCAGAGATCATTGCAAGCGCAAAGGATGAGGGCAAGTCGACTTGCTTGCACATGGCGGCGGGCAACGGCCACTTGGGTATGTGCTGAAGAGGACCCTCTTCTTATACAAAGACGAATGTGTGAATTTAAAAAAAAACTGACACCATCGACCAGATATCGTCACTCTCATCCTCTCAGAGTTCGCCTCCCGGCCAAAGGAGAAGCAGGCGTACATTGACGCCGCCAACGAGTACGGCAACACCGGTCTTCACTGGGCCGCCCTCGGTGGTCATCTCGACGTAATCAAGCTGCTCATGGCGGCTGGTGCGTCGCCGGCTCTGGCCAACGACAAGAACTACGTGCCTCTGGACCTGGCCAGCTTTGGCGAGAAGCACGACGTGGTGGATTACTTCCTCGAGCAGGCGGGTGGTCTTGAGGACAAGAACACGGCGGAAGGCCTCAAGGCTGCTGCTGAGGGCTTGAAGGTGGATGATGACGGCAATGTCGAGTTCAAGATGTCTGTTGGCGACACTTCCGAGGCTTCGGGTTCCGGGTCGGCGCAAAACTAAGGAAAGATATGGCCGTTGGGAAAGTTTGAGGGTTCAGGTGTTGGATGATACCACATAAACACGATTCATGGCATTTGTTTTTTCCTGTTCGGTTAGGTGCACAAAATTGATGGTTATAAAGCGGCAATAGGTGACCAGAGCTGTGGATAACAAGAGGCGTTGTGATGCTTCGGTGCTTATCTGTTGATAAGACAGAATATCAAACGCGGAAAGCGCGGAAAGATGTTTTTGGATACCTCACAGAGATACCATACAGCTGGAGTATAAGGGGCCACATGAAGCACACGCCGCATCACGGCATCGTTGTCCAGGGTCTTGCCGTGGCTCACATACGTATTATTTGCTGGAGAGTGACTCGCTTTAGAAGCTATACAGGGGTGAATGCCGGCAGATGAAAACAGATGAACATGAATTTGGTTCGAGAAGGAATGGAAGTGGAGGCGCTGATATCAGTGAGGGTGAGAAACCTGTACGTGTACAAAGAAAAGAAAAATTGTGCCAAAAAGAGAGAGGATGGTCTCGACTCGTTTAGCTTCCACCTCCAAGTGAGCCCCCACGCCCGGTGCAAGCCACCGCGTGTGAGGTTCGACTTCATTTGTGGGGCTTACCATTTATACCCCGCTGAAGACAATGGAAAGGTACAGTAGCAGGCTTTTCGGGCTAAAGATACCAAGACCCAAGTGATGGCACTGAACACCCCGAATGGAGCCAGTTACCGGTACTTACCCTTATGAGGACACACCTGACCAAGGTCAACATTGCGAAAAGTGAAGAGACACTAAAGAGAGAATGAAAAGGTCCCGAGTTGAAGTCTTCAGCGACGGTTCTGGCTGAAGCCCCCATAGTCACCGGTGTGGGTACACAGACCCGCTCTCCGCACAGCTGGGTGTGGGTAAATGTGGGGTTAGTAACCCTGATCCCTGACAGTCCATTGGCTCCCGTCGCGATCGCGTCTGGGGAAAGTGTGGGCAGCGCCGGGCAGGCACGAGAGAGAGGTCGGGGACTCGGGGTAACCACGAACGACACCGGCCAAGCGAGACGTTGCGGTTCAAGGAAGGAACTGGGGTTCTTCAGGCAGGATCAATTGCTGCTGCCAGCCATTTTCTTCAGCGGTTCCGGTATTTTTGGTGTGCAATGGTGCAGGTGTGGTGTCCATGAGACCTCTTGCAGCGATTCGGGCAGTCACTTCACTCCCCCACGCGACCGACAGAACCCCAATCCGATGTGGAGTGGAATTCGTCCCGTCCAGCTCTCGAATTCCGTCGTCGTCTTTCTTTCCGTCTGTTCCTCCTCCACCCTTTTTCTCCGACGTCCATCTTCCACTTTTTTGTCCTCCGTTCCACAACCACATGCCCGTCCCCACCAAGCCATACGACGTCTCCGATTTCCGACATGCCCAAGAGCAGCCGTCTCAACTGCTAACAAACGACCTATGCATACAATAATGAGCATGCATTCTTACCTGTAGCGATTGCGCATGTAGTGGGTGACACCTCATCTCGTCCACCCGAGACCACCATCAGCCAAACATGTCGGTCCAGCAACAACAACTCCCGCTTCCCAACGGCCCCGGCCCTCATGCCACCGGGACCCCCACCGGCGCAACTACCACTGCCGGAACCGCCTCTCGCTCTACTCCCTCCGTCGCCTCACCATCTCCCGGTCCGTCGTATAAGCGCGCAAGTCGTAAAGGCGCGACTAAGCGTTTTGCCTGCAACTATGAGGACTGTAACAAGGTGTATTCCAGGGCAGAGCATCTCCAACGCCATCAGCTCAACCACGATCCCAAGGAGATATACCGTTGCGATGCCGCCGGCTGTGAACAGCAGTTCGTTCGCGCCGATCTCCTATCACGCCATAAAAAGCGGCATTCGGCCTCATATGTCCCCCGAAACCGCTTGCCTAGCTTCAGCACCCCCAAAGACCACCATGACCTGCTCACTCCGGGCCAATCGACCTCCTCTCAGGGCCAGACACCCGCCTCGTCCGCTTCTCACCAGGTAGCCATCGAGTCTCGGTCCATCTTTCAAGGCGCTCCCCATGATGCTGCCATCCTCCTCATTCCCGATTCCCGCTCGCAACAGTCGCAGTCGCAACACCAGGTTCTGCCTTCTCTTCAGCATCTCCAGTCCCACCATCATCAGCAGCAGGGGCACCACTCACACCATCAGAGCTCGTCAGCCATGGGCCAGCATACGAACTCACACTGGGCATCTTCAGCAACCAACATATCACCTGCTCTTCCGCCTAAAAATGAGTATTTCCAACGAAATGTGAACCACGGCCACATGGCGAATCAACAGCCGCCCCTTATGCCATATAACCCCAACGTCGACTTTCCCAGCGAGGACCTGGCCAGAGAAAACTTCGCCGTTTGGCTGTTCAACCCACAAGACTACAACTGCGACCTCAGCGTCCCTCATCTCCCCTTCCTCGACGGTGGACTCGAGTCGGCATTGAACAACAGCATCCATTACGACTATGACTCCATCACCAGCGGCCGCTCTCAGGTCGATAGTGCTCCCACCCGGGTCACCGAGTCCGACAGCGATTTCATCACCGAGGCCCGTCTCCAGGAAATATCCAGCCTGTTCTTCACATACAATGCGAAGCAGTTAAGAGACAAGCCCAACGGGCTGCGAATCACAGAGGTTGTCGATAAAAGTGGCTGCGGAACTATGCCAGTCCTAAATCTCGATATGACGCGCGACTGCTTGCAGGAGTATTGGGACCATGTGTCGGCTCGCCTCCCAATTGTCCACCAACCCACCTTCTCTTATAATAAGTGCTCGGTGTACCTCCTCATGGTCATGATCGCGCTAGGCGCTGCGTCCCTTCGCATGAGAAACTGTGGCGACTGCTACACCCACTACGATGTCGTTGCTGACATTATCGTCCTGGGCGTGCGGTTGGATATACTGGATACGGTGGATGCCATTCCGCCTATAGCCTTATGGGTTGCGCAGGCATTAGTCTTGCTCGAATTTTACGAAAAGCTCTACTCATCCAGACGCCTACACGAGCGAGCCCAAACTTTCCACGAAGTCACCCTCAACCTTCTACGCCGAGGGAGTCCACTAATCGGCCGCTCAGGCAGTGAATCGCCTCCGGAACCTACTGGCTCAGCAGATTATAACGGCAACACTCACAGCGGGACGAGCCTGGACTCCCGAACTTGGTGGTCTCGTTGGGCGCAAACCGAGTCAATGCATCGCGTTGTTTTTGCCGCTTTTATGTTGGATATTACCCATGCCGCCATGTTTGGCCACAAAGCCAACATGGTGCCATATGAGATACAGCTGCCTTTACCATGTGATGATAATCTGTGGTCGGCCTCAAACCCCGACAATGTTCGCCAGCTGGATCAAAACCTCCGGATGTATGGCGTCAAGCAGGTATCGTTCCTTGAGGGGCTCAAACTCGCAATTCACGGCAAAGAAGTCATGACCCATTCATTTGGCCGCATGATCATCATGTCTGGTCTCCTCAGTGTCGGCTGGCATCTTCGACGCAAAGAAACACACAATCTGATGGATCTTACAAAGATTCCTAACAGCAAAAGCGACGGTTGGAAGATGACATTGTTGAGCGCGTTCGATCAGTGGAAAGCCTACTTCGACAAAGCCCAGGGGTCTCTGGGAGGGTCCAACATGGTCGATCCCATTGTGCCCTATGCCGGTTCAAACGGCCCGATACAGAGTGCCGCAGTGCTCTATCATTTGGCTCACTTCAGTTTGTTTGCTGACATTCTGGACTGCCAGATCCTTGGCGGCGCGAAACGTCTCTTGGGCCAAAAAATATCCGATCAACGCTATACCATGATTGTGCCCAAGATGAAAGCCTGGGCAAGCATGCCAGGCACTCGTCATGCGATTCTTCACGCCTACAAAGTACTCCATTGCATCCTTGTTGATCCAAGAGGAAACAAGGGCGAGCAGAATTGGCAAAACAAAAGCCATGGGCTTCCACCGATCACCCTGCAACCATATTCTTGCCGCAACGAGCCTGATCCACACCGACCGTGGATCATGTACATCGCTGCCCTAAGCATATGGGGCTTCGTACGTGCTTCTACACTTACTAGTGCTGCGCCCCTTTCGAATATCAGTTCTCGCCTCAGGAAGCCCGAGCAAGTCAACTTCAATCGCGTTGCCGCTTATCTCTCCAAAGTCGCAGCTCTTTCCGAGCTGCCGGAGTCCGCCGCAGCCGGCCTCAAGGATGGGTTACCTGAACTGCTTGACGTTCTATGCTCGGTCCTCTATGAAGCCAACTCGGAACTTCTCAAAGAGGCATGTGAGCGGCTCACTTGCTGCAAGGACATTCTTACCTCAGAGCAATAATAATGGTGTACAACGAGGAATGGGGGTAAGAATAAACTGGACACGCTTTACGTCCCCTTCGAATAGGTAAGACTTTCCTGCGCCTAGTAGGACCGGGTCACAAGGGACACGCGGAAGATAATGTATGTATGCTTCCTTGGATATAACATCAATTGGTGGTAAACCGAAGCAGTGATCTAACTATCTCTCAAGTCTAGAACCTTTCGGCCCACTAAAGTGCGTATGGGAAAGCCTCAGCGTGCCGGATAGTCCGGTTACTGAGAATCAGTGATCAATCCGCCCCGGATAAACCATCGACTGCACGTTGCGATGTCGATATCCATCACAGCTTGAAGTATCCGCTCCACAACTTCCGCAGAGTGCCCTTAGGATCCCACTTCAGTGCGACTTGCTTCAGCTTGGCGTGATTATCCGCTCCATAGCTCTCGAACACGCTTTGTCTATTACCGGCGTAGTTGGCATAGACAAAGCCATGACTCAAACCCCGGCTCTTAGCAAGGTCGTTGATTTTACCAATCACTTCCTCGGAATTGCTTTCCATCAGATCATCAAGCGCACTATCTGCCCACTGTGCCGTCAACTGGATCAGCATCAGGGGGCCATCGCTCTGCTTCAGACCCAACGCGTTCCCACCATTCTTCTCCATTGCCTTCAGCACATTGAGTGGGATAGCTTGGAACGCCAAGAAGGGGGTCACCGCAGTGCCCTTAGCGGCGGCTAGAAGCTTCTCGACATGTTCCTGCCAGAGAGGTACGATGTCGAGGAGAAGGGAAGCATCCGTAGCCTTGACTGTCGTGTCCCACCATGTCTGACGGGAGCCGTATGGGACGTCAATCTCACGAGACACGGTCGACACGTTGACTATGGATTTGGTGTTCATGATGGTTGGCAGGGACTCGAAAGGTTGGAACACCCCAGGGACCTCCTCATGCGCACTATCCGATGTGTTGGGCAAGTCTGCGTGGAACAGGTCGCTAATCACAGCGTAACCACCCAGCATATCCATATGCGTCAGGACCATGTAACTGTGGGCCTTGTTGTCGGCCGGCATGCCGTTAACCGTCAAGTTCTGGTACGCCGTGATGGCGGAGGCGGTGGCTGCGCCGGGGATGATGAGACTGTTGTGCCAGATATTGCCGCCTGGTTGCTCGTACGCCGCCACGTCGAAGCGAGTCACGATGCCGAAGTTGGAGCCGCCTCCGCCGCGCAACGCCCAATACAGATTCTTATTCTTAGTGGGAGACGCATTGACGATGAGTCCGGAAGCGAGAACGACCTCGTAGTTGCGCACGTTGTCGCAGGCCCAACCGTACATCCCGGAGAAGTACGATATACCTCCGCCGAGAATCAGACCGCTGACCCCCACGTCAGCCACACGGCCGCCCACGACAACGAGCCCCAGCGTATCGAGGGCCTGCGAGACGTTGATCCATCTGTTTCCAGCGCCGATCGATACCGTCTTACGGTCCGATGCCACGTTGAGGGCAGTGAGGTACATCAGGTCAATGGTGACGCCGCCATCGGAGTTGGAGCCGCCTGCAAAAGCGGTGTGGCCGCCACCCTTGACGGAGAACTGGGTATTCAGCGAGACAAGCAACTTCACGGTTGTAGCGACCTCGAACGCATTCACAGGCGCCACAAAGCAGGCGGGTGCGATGTTGTCGGTCTGGCGGCTGGACCAGTAATTGTTCTCCTTGGCGTAGGCGGGAGAGTCGGGATAGTTAACGCGCCCAGGAGGCAGAGCAAGCTGGATGGCTTTGCACTGGATGATGAGAATGTCAGCTTGGATTCAGATTGGACATGAACGTTCAGGATATCTGGCTGGAATCTTACGGCAGCGTCGGATGACGGAGTCCACAGAGTGCAGCTTCCTGCGGTCGCGAGGGCGAGGGCACCAAGCAAAATCTTGTTAAGGCCCGAGGAAAGCATGGTGAAGGTTTGAGGTGTTGGTTCTCAGCCTGGTAGTTGAGAGACGGGAAGATGGGAATAATTATACTGGCTGAGAAGTTTTGTAGCTCGAAAGCCAACCTGGACCGCTCGCCCAGACCGGTGCCTGGGCTGGCGCTGACCACATGGCTCCTTGCTTCCGTCCGAGGTTCGGATCATGCATGTTTGACAGCGTTCAGGGCCGATATGGGATGGACAACCTTACAAAACCAGACATGTGTAAGAAGTGAGGAGCGGGCAGTGGAGGTCTGGGGCAGCCATGATGACTCCTGTCAAGCGTTCTTTGTCCATCACTTTCACCACATCAATCTACTACCCGTTCACCGATTCCACTAGCTCCTATACTTGCATGTTTCACATATGGGGCGATTCCTCTTTCCCTCGTCCATTCCTTTTGATCACTCCATCTCAGACCCAAGGGTCTGGCACTTAACCAACTTCATCCAGAAAATACCGATCGAACTTGCAGTGTACAAGTCAGATGAGACACTCCTTCCCATTTACTCGCATATTAGTCTAGTTGGTCGTAACCCCTGCCAAGCGAAAAGGTTGGCGTTCCAAGGCCCAAATGGTCGGGTCGGTTGGCAGTAAACGGCGCAAGCTGTCAAAGCTGTCAAGTCCTCTCAGTCCTTGTCGATACTGTGCACTACGCGAGCGGGTGGCGGTAACGAGGCGGGCGAGGCGAATGTGAGGGTGAGTTCCACGAATCGATCTCTACATGCAACCACGATACATGTGAAGATGCAGGACTAACCGTAATATCGGGTCAACTATGAGAATTGCATTGTTCAAAAGAAGAATGTCCATATTGTTCCAGACCCTGGATTCTTGCCTGGAAACTGACAGTGTTACCTACGTTCCCCTCCAATCTTGGTTACCAACTTCCGTTCAAGATTTCGATAGTGTCGTGATATGGTACTTGAAGACGAATTAGAGGGGAGGCGGTGACCCGGCCGGAAGTCCGACATCCCCGGTGATAACTCCACTCAAGGCCCGGGACGAGCTGTTCCCGAGGAGGAGGTGAATGATCACTGAGCTAGGGACATCCTTAAAACTGACGGATAGAAACATAGGTACTGTGTTATTCCCAGCCACTCACATGTCTCTCTCAAGTTTTCAACCAATGTCAGAGCCCGGTACAACAGCCGAAGAACCGTTGTGGTGGGTTTTGAGCTGCGACAGTTGCACGACATCGCCTTGCCATTTGCCAAGGATTTTACACAGTGTGTCTAGCCAAGTATTTAGTATCTAGGAAACAACACAGAACACAACACGCAGCACGTGAACGAGACGGCGTCATCGTCGAATCCATTCTTCATGGCAACTTCCGGATCATCTTGCACCCTCTTCCATCTCACCGCCTGCTTCCCTGTTTTGCTGCACTCTTTTCACGGATCCTAAGCTATCCGATGGGGAAGTGCCGATGGAGATTGGTGGGAAGCGTGCTCATCAAAAAGAAGGAACAAAAGTCAAGGGGCTGCAATCTAGATACCGAACAAAGCCGGAACCCTGGATGAAAAACCGGACTGACCTGGACGGAACATCACAACATTATCGACGGACTGAGTTTGACCATGACCATGAATTTGCTAGACGCCTTAACAGAACCGTGGTCGTCAATTGCGACTGAAGAGTAAGATATTCAGACACGAAAACAGCATTCACATTGGACCGAAGACACAAACACCGATATACCCAGATACCATTGATACTGGCGATGAAGTTATATTAACCATGCTTGATTGTACGATATAATTGCTATCACTATGATTGAGTTTCAACAATAATTAAGGCAAGATGGCCGAGCGGTCTAAGGCGCTGTGTTCAGGTTCACTTCTGAGTATCGCAGTCCGAAAGGGCGTGGGTTCGAATCCCACTCTTGTCACTACATTTCTTCTTGTGCTTTTTGTCTTTTCTGATTCCTTTTTCTTTTTGCATTTCCTCTCCTCTTTTTCGGCAACATATCTGTTTCTGTTGCAGAATGTCTTATTAAATATACACAGGCGCCGAAAAAAGGTGTGGTTGTGTTGATGCATGAATGCAGCGGATTATATTGACGAGTACCTCGGGGTAACTTCCTTTTCTTTTTCCTTCGTAAGTATACACACGTAAAGGACGACAGTTGAAGTTTGAAACAGTTGCTCTCTCTATTCGCTATGCAACATCCCTTGATTGAGTCTGCCAGCAGATCTACCATGCCAGATGCCCATCACTCACATCCACATCCACTTATTTCCCCTTCCTCAACCGATACAGCAGGAACGCATGAACAATCTTTCCCTCCTTTCGACTTCCTCCCTTTTTCCTCATTCGGGTTCCCACTTTCCAGTTCAACTTCACCTTCACTACTACCCCCGACAAAAAGTCATACTCCTAGGTGAAACCTCCTCCATGGCCAAGCCCGACCTGCCACCGCCACCACATCCCACAGCAGCCCCGATGGTAGTTCCTGACTCCACCGGCACCCATTCCACTTGCGAAAAAATAGGTTGAGGACCTTGTCCACAAATGGGCGATTCATCCACCTCCATTTCCATTCTCGGCTTCGGCTTCGGCTGCTGCTTAATAATTACTATCTTGATCTTCTTGGGAGGCGAGGCGGTGCTGTCTAGTCCTGTTGAACCGGAACCGGAACCGGAACCGGAATCGGAACTGGAACTGGAATATGGGAGTTGTAGCTGTGGAAGTACTGGAAGGGAGGGTTGCGGAGAGTTGGTGAGGGATGAGGATGAGGAGTCGGAGGAAGTGCTGACGCTGTCGGCTTTGCGTTTGAGTTCCATTTTGTTGTTGGGATCTGGTAGTAGGTTTGACTGGGTTGACTGGTTTGGCTGGTTTGACTGGGGGATGACGGTGTTTGTTGAAACTTTTGTTGGAAGTGGAAGATAGTTAAGGTTTGTAGATGGCCAGGGAGGATTAAAAAATCTAGAGACTGGCAGGGAGATGTTGGTGAAGTAGTTGGCTTGAGGAGATGGTGGTGTGGTAGTAACTGGTATTATGATTGGTAGAGAGATAAGAAGATTGCGAACTTGGCCGGCAAGTTGCCGCAATATGTTGTAGAATAGAAAGATCAGGAGAAAGGGTTGAGTATTGCTGTTGAAGGATGCTGCTGATCGGATATCTTCCTGTTATGATTGGGAATGGTTAGCTCAAGATATAAATGTGAGGCTGTGAACGACGCCGAGTTTCTTCTTGAAACTGACGCTGCCTTGCGAGACATGTTGGAGAACGCTAGTTGAGGACCTGAGCCCCATTGCGAACCGTGATAATATCCTTTCTTTGTTGAACACAAAGCCTTTGAGTTCTCAGAGACAGCTCTGAAGCTGTGTCCTTATTTACCCTCTTGTCCGATTGAGCTAAGACAAAGGACCGCTGAACAAAGCAGTAGCTCACCTGAAACAATTCCCAAAATGGCCGTCACTTCTGTGTGTAGTATCTCAGTCTTAATTCCACGTGAAATGAGTTCCACGTGAATGCGACGATAGTGTCTCAAACAACGTCGTATCTGACACTTTTCTGGGAATCCCGATATTGGTCGGTTAATATATCCGTTGGCGACATGCAGTCAGCCATCTCACCATGACTGCCGAGACTGAATGTATCACCCTAAAATCTCATGTCCTTGTGATACATCAGCTGTAACTTTATAGGTTTTTTCGGGCCACTCGTAATCGTGGACTGATGACGGCCGCATCCTTCGATTTCCTACCAACCACAGCCCATTCCGCCAATCCTGCTGCGGAGAAAGCGGCACAGTGACAACGTGTCAAGGCGGGTCCATCATGAATATCGGTGATCATCCTAGGACCTAGACCTCCCCCTTCCTCCACTCCTCAACGCTGTTTACTCAAAACAATACCTCCGTCTTTTTATTCACGATCCAAAGAACAAGAATCACCAACTTCAAAGATGGCGGAACCAACCCCCTCCCTCCCTGCCACCATGCAAGCCCTCCGCATCACCTCCTTCGGTGGCCCTTACACTCAAACCACCATTCCCGTCCCTCCCCTTTGATTCTCCGGCCTCATGACCTCCTCGTCAAAGTCGCCGTCGCCTCCCACTGCCACACCGGCACCATCATCCGCCTGGGCGCTGTACCCAGCATCCCGCTCCCTTTGACCGGATCCCACGAAGGATCAGGAACCGTCGTAGCCGTCGGTTCCTCCGTCGCAGCCGATGGCTCGTTCAAACCGGGCGATTGCGTCATGTGCGGTATTCCACTAGGACTTTGTGGATTGTGCGGGGATTGCACTGCTACCGGAGGAGGAGAGCATTACAAGCATTAGTGTGCGCATATCGATGGACACATCGGGATCCAAGTCGACGGGTGTTTGCAGAGTGCGCGGTTGTCGACAGCCGGACGAGCACGGTGATTCCGGAGGGTGTGTCGCTGTTGGCGGCGGTACCGCTGGGGTGTGCGGGCAGGACGGCGTGGAGGGCGGTTAAGGAGGCGGGCTTGCGGCCGGGGCAGTGGTTGGGGATTGTCGGGTCGGGTGGCGGGTTGGGACACTTGGTGGTGCAGTTTGCGACGAAGATGGGGTTGAAGGTTGTGGGTATCGAGGTGAAGGATGAGGGTCTGGAGCTGACGAAGGAGATGGGGGCGGATGTGGTTATTGATGCAAGGAAGGGGAAGGATGAAGTTGTTAGAGAGGTTGGAAAGGCCGTACTGGGGGATGATGGGAAGGATGTTGATCATAACGGGTTGTTTGCTACGGATGGTGTCGATGCTACTGACAGTTTGTCTGATGCGGATGGATGCTGCTGGACTGGCGTGCGCCATTACAAAGATGCATGGATTGGTGGTGCAGGTTGCTCAGCCTTTGGAGGTGAAGATTCCGTTCATCGAGCTGATACTGAGGGATGTGAGGATCAAGGGGAGCTTGCAGTGTTCAGGGAAGGAAAGCGAGGAGCTGTTAAAGGTTTTCTCTGACCATGAGGTCAAGGTAAAAATGACTCCGTTCTATGGATTGGATCAGGTCGAGGAGCTGGAGAAGGTGGTTTCAAGCGGAAAGCTCCAGGGAAGGGCTGCGATTATTATTGACCCGCATCAACTTCAGCACGAGAAGGAAATGGTGAGACATTAGCTGAAAATTAACTGTATTTCACTTCCAAGACATCATTATTCATAAGCTCATTCTGTTGTTGTTTCTCGTCATACATGCCGTCAAGCTCTTTACTCCTTGATCTCCTGCTTCCGGAAGGTGTCTGCAATTCGGTTAGATTCTACACTTGACGAACACTTCACTCATCCCGGAATTCGCTCCTCGAACCATACCTGGAATATCGGGCATCCACTTGGGCTTGTTCTTGCAAAAGAACTCGCCCTTGGGAGGCACCTTTTCCGGCTCGTCAAAGGACCCCCACATGATATACCGGAACCTGTCTGCTGCTTCTTCCTATAAAAAGCGTGAGTGGTTGCTTTGTGGGAATACACTTTGTCGAATAATCTTACCCCGTATTCGCAGATATAAGCACCGCAGTCATCACAGAACTCCCTTGTTACACCATTGTGTTGCTTGAACTTCTTCGGAGTACCGGTCTCGTACTTGAAGCCCTTAACGGGGACCTTTGTGGTGAGACCATAGTTAGTCCCAAACGCCCTCTTGCAGCTGTTGCAATGGCAAAGTGTGGTTCTCGCATCATCGAGAGAGTCAAGCTCTAGTGAATATTGCAAGTTCTTGCAGACGCAACGGCCCTTCATGTGGATGCTCATGATGAATGTCTGGAGGAGAGGGTTCCTAGGGAAGGATGGTGACGCTCTGAACGTAACGGTCTGTGGCAGGCGAAGTGTTCTCAGCTGGCTGGCACGGAGGATCGAAGTTGGCTTGGGCAGGACTCGGCTGAGGAGCATTATCTGGCCGAATTTCCGAGATTGTTTGTTTCGATTCCGAAATGTTGTTCGTTCAGTCAAAGTCGAAGTCGAAGTTAGTTCTCAAAGGGATAAGTCGTGTAAGTCAACAGCGATGAACTGTGACGTCAACGATCTACAGTGCCTGGGGCAGTGGTCTGGGCGCCCAGAGGCCCTATCTCGGTTGCTCGGGTGCGGTTGCAGTCCCTGTTGCACAGTGCATGCTGCATGCCCGTCTGTCTCCACCTTCCTTTGGACGAACATCGCGGAGTTCTTTCGCTACACCACAACCTGTACTTAACTACGGAGTTGGTGTTTCTTTTTCCACTTTCAGAACTCGAGATACCTTGATGTGTAGGCTTCGGCTTTGGTATGAAGCAACTGATGAAGGATGCAAGTCAGCATTCGTGCCGCTGTGGACCCGGGTAGGGTTGGGCTTTGTTGCCATCCCCTGGAAAGCGCCAACAGAGACCCCTTAACTACAAGTCAAACAGTTGCTTTACAAACATGTGCAAACCAACAACATCCAAACGGGCGATGAGATGGCCAGATCCAACATGTCTTTAATCTTGAAAATGCTTGATCAGCTGGCTTCGTTGCCTGCGCCACAAAACCACGCGCGTCTCGCCCGCCAATCTTGCGTAACGCCACACTGTCGACCTTGCATCGCCGCAGCCCATTGTACATTAGAGTACCAAGACCCCCTCGATCCATTGAACCCCCTGGCTCTGGGGAATAACGATCTGTGAGTGATGCATTCGCGCGAGCCGAATCTCAGCTGACGCAAACATAGAGAAAAAGTCCACGGAAACTGTTGCCGCGACTTCCGCGATCTCGGGTGAATTGTTCCACATTTTCCATCAGCTGAAAGTTTGTGAAACCCGACATTTCCAAAAAGAAGGATATAAAGAATCCATCCTTCCCGCGACCCCAATCACTCAAAGACCGGGTCTTGGCGTTGCGATTTATTCCTGCCGCAAAAGAAACAGGGCATTAACAGCTTCCTTTTAACTAAGAGCGCTGCCGTGAGAGCTGCGGGGGTGTAAAAGCCGTCAAGGGCTAGTTCTAGATTACAAACGATACGTCACTCACCATACACAACACACCCGACACAACCAACGACAACCAACACCTAGCAAGATCAGTCAGGTCTGAGCCATGCATCTGAGAGATCTCTTATCCAGACGCGACAGCGACTCCGACTCGCGGTCCGTTGCGCCCTCCGAGACCCAGTCAGAAGCCGCCCATCGCTATGACATGCTAGCAAAAGTCCAGAGTGCCCTCGCCGGCATCATCGGCTTGGGCGCGTTACCGTCCATCATTCCACCTGGCAGAGAACACCATCACTGCAGGAAACGACCCGTCTTCATCGCTTGGCATCCCGTGGCGGACAACATAGGAGTGTTGTTTGCCGAGCATACCCGACTGGGCCAGGCTATCACCAAGGAGATGGGCGAGTTTCCGGATCCGACGAATCACTGGGCTGTGATAGTGGGGGACCAGGATACGGATTATTATCATGAGTTGTGGATGGTATGCTGGAAATCTGGGAAGATGCGGAATGACTGGGGTCCACTAACAAGATGCTGACACTGAAACAGGAGAAAGACTTCACAGTGGTGAACCAGCACGGCTTAGTCGGAACACAGAAGTGGACGAACAAACTAAAAGTTGGCGAGACAAGGTGGAATGATCAAGCCGTATTAGCAGCCAGTAAGTCCGTACCAAGGCCCCAGTGTATTCTCGAAGCACATCATCCTAAGAAACATTTCCTGCTCACACATAAACAGGCAACAAGGCAATCAAGAAGATGAATCCAAGATACGGCTTGATCGATAACAACTGCCAAATCTTCGCCTCCCACCTGCTCCTCGAGCTAGGCATCGAAATGGGCGAAAACATCAATACAGCCAAGGACATGAGAAACAAGTTACTCGCAGAATTCAGCAAGACATCCTGGCGCAAGAAACTGGCCAACAAGGACTGGCAAGCCCCGACATTCCTGAAAGTGAAGGAGATTCGGCGAAGTATCAGCCCTGCCTTTGGGCGAAGTGTGGATCAAGAAGAACAACAACCACAACATGAGGAGATGGTGATGGAGGAGCGACAAGCCAAGTTCCGACCTTTTAGTTGGGGAAAGAAGAAGGAAGTGGTTGCGCAACTTCCGACGCCTCCATGAGTACGGTATATCCCTTTGACACCGACAGAAACCACCAATGATATCCCCCAATACGTACCTATGATCAAACGGTCAGGGTATAATTCAAGTAATTCCCGTTCCCTGCCGCACGCGGATAGAACTCGAACGTGAGCGTGGCACTTTGGCCTGAAGCAATCACGGCATCCAGCGTCTGCCTCCGGATGATGAGCTTGTCGAAGTCGAAGTCCCACTGGCCACCATATGTCTGCTTTCTTGTTAACACTAGGCCTCAGACCTGAGTCTGCTGAAAGGGACAGGGAAAGAGAGAAGAAGGAAAGGGGGACACTTACACCACAGCCCTTCTGCAGCCCAGGCAACCACATGGTCCAGTCATCAAACAGGTACGACCCATCCGCCTTGATCATCTTCACCGCCGCCACCCGATGCAGCCCCTTCCAGACCACCGGAACCGACAAATCTTGACCCGCCGGCACCGCGCTCCCCGAGGAGATCGTCTGTGCCGGCACCGGCAAATCCCACTGGACGATCTCCACCCGACTCTTCGCGCCAGCCGAGAACGTAACCGTGATATTCGCCTTGGTTCCCGGCGCCGCGTCCCTGGAGAGATACTTGCCCAGGAACTCCTTCTTGAGGGTCACCGTCCCCTGCTCCTGGACCGCATAATCCTTTCCAGCCTTGAGCGGCACCCCGCCAACACTCAACGCCTTAAACCGGTTCCCATTCAACGCAAACGACAAGTTCCTCCCCTCTGCCCCGATATCCTCCCCAACCTTATTAAAAACATACGCCGAGCTCTCCTGCGTCGTCGCGCCACCATCCGTCGTACTTTCCGGCAACGAATTCTTTTTGCCCTTGATGGCATTAACAATAATCTCCACCGCGACTTCATCCCTCCACCGCCCCGTCTCCCTCTGCAAATTATCCAGTCCATTATCCCACAGCACCGGAACAATATTCAGCCTCCTCGCAGCTGACACGACGGTATCAAACCACCGCCACCTAGCGGCAGCCTCGAGACTCAACTGGCTCGCATCGAACTCGCCCAGATAAATCGGCACTTTCGGGTCATTAGTAATCGCCGTCAGATTTCCCCTCACAGCTTCCAGATCCGCCACCACAGCCACTTTATCGCTCTCACTTCCCCAGACCGTCTTCCCCCACGCTTGGAAAATGAAGTCGTAAGGCGAGTAATAGTGGAACTGGAAAGCCCACGGGTTCGTCATGTTCTTCGGCAACCTAAACCACCCATTTTGCATGCGATCAGCACCCCCCATGTTCAGCGCTGACAGGGTTACCACTCTCTGGGAATTCCACCCGCCAGAATCCCTCAGGGCGTGGATAAACAGGTCGTTAAGACCCATTAGTCTTTCGGCATCTTCAGCCGTGGAACCGGGAGGCTCGTTGATGGGCTCGAATGCTACGGTGGAGGGCTTGCAGGCGAGTTTGGTAGCGATTTGCAGCCAGCCGGCGTAGAACTTTTCGCGGATGAGAGTGGTGTTTTTACCTCCCGAAGAAGAGACGTCGGCCCAGGCCCAGGAGTCGTGGTGCATGTTTGTTACGACCAAAAGCCCCCGCGACGTGGCCATGTCGATTACGGTGGAGACGCGGTCGAGCCATTGGGGAGAAATGGTGTGGTTTGTTAGAGAGTTAGGCAACAAGAAGTGGTCGGAGTAGGTTACTGTTTGTGATAATGGTCAGTTTGTTGTGTCGGTTATGTCGATTGCTTCATTTATATGGAAGGCTCGGCCGCAGGGACAAAACAGAGTGGGGGAGGGACAACAGGAATGATGAATAGAAAAACATACCAGGAATCCGAACAGACTTGAACCCAGCTGATTTGACCACGTCAAGCGCATTGGCCTGGAAGATGGGGTTATTCCATGATCCTTCGTCGGGAACGGCGTCAAGTGTGTTTCCGAGATTCCACCCAGGAGTCGCGGCGTCCATGAAGGCTTGCGCCGAGAGCTTCTTGAAGCTAGCACCGGGCGGACATGTCGTCTGTGTAGACGAGCGTTGTTAGACAAAAGAAAAGACATACGTGCAAAAGATTCCTCACCTTCGGTCCCTGCGGTATCTTTGCCCCCAGCGTGCCATCAACAACCACCGAGAGGCCCAAGGCCAAAGTACTCGTGAACTTCATTTTGCCTTTTGGTCCGCCGCAGTAACTGTAACTACGACTGCCCTGACGAAGCACCACGATCTAAATACCATCATAATTCGGACTCTGAACTCGGAGGTGAGTTGAGCTTATAAGTGCAGTTATCCTCCGTTCACCGGTCCCAAAAGGGGAAATTACAACGGTGGCGTTACAACGAGATGGACATTCGGGGACTCCTCTTCCGTGTCTCTCTCCGCACTCCAATTCAGCCTAGGTCGACGGGCTCGCTTGAGCACAGGAACGTCGCAACCAAAGGATTTACTAGTGGACTATTTTGTCTTTTTTGTTGCGATGCAACCGATGTCCAGTTACTGGTTGTCATCGTTGGAGCTGGTGAAAATGGTGGTTGAAGACGGTAAGGAACGAGACTTACAATTGGGGCAGTTCTTTTTCGTGTAACATGTGAACGATGTGCCTGATGTCTTGAAGGAGAGTTCGGTGCTCTGTTATATCTCGTTATAGGCCTGGACTCTTACCATAAAATGCTGTCTCTGCTGAGAATTAGAATCGTATTCGTATCATTCACCGTTACCTGGGACGTCCTTTTGTGCGCCACTGCCAATTTTACCAAGTTCGGCTCCGAGCTCAGGTTACTGTACAGGGTAAAAGCTTGCTTTGAACAATGATGCTTAACGTTTTAAAACTACTTGATATCTCTGCGATATAATGCTGGTTTGTTTGTTAGCTCGGTACTCCTAATACATTGGACGAGATACATCGCAAACTGTCCTAAACCTTACTAGGAAAAAAAGAAAGGGTTAATTACGAATTAGAAAGGCATTAGCAAGATTCAAGATGGTATATGCAAGGTAAAATTATGCTTCAAGTATAGAACGAAACGGATCAAACAAATAGCAAAACGCCTAGGAGGGTTGAACGAAAGTCTCGAGCTAACAAGCAAACCAGTATTAGATCGTACATGCAGATGAATGTCGCACAGACTGGCAGTAGAAACGGGGATGGTGGAGTGAAACAAAAAGTAAGAGTGCGGCCACATATACTGGTTGAACTATCCAAGTTGTTGTTTGCAATTGTGTATCCAATTACCGACGGATGACTACTTGAGCCTTCCTACAGTTTGTCTTGTAATTAGACAGCATCTTGAGTGACGAAGAGGATGGGGAGGATTCTGAGAAAGGGGGGATGATGATATAAGCCCCGGTAGAAAAGAGTAGAGGAAAATACGGGCTTTGTCCTTATTTGATACGGCTCTCAACCGCGGCTTTGATGGCTAGCAAGAAAAGCAAGTCAGTATCATCATCCACACCCTGTCCATACGGCAATCACTAACCTTCTGTGGTGACTCTTGCGTCTCCGAAGAGCATCTTCGTCCCCGGCATGTAGAACATGGGATTCGGTACGTCAGCTGTTTTGTAACGTCAGCTTCCTGAGAACACCCATAACCACATTTTTGATGGACTCCTTACCGTATCCACTAGCCAAACCCCTCTTCATCACCACGACCTGCTTACTCTTCCAAGCATGCAAAACGGGCATTCCAGCAATAGGACTACCTGGCTCCAAGGCGATCGGGTTGACTGTGTCGTTCGCGCCGATTACAAGCGTAAGGTCTGTCTCGCCAAAGTCATCGTTGATCTCATCCATCTCCAGTACGATGTCATACGGCACGCTAGCTTCCGCGAGAAGAACATTGCACTGACCGGGCATGCGACCGGCCACGGGATGAATGGCGAAGCGCACTTTGATGCCCTTGGAGCGTAACATCTGGGTAATGTCGGAGATGGCGTACTGTGCCTTGGCTACAGCCATGCCGTACCCGACAACAATGATGACGGACTCTGCGTTGGTCAGGGCTTCGGCTGTGTCTTCGACATTGGTCTGAGTTACGGATCCCTCTATCTTGTACTCTGTTGTTGTTGGGGCAGATATTCCACCAAAGAGGACATTGGTGAGTGAACGATTCATGGCCACACACATGATGTATGAGAGGATGGAACCTGATACACCTATGAGTGCACCAACTGTCGTCAGTAGTGGGTTATCCAACATGAAGCCTTCGGCAACGAGAGCAAAGCCGCTGTAAGCGTTCAAGACTGTAATAACCACGGGCATGTCAGCACCACCGATGGCCGCGGTTGTGGTATAGCCCTTAAGGAACGAGAGAACAGTGTTGGCAGCCAGAGCGCCTGCAGCGATTGCTGGAGATCCAGGGGCCAGTGTGACAAAGGCACCCATGGTCGCAACGTTCGAGGCCAGGAGACCAGAGTTGATCAAGTGGCGGCCGGGTAGAATGGTTGGCTTGGAGGACATTCTTCCGGCGAGCTTCAAAAAAGCCACGATTGATCCTGTGAAAGTCACACCACCAATAAGCACACCGAGGTAGGCGGTGACGAGATGAAGAGTCGTGATATGATCAACACCGGCCATAACACTTCCGATACTGGTGAGCACAGCCGCTAAGCCAACCACTGAGTGCAGGGCCGCCACAGTCTGTGGGAGGTCGGTGGGCGTGATGCGCTTCCCAATAAGCAAACCCAAAATACCACCAATGGCAGCCAGACCGCCGAACTGTACAAGAACCTCGGGTGGGAAACCTGCGGCCAGCAGCGAGGCGAGGACTCCAGACCCCACGCCCAGCATACCAAGCGTATTTCCCAGACGTGCAGTTGATTGAGATGCCAGAGATGAAAGCGAAGTGATACAAAGCACAGAGCTAACCATGTAACCGGCTTGAACTAATCCGGCTGCACCTGAAGCCGCAGCAGCAATGAAGCCACCACCAAACAATGCGGCAGGAACAGCATAAAGCCATGGATATTCCGGAGGGTCAGTGGCACGACGGAACATGTCGAGCATTCGTTTGGTAATGACAAAACCGCCAGAAATGTTGACAAATGCGAGAAGAACAGAAGCAGCACCAAAAGCCTGAGGAATGGTCTCGGGGAGGTAGCCTCCACCCAAGATGAAGAGACCACCGACTCCCACCATGCCTGAGATAGCATTGGTGACTGACATTAACGGAGAATGAAGAGCAGGTTGAACTCCCCATACAACACGGTAACCGATGAGCGAGGCCAAAGCGAAGGTAAAGGCGTTGCCCATGAACAACGGTCCAGTAAGTTTTCCCAAGGCAAGGGCAGCGCCCATACCACCCGTGACAAGGCCTACCTCTCGCGAAGTCTTCTGAAATGGGGTGAGGGCTACAACTTCAGCTTCCTTGGCTGCGGTCGGGGTCGATGCAGGTGCGGGAGGCGGTGCTGGCCGAGGCGCTGGCGGGAGGATCTTCCCTTTGTCGGTGACGATAGCACCCCGAACTACCTCGTCCTGAAGGTCAATGCCGTATTCCTTGTCTTTAGGAGCCATGGAAAGGAGGAATTTTGTAATATTGTTCGAGTACAAGGTGGACGACTGCGTGGGAAGACGAGACGGGAGATCGGTGTATCCTGTTTTCTGCTATTAGTCGTATGTTTCTCCTCTTCATGAGCAAATCACTTACCAATAACTTTGACATCCTTGTGGTTGATGAGCTTTCCAGGCTGGGTCACTTCACAGTTTCCGCCAGCCTCGGCCGCCAGATCAACAACAACGGAACCGGGCTTCATGATCTCAACCATGGATTTAGTGATGAGCTTAGGAGCAGGCTTTCCGGGAATCAAGGCGGTGGTTATGATGATGTCAACCTCCTGAGCTTGCTCCGTGAACAATTTCATTTCGGCCGCGATAAACTCTGGCGACATTTCCTTGGCGTAGCCTCCAGCACCAGACCCGTCCTCCTGAAGTTCGACCTCGATGAACTCGGCGCCGAGAGACTGGACCTGTTCACGAGCGGCGGGGCGGGTATCGAAACCACGGACAATAGCTCCCATTCTTCTAGCCGTGGCAATGGCGCTCAAACCAGCGACACCGGCACCAATAACCAAGACTTTGCAAGGCGGGATCTTTCCAGCAGCTGTAACCTGACCTGTGAGAAATCGACCAAAGACATTTGAGGCTTCCAGCACTGCTTTGTAACCGGCGATGTTGGCCATGCTGCTCAGCGCATCAAAGACCTGTGCCCTAGAGATGCGAGGGATCATGTCCATGGCAAAAACCGTCGCGTTCCGAGAGGCAAGCTTTTCCACAAGTGGTTTGTTTTGAGCAGGCTGAAGGAAGCTAATGATAGTTTGACCTTTTTTGAGCAGTTCCGCTTCGGCGACACTGGGACCGCGAACTTTGAGTACGATATCGGCGTTGCTCCATACTTCAGAAGCGGAATCAACAAGTGTTGCACCAGCTGTTGCGTAGGCAGAATCGTGGAACTCGGCTTCGGCACCGGCTCCCTTTTCGACAAGAACCTTTCCAAACCCTTTCTTGAGCAAAAGAACGACGTTTTGGGGAGTCAAGGCCACACGGCGTTCATTGGGGTAAGTTTCGCGTGGGACGCCGATTGTGAGCTGCTTGTAAGGGATAGTAGGTGGGAGAGTAGCGGTAGTATTGGTAGAGTATGTAGCCGAGGAGCTCTTGGACGGTGGCTGAGGCGGAATAGACGAGGTAACCGATGCATGGCGGACGAGTTGCAAGGACTGAAGTTTGGGAGTTGTAAGAGCCAGAGAGAGGGAGCCGGGACGTTGTTCTTTGTGGAAAGTGCTATGCCATGATTGACGGGAGCTTATGACGGTGCCGATGCGAATAACTGGAGTTTGGCTGCATTCTGTGAAGAGATCAGCTACACGTCTTTCATCCCATGTCTGTTCACCGGTTCATCCGAGCTTTCAATCTCATACCGTGTTCTCTGGCGCAATTGATTAAGAAGGTCCACGTTTTGATAGACAAATGGAGCAGGAACCGAGGCACCGTCGAAATATCTGGGACTTCCTACAATGTGACTTACCGAGAAGGCGCGCAATGATGCGAGATGCCGGAGACAAAGAAGCGGGAGCATTCTGGGCCAAGGCTGGCCGCAGACACGACCATGACCACATGGTATCGACAATGGCCGAGAGACTGGGATGGCTTCGCCGTCGAGACGAACCAAGCCTCAACTTCTCATTCCACGCTCCACATACGTGTGATCAAAGGATACTGTTAATATTCTTTGGAGCTGTCGGGGATGCGAATTGACCCCAGAAATCGTCGAGTGGGCTTCTCGTTGTCGGGAGAAATGAGACAGAGCTCGATGGGTGTGTTGTCGTCGTCGCCTGTCGTGGCTCGGTTGTTTGTCGTACCGTGCTGTCCCAGGAGTACAAGCAGATATTCTCGAGGTCGAAGTCGGCTACACAACACCTTTCGCTTCCAGGATTTTTAACCGCCTTGAGGTCGCGTCCTTTGATGTGTGTCTCCGGGAAAAGGGATCAGGTCGGCCAAGGTCCCGGGACGAAAAGGAGGGAGGTGACCGAGGGGTAATAAGAAAACAATGGCATTGCTGCACCATGATTCCATTGTACAACGATGCCGTCAACAAAAGAGCCGGAATACGATGATCGCTGGTTGCTCCTACCCTCCCCGCGTCGTCCACCCTCCCTTTCCCACGCCGTGGATTTGGGCGCATGGTTCGAAGTTGACCATGGTCGACTGCATGCTCAGCCGTAAAGGGTACCTACCCCGCCCTTGGGTATCAAACGTTTGTCGCCATTGATGACCATTGAGTGGTGCAAAATTACCCGGAAACAACCATCGTGCAGGAACTGGCGAGAAACATGCGCTCGGCCGGCTCGGCGGCAATAATCATGACTGGTCGTGTGGTCGCCCTGGTGTAGAGGGAGGGCTGGTGGTTAGTGATGGAATATCGTTGACTGGACAGGCAGCAACAAGAGCGATGAACGGTGCGAGAAAGTTGGAGAAGAATGGGGGAAAAAGTGATTGCAAACTTCTGTGGTGTCCACTGTTGGGCGCCTAGAGGTAATTTTCGACGTTATCCTGTGGCATTCATGGAAAGTGCGAATAAGCTCAATGAGTTCGCAATCGAGACTTCCGTTTATGGCACAGAGACAATGCCGCTTTGAAGGGAAGGAAGGACTGAAGAGTTTGGACGTTGGGTTGTCGGATTGCGCAAAGCTTGGGGCCAGGGTGCAGGTACCGTCCAGTGAGATTTGTTAAGCGCAATGGGTAGTTAGGTCTGCGGGGCCGGCCCGGGCTACTTGTATCCTGGAGAGCACCCGTCTTCTTCTCCCCTAATTTTGACAACCATGGACACTTTCGCTCCTGAATTCCTCTGTTCGCATAAGCTTCATTCGAAGAGCCCCAAGTATGACAAAAGAAATTATCCTCCAAATCACCATTGCAACCTGTTAACTCAAAGAAAAGAACACCTTCTCCGTCCTCGAACAAGTGGTACCCCCACACCTCCGCAGCACGAGCTGTTCCCCGCCAACCACTCACAACCCACAAGATGTGTATACCTACATCTTGGCCTTGTAACAAACAGATCAACGACCTCTTGGGTAACACGAACCCAACCACTGCATCTCTGACATTACCCCAAATCCTGCAACCTTCAAGCCTCGCCTCAGTTTGGTTGGTATAACAGCCGCAAACGAGCTGTCGTGTGCTCGCACGGCATACTGGCATCCATCATTAGCCTCGAAGTCCGACCGGCTCCTTCCCGGCTCGGAGATATGAGCAATATGGAGTATGTAAAGAAGCGGTCGTAAAACGAACAAACCGAATACCAACAACCCAGTACGCCTCAGGTTTAAGTAGGAAAGGCCGCTCAAAAACTGTGATATGGAGTAGAAGAGTTTAAAACCACATCGGCCAGAGTTACTTGGGAGTTAGGCCACTGACAAAGTGCCTCGAAAATGGGTTTGAAGGGGGTTGAGACACTCTTGAATGTGTAATGTACTGACCGTGATGTGTTTGGTTTATGTTACAACCCTTTTGCGTATGAAGCCTTTTGTGCAACCATGTTGAAATGATATGGTGAGAAAGTCGCTTGGCATGTTGAGCCACCTAGCCCGGATTGCAGAAGTCCACATTGTCGTGATCTTGTTCTGATTTGTAGTAATTGTACGCGTTTTGTAGTCTTGACGCTTCTGCTGCACTGTTGTGGCACAGAATTTGTAGCAGCTTATCCAGAATTTCCGGCTGTTTCTTTGGGATAAACGCCTTCTACTCCTTAGGTGTTGCTTGCCCGGCCAACCCCGAGTTCCCAGTAACCAGGATTTCATGGTAGTGTCTGAGCTCTGTCGCGAAGTGTTGCCGTATCACATCCATAAAACGCAATACCCTGAAAGCCATTTTTCTTGAGCGCCAAAACCCAACCACACTTCTCCAGAGCTTTCTGACACCGGATCCGGGCGTGCTCAATGTATTGGTCCGAAGGTGGCCATGAAGAGGCTCCAGGTCCACGCGAAGGGCATCTATAGCTCCGCGAACATCGGCGACAGTATTCCGTAGGCTTGTCAAGTATTGCTGAGGAAGAAACTTGGCGATAGCCGACATCAGGTTCTGTAGCGTGTCTTCAAGTTCGACCACTCGTAGTATGACGTTTTCGGCGTCGTTCAGAAGTTCCGTCAGCTTGGCGGGCGTCTCCTTGAGATCTTTCAAGAGTATGATCCCTTGAAGCACCCCCTTAATTCCAAGTCCTTCTTGCTGCAGCGATGCCGCAACGAGGCCAATCCCGGTGATTGGGTTCATCTTGGTTCATTGTTGTGCGGGCTCTCGGAAGCGTTTTCTAAGTTTGATGGTGGTGAACTCAATTGGCCTGGCATGAGGGGACAAAAACCAATGCCGTGATCTGAATTATCAAAAGCAAAATATCGGGCTTGGGCTTCGTAGCAGGCTCATTTGGCGTCTGAGTAGAGACAGAAGTTTGAAGATGAAGGTCAGGACGCAATAGAGGTCGATTAACCGTGATGAATGAATATCGTGTTTGGAGAAACAACCCTCAGCTCTTCTGCTTCCAGTTCTGCACCGGCAAATCGCGTCAGTTGCCATGTTGTTTTGAAAGTTAAGATGCCGGCCGCAGAACGTGCAGCATCGATCAAAAGTCTCTTACCTCTAAACTGCCTCACAGACGCTCCTTCCTCATCACACCCGGACCTCTCACATCATCATAAATCTGACGGATACGTCGCACCTGAGTAGGTACGAACGACTTGTTATTCGGTCACGTTATCTGGTCACCTTGGCGGCATTTGGTGCGGCGAAGATAGGGTGCGCTGCAACCGGAGTTAAAGACCCAGTCGGAGGCTTCCCGCTAGGTCATTGGCCAACCCAGCTAGAGACCCCGACCACCGACGTCCGCTGCCATATGTCTATATCTCCGAAAGTTAAGGGTCGGATTAGATCCGCACGTTTGTCATCAACATTCGGATTCTTGATGTTCGGAGACGGGTGGCGCCAACGTCCGGAGAGAACGGAATTAAGACGGCCGCATGGTATCGACAAAGATGCCTGCAAGGTGAGATATTCTGGTATAAGTAGGAGAGGACGGGAACAAACAGAAGAGGTTGAGAGCTGTCATTCAGCAACAGCATAACACATCAGAACATACCATCAGCCAAAAGCCTTTACTTGCACCATCAACATCCACCATGACCGCAAAGTACGCCAAGGACCAGCCTGATGGGTTTACCAACCGCATCGAGCGGATCACCATCGTCGGTGTAAGCTATCACACATCGCAGTCAGAGCATGTTATCTGTGCTTCCCTACTGACCAACTCATAGGCCAGTGGTACCGTTGGCTCTCCCATCGTCGAAGAACTCCTCGCTACGGGAAAGCATACCGTGACCGCCCTCACCCGGCCCGGCAGCACCAACTCCCTACCTGCCGGTCTTGAAAGCATCGCCGTGTCCTACGACACTGAAGATGGCGAATCCGCCCTAGTCGACGCTCTCCGAGGCCAACAAGTCCTCATCATCTGCCTCTCGCCACAGGCCGCTCCTGGCACTCACCACAGACTCGTCGTCGCAGCCGCCAAGGCTGGTGTGCCCTATGTCGTGCCCAACGGATGGGGCTGGCTCTGGCTCGATGACGAGGAGAAGCGCAAGAAGTCCATGCACGGCGAAGTTGTGTACCAGAACCTGAAGGACGTCGAAGCGCAGGGGGTGTCAAGCTGGATTTGCGTCAAGTGCTCGGTCTGGTACGAGTTCTCGCTGTACATGGGCAGGCGCAACTACGGCTTTACGCTGCCGGACAAGAAGGTGACCTTCTTTGACGACGGCGAGAAGAAGATCTGGACCACCACAACCAGACAGGTGGGAAGGGCCGTTGCGAAACTCTTCAGCCTGAAGGAGCTACCTGAAGACGAGAACGACCAGGATCTCACGGTTGCGAGGTGGAAGAACAAGGAGCTGCGTGTGGGGAGCTTCAATGTCTCGCAGAAGGATATGCTGGACTCGGTGCACCGCGTCATCGGAACCACGGATGAGGAGTGGACTATTACGAAGGAACCGTCCGTGGCGAGGAGGCAGCGGGGATTGAAGCTCATGGCGACTGACCCCAGCCACGGGTTTGTGATCGTGCTCTATTCATCGATTTTCCTTCCCGATGAGGTCGGTTTCTTTGGAAAAGCCACTTTTGATGAGGACGAGGTGGATAACCGGTTGTTGGGACTGCCGAAGGAGGATCTGGATGAGGCGACCAAGCGCGCGGTAGACACCGCGGCCAAGATGAGCAGTGATTGTCTTGCGCAACTACATTAGTCAATCAACTAGAAAGGTGTCAGGAGGTTAGGTGATTCATTTAGATGCGAAAGTCATCATTTTCCCTTTCATAGTCCTGTGCGCCATGCAGTCGTAAATATCTGAAGTTTCGGAAATGCCGCACTGGAGTGGAGGTTGAAATAGTCTGTAAAACACCTTGACGATGCATGATACATGAACAAAGGGCAGCGCCAAAGATGTCTACGCCAGAGGGCTCTGGAATCTGATGAAACGTGATGGGAAAATGTAAGATTGTCCAACGCAAACTGCGAGAATACAAACAGAGTGTCTCGCATGAAGTGGTGGCATGTCAGCATGCCAAGTGGCGTGAATCGCACCTTGCTGGTGATGCGGGGTAGGGGCTTGGCATACATAAACAAGTGCTTCGGAAGCGTCTTTAATAAGTAAACCGCGCCGATGGTATAGTGGTTAGCATCCTCGCTTCCCAAATTTCTTTGGAACCAGCGAGGGACCCGGGTTCGAACCCCGGTCGGCGCACATCTTTTTTCGCTTTTTCTTTTTCAGTGATCCAGCTGTTGCTTCTTTGATCGACCAACCCAAAGACGCTCTTTTTTTTGTGTTTGGATGTTTTTAACTGCCTGCGCTATCCCTCATGTTGCTGTTGGTCGGTTCTTCTTGTCCAGTCCAGGTGAAGGCCCCTTCTCTGTGTTACCCAGTGTGTAAAGAGTGCGATTCTTAACGGCAGGAATGTCTTTTGTTTGCCACGTTCTTGAGGCAGGTGCGGCAGTCGAGCCGCGCCGGGTCACACAATAAACCGACCCTGCGTTTTGTCCCAGATAACCTTCATAAGATGATGGGTGACGACAACCAGGTCGGGTAAATGATGTATTTCTTGCACGGCCGGAGAGACTAAGCGCACCTCCCTTTTTCCTCTCGCCCATGATCTCATCCCCGGGGCTCCCAACATCTAACTGCCCTCGTCTATTCCTTCCTCTAAGCCCTTTCATTCAGATGGACTCAAATGCCCGGTAACTTCAGCGACGAAGCTGACAATCCTCGCCCATAGTTTTCCATGTCGGCTATCACACTCCTTTGATGGAAGTCATTCAAGTCGATGGCAATCACCCATGATGTTCATGGTTAGACCACCCGTGGTAGGATCCTGCGAAGTGGTATGATAGTGGAACTCATTGACCCTGACTTCATGAAACCCACCAGAAGCCGGAGACAAGTCCTCTTGCAGGAATTGATAGGCAGCCGAGATGGAACATTTAACGGTCTTGCGTGCATAACTCCATTCCTAGGGAGAGCTAGGCGTCTTACATGCAGCATGGTGATCGTCGAGTGACTTATTTCCCATGGACCGATACCTGTGGAGCGGGGCAATGCACTTCACCTACTTCTCCGGATTGGTCAATACGGGATGGTTACAACTCTGGCGGCAGTTTAGCATCTCAATGGTGGTCAAGATAGTGGAAGCGGAACCAGAAACTGACCCTTGCAAGTCTCCAGCAGTGGACTATATCATGTACAAGGAGAAGAAAGACATGGATTCAAAAGAGGGCGCGGAGAAGCGGGAAGAAACTATAGAACTGAAGGATGTTCTTCGTGGTTTGCTGATTAAGGTACATATACAACCCTCTCCTCGCTCATAACCTTGTCGGGCATACCGAGTCTTGGACAACCAAAGGACAACTCCTCTACATATTATCAGTCCTCTAGACCTTCCTTCATTTAGGCCTCAATCACCCGTTTACATTCGGCAATGGCTTCTATAACAACGATCCCCCTCCCCAGGCGTCTCCCGCCCAACGTTACTCCGGAGGCCTTCCAGACATTCATCTCCCGCGCTCAGTCTATCGTGGGTGTCGAGAATGTCACCGTGGTCGACCCCCAAAACCCTCTCAACGATGGCACCTACATGGATAACTGCAAGACGCACGACATGCACGCAGTGTACGAGCGAGACTACTTTGTGGCTTCCGCCGTTGTAGCACCTCGAGGCGTTCCCGAGGTTCAAACAATTGTCAAGCTCGCCAACGAGTTTGTCGTACCCGTCTGGCCTTTCTCTGCCGGAAGAAACGTTGGGTATGGCGGCACCGCACCTCGCGTGCCGGGGAGCGTGGGTATCGAGTTGGGAAAGAACATGGACAAGATCCTCGATGTCAACGTCGAGGGCGCTTATGCGCTCGTCGAGCCCGGTGTGACCTACTTCAGTCTCTATGATCACCTTGTGAAGACGGGACTGAGAGAGCATCTGTGGATTGATGTGCCTGATCTTGGTGGTGGTTCCATCATTGGTGAGTTTCGGATTTGGAATCGGAGGCGGAGGCATATCTTATACTCTCGTTATGTTAGCCGGGAACTGACATGAAAACACCAGGTAACGCTGTTGAGCGTGGCATGGGGTACACGCCATATGGCGGTAAGCAGAATGTTGGCTCCATGTTGAGGCAGAATGACGCTGAATTCTTACAACAGATCACTTCATGATGCATTGTGGTATGGAAATTGTTCTCCCCAATGGCGAGCTTGTAAGGACAGGCATGGGTGCTCTCCCAGAGCCTGGAAACACCCCGGCCTCGCAGCCCATGAGCAAAAGCCCAACAAGGCCTGGCAGCTGTTTAATTATGGCTTTGGCCCCTACAATGACGGTATCTTTACCCAGAGCAACTTGGGAATTGTGGTGAAGATGGGCATCTGGCTCATGCCCAACCCCGGCGGGTACCAGGCCTACATGATCACTTTCCCCCGTGATGACGACCTTTCCGCAATCGTCGACAAGATCCGTCCTCTCCGTCTGGTATGTGCCGCCCGCTCATACTTAGCTGCCCATTCCCATTGAGTGTAGCTAACCTTGCTCTTTGTCTCAGCAAATGGTCCTCCAAAATGTGCCTACACTCCGTCATATCCTGCTCGACGCTGCCGTACACAACCCCAAATCACATTATACCGACAAGAACACTCCCTTGACCGAGGCCGAGATGGACGAGATCGCCACCAAACTCAACCTCGGCCGATGGAATTTCTATGGCGCCGTCTACGGCCCCGAGCCCATACGCGCCGCCCTCCTCGAAGCCATCAAGGTCGCTTTTCTTACCATACCAGGATCCAGGTTCTACCTTCCCGAGGATCGGACAGAAGAGAGAAGCGTTTTGCACATGCGATCGGATACCCTCCAGGGTATCCCCAGTCTTGACGAGCTGAAGTGGGTTGACTGGCTCCCGAACGGCGGGCACCTGTTTTTCTCGCCTATTGCCAAGATCAGCGGTGCAGATGCGACTTTGCAGTATGAGGTTACGAAGAGGAGGTGTCAGGAGGCCGGTTTCGACTTTATGGGCACCTTCGTTATTGGCATGAGGGATATGCGTGAGTTTGGTTCTTTTTACCGCTCCTTCTCTCTTCCACTAGATGTTGCTTTTCACGGAGCAGTCCTTTCCTCTCTACCTACCCGAGCACTCGCTAACCCTTTTTTCTTGTTCCATCCAACAGATCACATCGTCTGCATCGTCTTCGACCGCGAAGATCCCGAACAGCGTCTCCGTGTCCGCTGGCTCATGCGCACCATGGTCAAAGACTGCG